CGGACTGCACCTCTGCGCCTCCTCCTGTGGGGCGTTCGGCTCCTCCTACGCCTTCCATGTCTATGTCGCGCCATGCGGCACCTCCTGATGATAGCAGGAAGAACGAGCGCATGGAGAGCTGGCACGCGCATAATCCGAACCAGTTCCAGCGAGGATACGCTGCACACCGTCTGGGGAGGGAGCAGCGAGGTCGTCGGCGTGGTGAAGGTGAGGGTGGGGACCGGGGCGAGGACGAGGAAGTCGATGAGCTGGCTGAGGATTCTGAGCACGAAGAAACGAGGTCGCGGATGGACGTCGTCGACGACGGCCCTCGAGATTCGCAGCGCTCGCGACATACAGCTCCGAGAGAGCGCAACGAATACCCTCGCCTGGATCCAAATGCTTTGCGTCCCAGTTCACGATCTACTAGTACAATGAGCCCTTCACTCTCTCCACCGTCCTCGTCTTCCCTTTCCCCAGCACTCTCGGCTTTCGGCGGGCCGTCGTCCCAGTCTTCACGTTCGTCTGAATCTCGCTCGCCTATTTCGTCATCCTCGTCTCCGTTGGACGCCAAACCGCGGTACAGCCCCTCGACGCCGTATTCACGAAGTGTGGCTGATACAAGGGTGTCTACTATGTTGAGGCCTGCGTTTGGTTAGATGGCTAGATGCGTGGTGGTGCTATAGTGGTGCGCTTCCTTCTCTGATGTCATATTTCACATTTTCTTGTTTTATTTCTCTGAAGTCCTCTCTTCTGGTCAAGTTGTTGTGTTTTTAGTAGTACCTAAATTTCTTGAGCTCATTCTTGTAGCCTTATTGCCTTTCTTGCACTCTGAACGTACAGTTTTGTAACATTGATACTGCATGCATTTACCTCACATAATAAGATGACCTTGTCAGGTTTATTCTCTGTTGAGCCTTTTCAGCCTTTCAATTGACTTCTCTCGCCGCGCCGCTCGGACACTCAGCAGTCAGCACCTAGAGCTCAAAGTTCAGATCTCAGAGTCGGGCACCTCGAGGCCTCGGGATTCGACTTTGCGATGTGTGGCAATAGAGGCTTTGCGCAAAGCCAGCTGGAGCCAGTGGTGGCTCAAATGCGTTGCGCTGAGACCTTTAGCCAGCAGAACCTGAATATCAGCCCGATGAATGACATATATTAATATTACTTACATCTCTCTATAACCTCGTATTTCCTGGAGAGCTCGATATCAGTCTGTGGGGGTGGTTGATCAACGGTTGATCACGGTTGATATTTTCTGCTGGCTCAGTTTCCATATATAGGTTAGTTTCTGGAGATTGTCGTAGCTGCACGGATGAATACAATAAAATACTTGCATTGTCATTGAACTCCCCTGGCATCCAGACATACATGGTACTACATAAGACTAAGTTAAAAGCATAGTCACTAATTGGCCGCTACTGGCTACACGACACAGCGCAACGTTTTTGAGCCAGCACTGGCTCCAGCTGGCTTTGCGCAAAGCCTCTAATACTTCGGTACTCGGGCGGTCAGACACCAGGTCTAATTCACTTGAACAAGTACTCCCACAAAACGATCTACTCCATCCATAACGTCGGAGACCCGGTCCACCATCCATAGGCCTGTATCCAAGCCGGGCGCTTACATACTATGCAACCACTGTGATTCGTGGCATAGATAAGTAACTGTACTATGAAGTATCCGGATACCTTCAAGCTTCGGGACTTTTCTCGTCGTTGTGCACTCAGCATCGGGCATCTCGGTATTCGTCCTTACGCCGTGTGTCTGAACTCAAGCGGTCCCGGGCGGTCATGTTCAGACGTTCAGACATGGCGATTCAATTCGTTCGGGCAGCGCCAAAGAGGAGCAATATCTGCTCTTTCGAGGCTGGTGGAACGAGGGGGGGATAGCGGGTAAGTAAGAACTTAGTGCGATCGTAGCAGTGGGTTCAAGACTTCAAGTTGTTCTCGGTCTACTGGCAGTTCATGGATCCTCATCCGAGTCCAGGTACTCCTACTAAACGAACTATTACAGTCTTTAAGGTCAAAAAACGAGTACGTTCGACATCAGTAGGCCATTATTTGAATCGCTCTGGTCAGACGCCTAGTTCGAGCGTTGTAGGGACCGGTCAGACCGCAGAAATCAATTCAGAAGACACAGCGCACATGTTTGCTCACTGGAAATTGACATAGCGGGTGTATGCAGTGCAGAGCTGGGACCTGGAATTACGCCGCTGAGAAGGCGTCAAAAAATGCCTCTCAACAACGGGCTCCCGGTGCCAGCCATTCAACGCCAGTCACACGTTCTAACAATGTCAAAAATCGAGTACAACATTATTCACTACGCACCACAGAGAACGAGCTCATCCTGGACGCTCGATGGTCTATCAGCGTCTCGCTCCAGCGCAGCTCGTAAATGCCCAATTCACGGCCTTCACGGCTACACCACAGGCTATAACAATGGATCACGGATGACTTGTACGCATGGAACGCACTTCAAATGCCCGCCTTGCGAGTTGGCATCACTGACGCTCCCGAGACTCCATCAGGGAAGCGGCGGTTATGAGACGTATGCCCCCGTCTCGTCAACGTCATGTATGTAAGATGCCTTATCAAGTTACCTTCATGGAGAAAATTTCGCTTGGGGATCTGCGCTGGATTGTCTGTGAATTCCCAGGACGGCGATCCTATGTGGGGTGAGAGCTGGTGAGAGATGCGTACCAGTGACATGGAGATCACCAGGGCAATGGGCTCCGACTTTATCGTGTGTCGTGTACGGCACCGACCTGTAGCGTTCTTGAAGGGGAATGGCGAAGATTCATAGATATGGATCGGCGGTCTCGAACCTTCTATTAGAGGCCGGTCAAAATTACACAATTTTTTTGTGCAAATCCCTCGCGCCGATGCCGCTTTGGAGGTCGTCAGCACAGAGTTTGGAGCGTGGGAGTCTCATCGATATGTGGGCGCTAAAGTTGATTATCTTATCTTATCGAGATTCCATCCCCTGCACCGCAAATGCCATCAGGGCACGACCAAAGGCGCTCACAAAAGGGGTACAGTCCATCAAGCTTCAATGTTAATCAGGCGCCCGTAACCCTTGATCCACATATTCTGCTTCTCGCGGAGGGTTGAGACGTTCACCAGAGGATCTGCAACAAGCGCTGACGAAGTTTGTCCTTGATCTTCCAGAAACTGATCCACAAACACGGCGTAAGTGTATGACGAGGAACATTTTCCGTGATCTCTGGAGAATACAACCATCATAGGACCTCTCAGCATCGCAGGAGGCAGTGTCGATCAAGTACATCATTCCTGTACTCTCGGCGATTCTTCGGTTGCGCCACATAATCTTGCTATTGTTGCCAGTAGCGGCCGTTAGGACGCGGTAAGGAACCTTTTGCGGGACTACAAATAAACTAAGTGAGCTTGTATTGTTGTGATGGACGACATCAGGGACATGCGTCCAAGCTGTCTCCCGTCTACTTCAAGTATGTAGGTTGCTGCACAAGCTACCGACAAATAACCTAGACAGCGCTGACATCTGTAATCGAATAGCAGTCCTTGGGTCATTTTAACTGATAAAGGTCTACTACAACTACTACTAGTGTCATGAGTCCTGTCTTTCATAACCTCTAATGACCAACATGTGGTCTACGTCGACTGACAGTGGCAACAGAAGCGACTTCCGGCGTGGATCGACGCCGTAGATCATTCATGACGGAATGACGTGGAGTGGGACATATGGAACCCGTCTGCCATAGCTATAGGGAGCAGAGTAGCGCACCTTTCATATTTCCCTTCAGGTTGCTATTAATGTTCACTGACGTCTATAAAGCCTCCTTCTATCCAGCAAAGATGAGAGATGAAAGACATATTCTCTCAATACGACGCTCTATTTTCCCCACAGACCTTCCGGCAACATCATCATTCCGGAAATTGACAACCTTCCACGCTTTCATTTCTTACGTCGACCTGATAGGTACCAGCCGCATCTGGCGGAGTTAAAATTGCCTGTGCATGGGCAGCGGCCTGTTGGGCCCATCTGTCTTATTTTCGAGATTATACTCAAACGAGTTCAATTCGTCTACAAAACCACCTTAAATAAATTAGCCCAGAGCGCGCATGCGATCCCTGACGCCAGGAAGGCCGAGCCTGTTCATCAAACGCCAGGTATACGCCATGACAAAAGCAGACGTCCAAGCCACCGCTGCTGATCATCGGATGGTGGCATAATTTGGGTTCTGTCAATGAGGAGCAGCAGTGTCGATCCTTATCCCCATCGCCCTGCGATTTTCGTCCTCGTGAGGCCAGAGGGCGGCCGCAGACACCTGAACTGGGATGGCACCACGTCCTTGGATCTTCGCCCAGGTCAGGCAGAAGGAGGACGATCGCCGTCCGGACCCGCGAGACACCGAGTGTCTGAATGCACCTTTCCTTTCACCGGATCCGAGCCGTCCGTCCGCGTCACCGTTCTTCGCAGACACGCTAACCCCGGAGGGATTGAACACCTTGCGAGGTGAACTCGTACGCGTTCGCTAGACGCAAAATACGAACTCCGGACCACGCTCAAGCGGCTCGCACTTCACGCTAAATTCAAAGTTCCAAGCGTACGGCGAGTGAAGGCGTGATGTAGATCAACTGATGCACGGGCAGCGTCGATCCCCATCCAGGGTGCGATCAATAAATTGATTGGATTAGGCGTTTGAGGGATTTCCAGGGGAAGGGGAGAGGATCAGCCCAGCCCTTGTTGGTCACCTCCAAACCCGAGCACACGCGACCCTTAATATGTATGATGCCTCCCTTTTACGCCTCATTAGGATCGGCGGGTACGACGAGGCGGTGCCGATGCGCGCAGCTCGGAAGCGCCCGACCTGCGAGATGTCCGCAAGAGATAAGATAAAATATTGATTTCTTGTTCGACATAGGTTTGAGAGTCTTCTGGGTATAAGAGTACCTGCAGAATGTTACCTGGATTGTCCCGAAGGTGTGTAGTTGGGTTTTGAAGGAGATATTGCCCCATCCGATCAATCCCAAAGATAAATTCCCATCCTCCCGCAATCTTCTCACAACTGACAAACCCAGTCCCACAAAATCAAATTATTAAGTCGAGGCGAGGGGTAGACGTCACGTTTATTCCCTTTTTCTGTGCGAACAGACTCACAAGACTCGACCAGGACGGTAACTTAAATAAAACAAGGAGCCGGTCTTAGGATCTCCGGTTATCGTATCCCAGAGAGTCAAAAACAATCATAATAGGATGCGAACCCCTCACCTTTGTTCGTCTGCTTTACTCAGGATACATCACGACTTTTTTCCGTTTAAGCATGATCAAAATAGAGATAGACCCGAAGAACTTTCTTGAGTTTTCGACGCTCGAACCGTACGAGTGGCGAACCAACCATCTGAGTCTATACTTACAACTCGGCGGCTCTTCTACTAGTCTCAAGTCTCAAACCATCACCCTCAGCTCAAATTATTGAGTCTTCCTACATAACGACTTCCGAATGATCATCACCCCTCTTTGTGTCCTTCAAGCTTCCACCGTTTATCCCGCTGCTACCGCTGCATTTCTCATCGCCCCTCTCACCCGAGACGAATAACTGCTGTAACACTACGCCACAAACCCTTGCTACCAAGCTATAAGAAGCCACCGAGCTTTGATACATCACGAAGAAACGCAGAATCCTGCTACTCATCCTCCAGTACGATCATGATGGGACTGAAAACAAATCGACCGAGACACCCGAAATAGCTCACCCTGCGCGCGTTGCAGCCAAAAATTGCGCGACAATCTTTCAGATCCCCGGAGAAAAGGAGGTTAATTAAGTTCTAGTTAGATCTCTCACTCCTGCCACAAGAGACGATTAAACTGTGGTGCAACAGGAGCTGGAGTGGGACCGTTCGTCTCTCGAGCCAGAGTGCAATGATTAATTTTCCATACAATACTCGTCCATTATCACCTATCTAAGTATTTATATGAGAGCTGAGAAAGAAAGGCCGCCCAGGAAGGTAGGAAATGTGCGAGACGAACAACTGCAACTTCCCACGCTCTACTGAAATCCTCCAGGATGTCATTGCCTCTGCGACATTCTTAGCCCAAGCCAGTCAGGTAAATGGGCGGTTCCCTTCATTCTCTTCGGAATTTCTATTGGTGCAGTTCCTTTGATATCGCGACCGCACCTTCAGCGCTGACCGTTGTTCGACGGCCAGGAGCCACTTGAATTCCATTCCATTCGCTGCGTCGAGGTCTACTTTAAGTTGAGCTCTGGGGTCATGACACAAGCATTCTCTACCGCGGAGAGAAAGATAGGGAGACGTACAACTAGACAGAGATGCGCGCAATGCCAGTAGAAGCCCTTCCAAGGTATGGAAAGTGGACTCCTTGTGAAATAAATCCCTAGAATGTACTCTACCATACCGAAGTCATCTAGTAACACTGTGGCCTATAATCGTATCTCCACAGCAAATTCACAAATATAGAAGCAGATCCTCCACCTATACGTACAATTTGGAGAAACACTACTACTACAAGGCAGCTACTCGTCGCCCGCACCGAAAATAAATCCCGACAGTCTCGGCATTTCTAACTCTCCCCCGGCCATGCTTTCTGGATCTTGCTGCTGTTTCTCGGGGCTGAATAGAAGGGTGTGTACACGTAACACGGGTACGGAGCTGCACGGGGCAGCCCAGTAATTATACATATACATCTCGCGAACTCTGGGCCTCTCGTGCTTCCGATCTTCCCTACATAGCTACTTCTCGAGAGGACGACATACAAGGAACGCTCCATAATCTGATATGATTGCTGGAGGACGTTTATAGTCTCCATTGTCACCCTGAAGGCCATTTCTTCCAGTTTCTTCCCCAGTTGTAAATGCGATCCCACTGCGCAGAACGACGTGGGATTGATAGATCATACATCGATGTTGAACGTTCGTACGCAGCCATTTTACGTCGAAAAGGGGGTATTACACTTCGAGTATTCTGCTCACTGGTAAGAAAAAGCCGGTTCATTGAGCCCTCGTCCTCTATAGTATATACTTTTCCAGGACAAAGACATTCCTATCCTAGTGACGCTTGGAGATATGTATCGAGGACGAGTAACTAGCTCCATGGAGTCTCGTTCTCAGTTTGTTGCGAACTCTAGTTGCGCAGCGAGTCGGTGGATGAGAGCGCGGTCCACACGGTTCGTGCAGTGGAAGTATCACTATTGATCGACGCAACAGGCACTGTGAGCGAATGCGCCAATGAACATTCGAACGCTCTGAGAAGCCCGATATCGTCATGTCTGTGATTAGATTAGATTAGATAAGGATATCTCCTACTAGCGGAACACAGCTCCCACGACTATAAGTATCGCCCATCTCACTCACAACTATCCTTCCATTATCCACGGAAACATGGGAAATCCATTAAAAACCGGCGCTGGCTAGCGCTGACTCAAGCTTCAAGTCTAAGGTGGCACTCAAGGCTACACGAATATACTGTATACAACTATGACTATGAACAGAACTAGTGGGAGAGAGAGCGAGAGAGCAAGAAGGCAGAGATCGACCCGAAGAGCGAAGGTTAGGTTATAGAAAGACAACAAGAACGACCCAGACTCAGAGGCCAACCATCACCTGCTCCCCACCACCACCTGACCGAATGCAGGTCTCAGCACCGTTGACACCCTGGCATCCGCCACGCTGAGAGAATATGGAGAGGAAGGGCTGTAGAGTGGTTTCGTCTCTGACGGGGAAACGGAAGGAGATGACGAGGAAACGGACGAAGCCGACGACTGGGGAGAATGGGACGAGTGCCAAGAAGGGCCCAAAAACGGCGAAAGCGCCGGAGAGAGCGAAGACGACAATGAAGACGATGGTGACGGGGACAAGCTCGCTGCTGCGAACGCTCTTGGACGAGAAAGCGCAGCAGAATCACTTTCAAGTTCGCCCAATTGCCTATATCGTGGAGCCGGCGGTCGGTCGTCATCCATCTCCTCAACCTCTGATTCTTCTGCCAACTCGTCCACCTCCACCTCCTCTCCGTCATCATCATCCTCTTCTTCCCCACCTTCAGGTTGACGCCAATTTAAGTTTCGTCCACGACCGGCCTGGTTCGGGTTGGGTACGTCCCAACTTGGACCATTCCTATTCCCATTCTCCGTGCGAGGGCGCTTGTGTTTCCGGCTATCGTCTTCTGGCGTCTCTGTGCGTGGTTGAGTCGATATCGAGGGTAAGCTTGGACCGGGGCGGGGAGCAGGAGACGCATCGCTCAGGCCACCTCTGGGTGGAGGTGGGATCGCGGGGTGGTTCGTCATAGGACGTGGGTCGTGCGTTGGATCCGGATTTGTGTTTGACGTGGAGCTCGAACTTGAAGACGCGGTACTGGCAGTGGACGAGGAACCTGAAGCATGGTTCCGATAATGTCTTCGCATGTTGGAGTTGACGCTGAACTCGCGGCCGCAGTTCGGGTATGGACAACGGAAGGCTACACACATACGCCATTAGCATAATATATGCAACAACGAACGAGAAGAGAGGACTCACGCGTAGCACCCGTATGCGTATTAAAATGTATCCTCAAACTACTCGGCCTATTAAACCGCTTGAAGCACGTCGGGCAAACATGTTTCTTCCCCGACGCAGCCTCCTCGAAAACAGGAGTGCTCAGTGGGATGACCGACATGCCGGAAGTGTACGTTGGTACTAGATGTGCCGGGACGATGTGGGGTGGTGGTACACCTTGGTGGGTTCGCATCTGCATCCGCAGAGTGGGAGAATTTAGATTTGAAGGCATGGGTGAGCCGCCGATGGAGCCCTCCGACGCGTCGTCTTCGTCCGTGTTGGCCGTGTCCATGGCGTGTTGGAGTCGTTCGGGTAGATGTGGATGACGGTGGTGTGAAGGCGGTGGGGGTGCGTAGGATGGGCGTCGTTCGCGCTCGTGGCTGGAGTTGGGGTAGGGATAGGGATGTGCGGAGAGGTATGGACTGCGCCCCTCCTGAGGGTGGTGGGCCTCGCCTGAGCTTGAGCTTGAGCTTGGACACGCACGGGGCGGCGCACCCTCCGAACTTGGACCCGGAACAGGCGTTTGGGCGTGAGCGTGTGGTGGGTGAACTTGAGCTTGGAGATGGGACTGCGCGCCGCTGAATATGCTATGCCTAGAGGTATTCGCCGATGAAATCGGTCTGCGCCCACCATCTCTGCTGAAAGGCCTATACGAGGATGCGGAAGGGGAAAGGTGCTGGGCGGCTGAGTGGGTGTGTGGATGCGAATACGCCGCTCGGGAATGCGGGGGCACCTTCGTGGACGACGACGCCGTCGGTGATGAGAGCGTGGATGATGAGGCGGAGGAACATTGGCATTCGGCGATGGAGCACGTCGGTGAGGATAGTGTAGGCGACGATGTAGATGGACGCGGCCGGAGTACTTCGTTCGAAGTGACATTGAGATGGTCCCGGCGCATGAGGTGCGCTGTATCGAAGGTAATGTCAGTATCGTTCTTGCAGGTGAAGAAGGGCGACGCACCTGGGAACATCTCATGTATACTCGGGAGGGAAACAGCAGCCATCTTTCTGACTTGAATTTGAAAGTGAGGTTGTGAAGAAAGAGGAAACGTGAACGAGTAGGCCCGGCCTTGCACACGCCTTAGAGTTATATAGGGAAGAGCAGAGTTTAATGGTAGCAGGCGAGCGGCTTGGGATGCGATCGTATAAGTCGCCGGCTTGCTTCTAGTCTCGAGTCAAATCGAATTGGCGTCCGCAGACAAGCTTCACCTCGGACTGAACTCGGACGCAGGGAGGGAGAGGGAAGAAAACGCGAAAGATAGCGCAGTCGCGGCTTTTAAGTAGAGGAAAATCAGGCCCGCCTCGCCTGGTTTATGTACGTGCCCCAAACCGATCCCGTTCAACCCGAGTCTGCTTTTGGCGACTCCATGATTGGCGCGGACCATTTTAGCTTGCGATCGGGCTAGCAAATCGGGCTGGTTGTAGATCGCGATTCGCCGCTTGGCAGCTTGGCAGCTGGCTCGCTTGGACCGTTTAGGCGGCTCTGGCGTCATGAGGAGATCATCGTGCCATCGAGCGCCAATGATGAATGGGTTTCCCAGTCCCATCGATGTGTGCGATGGGTATGTTCCCGCTCCAGTCTCGTACGCCAATGATCTACCAGTACCCTCCACAGGTTCTCGTTAACAGTGACCTCCTTATCGTTCCTCATCGCAGCCATGACTCCCGGGCCTTATGGAAGCTTCATGAGCGCACCCGCGCTGGAGACGCGTTCGAACGCGTACGACCCCACGGAGGCTCCTATCCTCAACTCTGCGATAATGACTATGATACCCTTACAAGTTGCTCTACCGCACGACCGAGACCGAGGCAAGTGCGCACGTATGGACTCGGAAATCGCCTTAGATGTTCTCTGCCTGCCTTTAGGGCGACTCGCCTTTCGCAACAATCCCTCGCGGCGATCCTTCATGGTAATCCTTCACGATGATAGCGTGCACGTCTCATTCGTGCGCGTGAGCCCTTATCTGTATCTCGACGATCACAACGACGACGGCTGCACAGGGCATATACTTCCTCGATGACTCGATCTAACTCGAAGCAGTCCTGCACATGGGTAATTGCCTTCGACGATCCTCGCACATTCATTCACGTACGCCACTCTTTCCCGATCTTGACCATCCTTGCCCACGATACCGTCCCCTGAGTACGTGCCCCTGGTCGGAAGCATACCAACGGACTCAGATCGACGTCGACGTCGACGCCGACGACCCGATGATCTAGAGTACACATCGATGACTGAAACATCCAACGGACCCGCGGCGAGACGGTGTCTTCGCGCCCGTCACTGTCTTTTAGCCCAGCTACCAACTCGAGTCTCCACATCACAGTCAACTAAGTATCTCCTTGGCCATCAGGACGCATCAATGCATTACGGCCTCCGGTAGGCATTACTCTCGTTTTAAACTGACGTACCCCCATCGACCTTAGCCTCGGCTGCACCTTCGAATCCGATCAGTAAAGCGCAGCGCCAGTGAACCCCTCGTCAACGTTGATCGACGTAGTTCGCGGTCCTCGTTCAAGTCCAGCTCGAGTTGATCCTGGACCGGAGGCACCATCCTGCCCTCCTAATGGCTCTCCTCTGGGATGAAGAGCACACACTTCTAGTCGCATCGGCGTTAGAGCCATGGGTAAGTTCTTCACCCAAACACTCCGAACAATCGATGATCGTGGTCGACTTACATTCTTTACCCCTCAGGCCTCACCCCTCAGTAGTCAAGCGACATCCAAGAAGTCGCGAACTCCCCCTTGAGGCTCCTCGAGAACGCGATGCAACTTTTCTTCGCGGCACGCGCCGAGCACTTCGATTCCTTACCGTTCCTTCGCAGTCGGATTCAGATCCTTGAACTTCGCAAGAGCTCGTTGGCAATGATTACCTACTTATTACGCCGTCGACTCGTGGAGTCTCAACACGTCAATTTCTATCCGAAAACTCATACATATGGAGGAAGTATCATGTCCGTGGTACATCCACTGCCGCACGGTACCTCGATTCAACAACCCGCGCAGCAGGGCGCTCCCTCGACCCTCGACCCTTGACGCGATCCGTCTTATCCTTATCTCCACCCCAGCTGCTCGGCTTTCACGATCCTGCACGCTTCATAGCCTACCACCCATCACGCATGTATGAAACGAACCTCCGAAGTCCAACAGACACACCGACGTCGATACGGCCTTTATGTAACTCCTTGGCGTTTAAACCCTCGACCTCGACACTTCCCAATGAGTCAATGACTCGACAGTGGCTAATCCTTCAAGCTTGAGCTTGAGGCATTCGAAGGCTCGATTCGCACCCCTCAAACGACGGTGTTTAACCCCCCGTATCCGTATTGACGCTCGACGCTCGGCGACTAGAACGAGGGAACAAGCTTCCCCTCTTCCCCACTCGCCCATTATGCGGTTTGACCTGCCATGACGAGCTGGACTTGAGCTTGAATCTGACAATGTAGACTCGTTAGACGCAAGCATACTAGACTTAAGCTCGTTTAGTAGGTGTTCAAACGTTCAGCCTCAGGCCGGCGACTTAACTTCTAGAGGGCACGTCCTAGCCTTAGGTCTTATAATTACGTCCCGGGCCACTTTGGAACTAAACACCTGTCCTGTTCCCTCGTTCAGGGAGACGCCTCGGCGCCATGTCCTCATTCGACGAGCCTGTATTAGTAAACGGACTCCCTCTCTTTCTTTCGAATCGAGGGCCCCTGCCCTATTTCAAATTCCTTGTGCAGCGGACAGCGGAGGCAAGGCGAATCATGAAGCACTTCGATCGAGCTTCAGAACGCTCTTGTCACGGTACGTAGGGAAGAGGAAGAGGTGATGCCACGTATGTAAATCCGTGGCAAGTATTACATTGTGGCTGGATTGGCAATTGTTTTTCGAGCTTGTACTAGATAGTCACCAGTGGCTGGCCGGTTGAGCTCGCTAACGGTGGGGAACCCGGAACAGGTTTGCTTATAGAGTAGTGTGCTCAAGCTCGTTTCGGGTCATGAAGATTGCATGAATGGTGTTAATTCATCTGAGCGAAGACCCAAGACAAATCAATTTAGCGATTTGATTTCCTCTCAAGCGCAGATCATCGCCTCCAACTGCACTCCAGGACACTAGACAGTGGCTAAAAGAGATAAAATTATGTATCATGCTTTGTCAAAGGCGTCGATCGAAATAACCATGATGATGCATGATGCACGACCCGTTCAGCACGGTACCTGCCATCGACGGAATCGGATCTTCGCTCCGGATCCACCTTTGTTGATGAATAATTTTGGGGTACATACGTGGCCGGCTGTCGCGGTGCTGCCTCATGAGTTGGCCAGCTTTGGAATGTCGATTTCCAAGAAGGGAATTTGGCGTCTCTGCATTTTCGGGGTGCATTCTCGCTTGGAGTGGAAGGGAACAGGTCCTCCTTTTCCGTCGAGAATGTTTTACATAAGAGGCCTTGGAGGTAATGATTTTACAATAGGGCCCAGTGAATCGTCGTTGCCTCCAGATACTGATCACGACATATGTAGGAAGACCTTGGATTGCGGTTATAAAAGTAGAATTACAGCAGCATTTCATTTGTACACGTGGTATTTATTCTTTCTTTTCTTTTTCTCTGTGCAAGATTCGCTAGAAACAATAAAAAGGATCGACGGTGACGCAGATGAGGAGTTAGTTAGAGATTAATGTATGACTATAGAGAGAGGGAATGTCCATATGTTCGTTATACTTCGCTGGGGTCAGAGTCGCCCCATCTCCGCCTGGACTTGCAGAAGTGATCACCAAATGAATAACGCACAACTTACGCCCGAGGAGGAGAAGGGGGAGGAGTATCGAGGACCGGGCGCGGAGCAGGCTTCACTTGACGCTTCTGGAAAATTTCGGCGTGTCGCGGGCTATTCGGAGCGCGGGCAGGGGGAGGAGGTGGGCTTCAAAGGATATAAGAGGAAAATAACAATTTCCACCACAATAGACTCACATCTGAGGAGGGGGCGGCGGTACCTGACGTGCTTCCAACACCTCTGACCGAGGCCGAGGAGCAGGCGGAGGAGGGGCCCTATTACCCAGACTGTATGAGTGAAATAGGAATGAGGTTTAGAGAAGAGCGCGTACCTCTGAGAGGGAGGCGGGACTTGACGCGCTTCTAAAGCTTCCTCCGAACGTGGACGAGGAGCCGGTGGAGGAGGGTTAGCGGGCGGCAGGGGTGGTACCTGCCGACTCTCTAATGCGTCACGCGGACGAGGAGCAGGCGGAGGAGGGAAAGCTGGGGCCGGAGGCGGTGGTACTTGACGTGCTTCCAATGCATCTTCTGAACGCGGACGAGGGGCCGGAGGCGGGATGGCGGGTGGCGGGGGTGGCGGTACCTGTCGGCTCTCTAAGCCCTCCTCTGAGCGTGGACGAGGAGCCGGTGGGGGTGGAATAGCAGGAGGTGGTGGTGGTGGTACCTGACGCGCTCCCAAAGCCTCAGATCGCGGACGAGGGGCCAGGGGAGGGGGCAGGGTAACTGGAGGTGGAGGAGGCGGGACCTGTCGTGCCTCTAGGACTTCTTCAGAACGCGGACGCTTGGACGCAGCAGAAGCAGCCGCAGCGAGGCATTCGTTAGCCTGTTGGTTGCACTGGGCGGCTGGGACCTTTGCGTTCAAGCAATTCTGTTTCTGGATGTTGCACGAAGCGGCGAGTGCTGAGGTGAGGTCGGCAAAGGACTCGCCGCCTGCGACTTGGAATTTCTGGCCTGAGGCGGTAACGACGGGAGGTTGTCCACCAACTAGATATATCCGGGTCAGAAACAGGGGAAGGAGGAAGGATTGAATATGGAAGACTTGCATGTGCCAGTGAATGGCTGGACGTTATCCGCACGACGGATTTTCCTGCCGCTACGCAACCCATCAGCTCGCAGTTCTTACTCTAGAAGTTCCGGACTTACGTCTTCGCTGCTGGGTCGGTGACTCCAGCGATCGCAGCACGGCACTGAGTGTCCTGCTGGTCGCACTGCGCCAGTGTCAGACCCGAGGCGGGCCCAGTGGCCGAGTTAGCGGCGGCCGTGCACTGTGCCTTCAAGGCATCGCACGAGGCAGCCAGAGCCAACGCAAGGTCGGTGAAAGTTCCTTGACCTTGGACCGTATATCCGTCGTCGGCTCGGACGACGGTAGGTGGGGCCGATCCTCCCACTGAACCGGGGTGTCAGCAAGGAAGAAGTAAAGGATGTGGAAGACGTGACTCACAGTTGCCCGTGAATGGTTGGAGATTGTTGCTGGAGGTAGTGGCTTGTGGGACAGGCGTCGCAAGGACGGTCGACAAGAAGCAGGCGAGCGTTAAGAACAACGTTAATTTGTCGAACATGGCGAATAAGGGAACGTTTTGAAATGAAGTTGGTGACTAGAAAGTTGGTTGCAAAGAACTGATTGAGTTCGAGTAGGGAATGAATGAAGCGAGTTGTTGATGGAGAAATGGACGATTGCATACCTCGTTTATATACCTCTCCCAACGCTCTTTCCCAATAATAACTTGCTTCGCCCACCTGCGTACGCTCGGCGGACGTCATAAAGAGCCCACGACGCGTCGGAATTCGAGCCGCCTGCGCAGTGGCCGTCGAAGCTCGAGAGAACGGACTTGTTGGTAGGGCGGCCGCACATTCTATGAATAGCTCACTAAGGAAAGAGCTGTTTGACGCGTACTTCGTTGATTCTAGACAACACAGCTTCCAAGCCGTGGCGTACGAGCGCTAACTCGGAGAGGCTGCGCCGCGCAGTTTTGGTGGTTGCCAAGAGGGACCACAGAGAACGCCTCCCGCAGCCTACATATGACCTGAATCGGACATTGTCGCTTGAGCCGACGTCTCGTACTTGCGAGGAAGAGGACTCTGTCGGGGGAGTGACGGTGATGTTGAAAGGAGGGAAGGCGGTCGTCAACGACGCTCGAAACGATGACCAGCGTGTTTGGCTACAGTATGTCGACACAACAACGCCGAGCTTCTGGGCGGACCGAGACTTTCCGACGTGGGCGCCAATCTCAGGGCTTCTTATCTTATCTATTAGTTTCCTGATGAACTTTACGGTCTCGACGTCTCCTCTGTTGGGCCACAACAGGAGCCAGGGGATCGACATTACTGACTCAGATATATTAGCCCCATATATCTTCTGACTCGGTTATACGACCCCCGTCCAAGATGCCCAAGGTACCAGTATAGGTCCTACAGGAGACATGTGGAACTGAAGAGAACTACCTGGAGAAACTATGGTCAAAAAATCTCTATTCTTGTCTCCCTTCCTGCTGTATTGTTTTAATAGACCGGTACAGGACTCGGTAAATCGTCTTTCAATCCCAGGTATGGGCCGGGATAATTTTCAGACCGACGTCTTCCTTCCTAACTATGGCCACTTGATAATCAACTCTCCTTACTGTTTATCAAGGCCAACTTGAAGTATCGGACCCCCTTCAAGCCCCAAGGCACGTCGCTCGGAACCCTCTGCCACCACCTCAAACAAACACCCCACACATATTTAATGAATTATACTCTCACAGAAGAGCCCACCGGGAAGCCCGAATTATCTCGACCCCGTCTTCCTCTCGAAATTTGGGAGACGTTTCAAGCAGAATTAGCAATACGCCTATTCCAGAAGGAATAAATTGGCTTTCAATTAAGTTGATTCAATTTTTCGTCTCACACTTCTGCATAAATGCGATTCGATGGGCTACCGCCAGTGCCACGGAGCAACCACGGAACTGCCTTATCATTCAGGTGTTACAATTCCTGATCTAACATGGATTGAGGTCCATATTCAACCAATCCAATGCGATTGGAAGGAGGGTTATATACCCTATTAATGTTACATTTGGCTTGATTGTTGTATGGACTCGCGTGGCTCAAATGTACAGACTCCCGAGGACCAAGTACTCCATGTCTACACAGCCTTAACTTGGATGACTTTTTCAGAACATCTGGGTATGCCCATCTTCTGGCCGGCGTTCCGCCCCTTCGTTCATAAGCCCAGCATTCCTCCTGAATCTGATTGTCTCCCAGACTTTTCCTCATTATTGTGTGCAGACCACAAAGGTCATCACATCCCAATGACGAGGACGAAACATAGCCTGCTTATCCTCTAATTCTATAAGCCATTTCACCGTGACACCATGAGGACTCTGAGACGATAGCTGAGGGCTGATCTAATGTACACCGATGTATATTCGAACATATTCAAGCACATATTCTGGACATAAGCTCTTCGTAAGAACCCTGCGTTTGGATAGAAATCGAATCAAAATCCCGTTGCATGAGCCCTGCTCATATTGAACTGGAGACTGGATTACTCACCTGAATACCGGGTGGGATCGGCATGTCCTTCCGGGAACGCAGCGTCGCCAACCAGTTAGGATCATAAGGTATATCCACAATGATGGCAGGCCCAATATCAATGGGGGTGGTGTAACCGTCAAGCGGGAAAGGAAAAGCTTTGTTCGTGAAATATATGCGCATTAAACCGGGGCGATGCGCCAGAGTCATTTCAGTGGCTTGGGCACCTGCAGTAAATCGCCAGTCCAACATGGTGTGCGTCTCTTCCATAGAGGCACATCTGGCCGACTGAATTGCATGGGTGAATCGGAAGATGAACTGGACCTTCTCCCCGTCGTCAATAAGTTTGTGTCTTGTCATTGTGGAGGTTGTTGCCACGTCAACCAGGAAGGCATAGTCGTCTAGTATCGGACTGGTGAGTGAATGAGATCAGCTGAGGGATGGACAACATAAGCGCACCGATTCTCTTCATGTCAGAATGAAGCCCGAGAGCGCTAATTGCGGCATGACTAAACGGGCCAGTATCTGTGCACCACTCCACAAAGGACTTGTAGTTGGCCCGCGTCTCTGCAGAGAGCTGCTTCTGCATATCCTGTATATTGCAAGCGACACGACAACCGATCTTGTGTATAGCCCAATCCCCCTTCTGGCACGTCTTGCTCTAGGGTGGAAAAATATCAATTAGAACTGGTCGCACAACAGATGAGGAAGAGAGAACGAGTGACGCACACAGTACCGAATGAACCTGCAATTGCTGCACGTCTTCAAGAGTTGACCAGGTGGCAAGCACTTCTGACAAGGGGTATCACCACACTGGCCTCGTTGATAAATGTGCTTTCTGCAATTCTCGCAGATGTCCCCGACCTTCAGTGGCATGGTGGAGTTTGGATAGAGGGGCAAGCATGATGAGGGCTCCAGAGTCCCCTTATCCCCCACTTACTTATAAAGCTTTACCCACGCTAGTGGCAATCGATTGTGGGCGATGGTGAGAGTGAATGTGTGGACAAATGACCGTGAGAGAGACGGGCCCGGGCAACGTGTCGGAGGAACGCAAAGTCAGGGCACAATATGTGCTACTGTGCCTACGGTAGCGTAAGTAATCATATAAGGACAAGGAAGACACAACACACCCAAGAACCATGACTAACCACTCTGAGGTGTGCAACTCTAACAAAGGGAGCACATGCGACGAAGGCGGGCGCTAAGCGTGGGAACGCTTCGACATGACGGCAGGTCCGAGAGACTAGGGGGCGAGACGAGACGAGAGCAGCAGGGTGGCGTGAGTACGCTAACTCGAGGTCGAGCGGGCGACTGGGACCATCGCAGAAGTGGTAGAATCGTCTGAGGGGCAACGGCATCGCTTGAGAGCTAGGCTTCGGGTGTTTACCAAGTCCATGCGCGTGTCGAGGACCAACTTGTTGCTCCTCGTCAGATTCAGAATCCTCAAGCTGGTCAACATTTACCTGCCTCCGGTGTCCGTCCCTCGATTGTGTATAGGAAACTCTACTGTCCTGGCCTTGCGAGCCTCTCTCCACCTCTTCCTCTTCCTCTGCCTTTACCTTCAAGTCTCTATCGGGGTAATTCGCATGTTAGAACCGGGTTGATTCATATGAGTTCGAACGTCGACGCGCCGCAAACACACCAATCCCAGACACAGAGCTCGAATTCCACCCCTATTGTCGAGAATCGAGAGCTTCGGAACCGCTTTCGAAAAGATATCATTTATCACGGATGAGGGCCGTGCAATACTTACTAGTGAAGAGGGTAAGTATAAGTAAAGTGGATATGGCTACAATCTAATCCTTTCTACGAGACGGTCAACGCGCATATACGGACTTACATCAAACACCGGTGCAGTGGCCCGGTAGAAAGAAAGAAAGGTTAATGAGCGGGAGGGAGCTATCGATGGCGCCGAGCAGGTCTCGTCCATATCACTGGGCCACACAAGATGCTCGGAGCATCCCCAATGTCTACCCAAACGCCGGCCTCAACGTCGTAGAGACTCGCGTGTCGGCCAAGCACCGCGAGTAAGGCGTCGACGGGTTGTAGAGTGGCTCTTCCTCCACTGGAGACACGGACGGAGACATAGACGAGTGCGATGATTTAGAGAGGATCGAGATGAAGGATCGCTAAGCGCGGACAGGGATGGAAAAGACGAGAGGGAAGGAGAGGGCGAGGGGCCGACGGGAGTCAACAGGCGAGGTGGAGATGTGTTGGAATAGGCGGGCGACCCGGAAGAGTCGGGCGAGTGGACGAAGGCGCGAGGGGGTGGGAGAGGGTAGGCGTACGGATGTAGTGGTTGTGGACATGAGCGGAGGGAGCGAGGTCGAGCTGATCGCGAGAGGGCCCTAGGAGGAGAAGGAGCGTGCGGCTTTCGGTCCACCTCCATGCCCCCATCCCCGCTTTGAGGATCCTCGAGCCCGCCAACTTCTTCCTCGGTGTTCGGAGATCCACGCCTCCCTGAGTCCTGTCGTTCGAACTCCTTCTCCAGTCGGTAATACGCAACGCGCTCCTCCCGCTGGAACTGGTTCGGGCTGTGTGCATGCCATTCCGAACGTCTACGGCTTCGATCGAGGTCTTCGGATAGTCTCTGCGAGTGCGAGTGCGAGTGCGAGTGTGGTTGTCCGTGCGTTGACCCACCACACCAAGGAAGGGAACCACTGGAAGGAGTAGGAGCGTGAGGACGCGAAGGAGGAGCGCCGGCACGTATCTCTCCTCGAAGAACAGTTGGTACGGCAGGGTAGGTAGTTATAGGGATAATGTGAATATGTTGGCTTCCCACTTGAGTTGAGTTCGAGGCTGGCGGAGCGTTGGTGGAGGACGAAGAGGCGATAGCATGGTTTCTGTAGTGTCGACGCATGTTCGAGTTGACGCTGAACTCGCGGCCGCAGTTTGGCCACGGACAACGAAACGCTGCGAGAATGCCAACGTAAGCCTTCAAATTTTAAATGGAATTGTGGAGTCAAGCGAGAAAAAGACGGATGGACGGCAATTTAAGAAACGAGGGAGAAAGAGGAGAGGTGGCGAAGAAAGACAAACACAGCGTATATAGAGGGAACTTACGAGTGGCGCCAGTATGCGTGTTAGCGTGTATTCTCAAACTACTCGGTCGATTGAACCGCTTGAAACAGGTGGGGCAGGCGTGTTTCTTCCCAGACGGGATTCCGTCTACTCCAGCGCTGCCGTCGGCCGTCATTGGAATCATGGACATGCCTTTCATGAAGTACAGTGGCTGATGTACTTGGACGACATGGGGTGGGACGCTGTGGTGCATTGGTATTCGCGTGTTCGAAGGCACAGGAGAGTCCCCCAAGGAGCCCTCGGAGGCGTCTTCTTCATCATCGCTGATGTCCACTGGCTGTTGGTTATGTTGGTCGCGTGGATGCGGTGAGTGTGCGTGGTGACTTTCGCGTCCATCTCGGGAACATTTATGCTGTCGGTTCAGTAGGTGTCCTGGTGGTGGTCGTGGCGGTGCATGAGGCTGCGTGTGCGTAGGTTGGTGTGCAGATAGGCGCGTATAGGGAAGCAGACTCTCCGACGCAGCGCCCGGGACAGACGCTTGTCCGTTATCGTGACGTGGTTGCGCGTCGGAGCCTGGACTGTGCCAGCTGTCACCGGAAATGGTGGCAGGAGTATGCGTGTGCGCCGAGGTGGACGAGAACATAGACGAGGAACAGGCAGAAGAGCAGTGGCATCCGACAACCGTGCACGTCGAGAACGAGGCATTGACGGTAGTAGGCGACTAGAGTAAAGGTCAATCGTGTTCATGATGAAGCAAGAAATTGGACTCACAGGGTAGTTTCCCCAAGCCTGCCCACCGTCCAGCTCGTCCCTGTACATGAGGTGTGCTATGTCGAACACGTTCATCAATGGTCATTTTCTAAGGGAAAGAGGGTGAACGCACCTGGGAACATCTCGTGGATGCTAGGTAGGGAGACTGTCATGATGGAACTAGTGAAGGAAGTCTAAAGACGAGGACAGTGAAAGCGAAGAAGGGACGTATGTCCGATCTTTCAGACGCCTTCAAGTTATAAGCAGCGAAAGGCAGACTTTAGTGAGGACTCTGAGGAGACGCGGCGCCATCGATTGAGTTGCCGGCTTGCTTCTCGATTCGATTCGGAATCGGATCGGTACAGACTAGCGTGCAGACGACGTAAGGGAGCTGGCAGCGGCAAGCTTGAATTCACCTCGGGGACGGAGGGGGAGGGGAAACGCAAACCGGAGACAGCCAACGCTGGTGCAGTATTAGAGGGAATTGCCGGGGAGCGGCTATCGATCGGCGGCCCGCTTGAGCGAACAATTGAGTCGCGATCGGCCGGTGACCTGGTTCAACTTCCCGATCCATCTGCCCGATCGCGAATGTGAGGACCCAGTTTGAGTGATTACGACGTCATGCATGGGCTCTGAGAGGGATTATCCTCGCATCGCTGATATCGACGATGACGACGATTAACCACGGACAGACCATATCCCCCACAATCAGGATAGATCAACATGCATCCGAGACGGGAGATGTACTTCAACTATTGAATATTGGCCTCTCACTGCACTCGGAGGCCTGTCAAGTCCTTGGCGGCCATCAAGAGAGCCTCGTCAGCACGCTTAACTACCCTCGGAGGATTGGTTGATGTCCTGTGAGGGTGCGGACGAATTTGAACTCGACTCGGCGACGCCACTGAGAAATCTGAGCGTGCCAGTGCTGAGACTTTCCCTAGGCGTCTTCTTGCTTGTCGTATGCTTTCTCACCAGAATCCCTTGTCACTTCGAAGCTGAAGAGCCTTTATGAATCATGCTCGCTGTACAGCTCCTTATGCCCTGGGGGTACGCACGTCCTCGTCCGCTCTGACACGTCGTCCAAGCTTTGTCACCAGTCCCCGCGATACCTATTGGACGCACCTTTGACTCCGTCTCAAATTTCCTCGGCGTTCACACCGTTAAGCCCACGAATCAATCGAGGATGGGAAATCCTCAAACTTCAGTAGCGCTAGCTCCTGATTCTAATTAATTTAACCCTCGATGACCGCCGGCGATTCAAGCATCGGCTTCGACACCGAAATCAAGATTCGGCTTACTCGACGAACTTAAGAGCAGAACAAAATGGTACCCTCACGAAAACTTAAGCATTGGCTCACGCTCGTATTCCCCTATAGTAACCCATCCTAACCTCGTCGGAACTAGGTCGTCTTTACAACCTTATCGTCGGGAAGGAAACCATGAACCGTGGCGAGGATCGTACGCAGATTAATCGGCTTTCGAGATGATACCTTGAAGTCGCCGGCGGCTCGGGTTAAATTTGAGTCTTGATCTTGAACGTGAATTGGCTGTCTCAAGCTTAAGGTTGTTTCAAGGTACTGTCGTTCTGAGTTTACGTGGACAAGCTAGAAGGTGGCTGCGCTTGCTGCAATCAAGCTTGGTTGACTTCTAGCCTCGACGAGAGTAACATACGAGATAGTTTTTGAGTGCGGGTAGAGTGAGCGTTGCAACGGGCCAGGCTAGACACGCCACGACCACGACACTTGACGGCGAGAATTGTGTAAAATTATCCTCTCCGTCGACTCTGCTGCGGTATCCCCAAGCTCCCCGAATCATGATCGGGAGTAATGGAAATGGAGCTGGAGCGCTGATATCGGCGCCGGCTCATGATATCAACCTCAGAAATGAAATGTCAAATTCCAAAAGGGTTATTGCGCCGCTCTCTATCTTCCTATTTCGGTCTGTGCTCTCCCATAGAGAAGAGTGAAGCACCTTCTACAATTTCCAATAGGGGTGTAAAGAAACAGACTCGGAAGAGGAATTAACGACCTTATCGACCCTGTGGGTCATGCTGAAGGTGTCATTGCCGCCTTACACCCTCCAGGAAGGCAGAGGCTCAAGCCCTGGCGCCCGGTATCTCCCTCGACATCAGGGTCGAAGGCACTAGGCGAATTTCCCAGAGCGGTGGGCGTATAGCACTACAATGTTTGGGGTTACCGTGGGGCTTTTTCTGCCAGCATTCAAGTTCTAGTGATAAATTAAGAGAACACCTCCGAATGTTAAAGTGCTTGAGAGTGACTAGCATTGAGTCCACAGCCTACGGTTCAGCTGACTTGAATTCAGTTCTTTATGTTTGCTACTCACGACTTGGTCTAACCTAAGAGCTCTCCTGCTCTCCTGCTCTCCTGCTGTCATCCTCGCTCGCGCAACTCACCATCCGGCCGGGTTCTTCCCCCTCTCGGTGACTTCGTGTATGTGAAATTGACACAGCCGCGTCAATCAAGTAAGCCTAAGCACCGCATTGCTAAACAGGACGCAAAGCTCATATACGTTCCAGACTGGAGGTGATGCGGCTTTTTGCAGATACTCAAGTGTAAAATGATCTTTATGACATCTGTGCCATGAGGATCGCACGAGGAATCGTTAACCAGGAAGAGGAAGACAAGTGGTAATTCACAAGCACGCTACTCGACGAAATCTCATTTTCGAAACCGTTTGAGAGATCGCAGAGATATCGTGAAGGCAAGGCGGTTTTTTGAGACACCGGCTCCAGGTTCAAAGTGAATCAACTCAAGCATTAGAAGCACTCGTTATCTAAGGTTTAGGGTTGGACGTTGATGGCGTCTCCCTTCGCCATAGGGACCCAATGAGCGTTCTACGGTGAATTAAGTGCGTTCCTTCGTGAAGATACGAAGTAGTTGTTTCTTTCTTTTTGACATGTCACTTTGACTCGACTTTAGTAAAGCACTCACACCAGCGGTGAGAAGGAACGCGCATTGGCCGTGAATACTTTGGTAATTACGGCGTGTACTGTGGGGTGGGGAAAAGATATAATTAGAGTTGTCATAACCGCTGAGTACTGAGTGTTCTTAAAGCCGCGTCATCGAAACACACGTACTTCTGCAACTAGCCCCGTGTCTATGACATGGTAGACATAATAATGAAGGCCTCGAAGGATCGCGGGTAGCCAGGTGATGCACTCTAGAGAACGAGTGAGTACGGCAGATGTTCTTGTGTTCTCCCTTAGGCGATTGACAGCTTCGATATGGATTTTGAAGTGGAGCCTCGCTTTCGCCATGAGCCGTTGTTGACTCTGTTACTGTACCTCCGTTGAAGTCGGATCCTGTCCACCTGAGGTAGCAGTGGATTTTCGCCGTCATTCAAGCTCGCCGCGGCCATCGAAATGTTGGATCCTCAAAATACGCCACCATATGGGTATTACACTGCATTCGATCCTTTAGCAAGCTTCGTACTGGATATGGAGGTCAGACCGAATGTGCTGATGGCCGCTTCGGAGACGCGCCCCTCCTACGAGGCGTGTTGTGGAGTCAGAAATCCCGCTCAATTCAAAGCCTGTCAGTCAACTATCATCTAGACCGTCCTTTCCCTCTTTGAGTCTCCCGCGAAAGCCTACCTCCTTCTCAGGAGAACCAGGAAGTCTGCCGAACATAGCTTAGCACCGTATGCCATATGGAGGCTGACGGGCACCCCGAATCGTTGCTGATCGATTGATCCCTCATTGTTCGGTGGAAGTCGCGCCCAAAATAGAAATGGGGCGTACGGCCTGAGCCCGGCCAAATGTGTAGTTGCCGGCGGGCGTTTAGAGGATTCGAAGCAACGTCAGATTCTCCCTTTCCTGATCGCTGAGTTTACGCGTATGTAATATTTCCATTCAAAATTTTAATCGCTTTGACGATTGACAAATTTGAGACCTAAGGCCCATTTATTGCTTTCAGTCGTCGCGAATTTGTGAGCCCCTCCAGATGCGACTTTTACTACAGACGAAGAATTGTAGTTCACCTCATGATTATTTTCCCTCATCCTGCTGTGGGTGGAGTTGTCTTCATCGTATGTTCTAAAGGACGAGTCTACTCGGCCGCGTTGGTAGCTGTATTGACACAAAGAAGCGGGGTCTAGCGGAATGGGGATCGCGCCTGCCGTGTGGCTTTGGTGGACCTTTTCGTTATTATTTCCTCCGTTTTATGACGGCGTGTCAGCTTAAGTATAGAGCCTCTTCACACCGTGAAGGTAATGGCCGACCGCTAGGCTATAGTCCGTATCATGAACTCCTCTGGAAGGGGATATCTCGAGCCTAATTCTTGAAGAAGCTCGACAACGATGAACCGACGATGTTACCACCCTTATGATTCACGCAGATAAGGAACTGCGCTGCCGTGTTGTGCACACTCGTTGAGGCCCCTGCTTCTTAGAATACAAATATGTTTCAGAGGCTATCTATTTTGGATCCAGAGAGCAAGCCGTCCAGAGGAAGATGCGAATCCACAGATTGCCGGCAATGAAAGTCCCCATCCCACGGCAAGGCTATTTTATTCTTGGCCAATCACACCACTGTCGATTCCGTTGGACCTCCCATGTCAACTTCATGAATCCCGATTCCCCGGGACTTGGGTGTTGTAGGGTGTTGTGGACGGAGACAATAAGGTTCGACCCATGGGAATTAATTGGATAGTGGAGGATGGAGAAATTCACGTACGTACGTATGTTGACTCCGAACGCCCCGAACCAGCGTCGATCACGAGCTCTCTGGACTCCAATTGTATGTTGGGGGTTCTCAGGGAGTCTCAGGGTTGTTCTACGACGTGTCATGAACGCACTGCCCTTGCCTAACAAAAGTTGAACCAAACCTACATGCGCGTGATTGTGGGTTGGAAGCATTCAATCGGCCGTGTGGAAAGTATAAATGACGACCAAGATTTCGAGGGCGTTGACATGACATCAGAAAGCCAGACAAAGTCCCTTTAATCCGCAAATCCTGAGATGGTGACATGAGGGTCTGCGAATCGTGATCTACGAGCCGATACGCGGATGGTCAGGTCCTTCCTTCCTTCCTCATCTACAAGAGCGGTCGTGGCCTAAACAGTGTTCCCTATCTCACAAGTCAGTGGTAATCTCGTGGTCTGGGGTATGCGAGAGGATCCACTGCGTCGACGTCGTGGACAAGAGTTTTCGGTGTTCAAAATTCTGTGCGATTCGTTGACTAGCGGGAGAGGGGACGTCCATGAGGAGGTTATGTAGCCCTGCGCCTTACCCCTCGAAGCTCAAGAGAGCGGACTCGTCGATCATCTGCCTCCGAGCCATGGTAGGGATACCTCGCTAGATAGACACGCACCCCAAAATGTTGGTGGTTACAGAGGGATATCCAAGTAGCACCCAGTGGCCAGTGCAGCAGCTCGACTCGTGCCAGGGCCCAGAATGGGACAAGTGGCTCGGGACATAAGTCGCTACTCGAATCGACTGTTCGCAGCCTTGAAGAAGTCGTAATCCAACTTGACGGCGATTAAACATCATTTAACGCTGCGGGATGGTGATCGGGGACGGACTCAAGGCGGAGTCAGTCGTCGTCGTCGCTGGCAATAACGACGAGAATGTTTGCCAGCAGTATACGGATATAACAACGCCAAGCTCTCACGAAGACGGGCCGACGTCTTCCGGCACGAGCGTCAATTTGACTTCGTCTAATCTTATCCAGCGGCTTCAAGGCGTCCGGTTGTGCTGTTCGTCTTCCTTCAGTCGCGCCACATTTTCATATTGCTCTATATATGAGCAGCCCATCAAATGTATCTCATTCCTAGTCCTGTCGATCTTTTCCGACTCAACACAGTCTCGTTGATCATCTGCATGTCGAAACGGTGGCAAAAGGTGCTACGCTGGCCCAGAGTTAAGCTCAAACTACCGATGGATGGCTGATACACGACATCGAGCATGTAAGAACGCTATCCGGACCTATTGTACTCAAAAACCTTCTATTCTCGTCTTCCTTCCAGCTGTTTCGTTTAGGCTCATCCGCTCCGTAGCAGCCGTTGGAGAGACATCAAAGATGGAAGAGTCGATTACTGTGCCATGGCATGTTCCATGTAAAATTTATGTGACAGGATTAGAAAAAATGCATTTTCTCAGCCGCGCCACGCAATGGTCCTCACTTGAGCTCTCATTCATTTTTTCACTTCATCATCTTTAATTCCAAGGGAACTGGGTTACGAGGGGTACTGGGGCTACAGATTCCAGGGCCAATATGGAGTCATCATAGTGTATAGAAAGCGATGGCCGGGGAGGCAGCAAATATAGAAGCGCTGAGACTCAGAAACGACGAAGGGAAAAAGAAACGTCACCTCCACCCACCAACCGCCGGGGATTGCACGAACGCAGGCCTCGACACATTCGACACCCTCTCATCAGCCACGCTCCTCCAATATGGAATCGACGGGTTGTAGCGCGGCTTCGGGGATCGGCCACCACTTCACCTCGTCTGGTAATACCGAAGGGGACACCGAAGGTGACCGTGTGGACGAGATTCCTCGAGACGGCGGGGAAGACCTCGAGTCTGGTGTCCCAGGACCGCTGAAAGCCGACAAGGCAGGAGAATGTGAGTCCTTCACTTTCCCTCTCGGGGATGGGTTATCAGTGGAGAGGGATCGGAGATCGGAGTGAGCTGGCACAGACGGCGATGTGGGGAACGAAAGCGTGATGGTGGGTGCGCGGCGTAGGGACGAGCGTGGGGGCTTGAACGAGGGGAGAGGGGTCGAGCTGGTTGAGACTTAGAGAAGGGAGGACGAGGACGAGGACGAGGAGCGTGCGGACCCGGGTCGACGTTCGTCTAATAGGCCTTCGTGGAGGGGTGGCGGGAAAGTAGGATGTGTACTTGTAGGTATTGGACTTCGAACTGCATTTGACGATATTGGGTTGGAATAGGAGCCTGAAGGGTGGATGGAGAAGGCCAACGAGGACGAGGGAGAGGAAGAGGTCGTGGTGCGGTTCCTATAATGCCGCTTCATATTCGAGTTCACATTGAACTCCCGACCGCACTTCGGCCACGGACAACGAAACGAAATGCTACGTAACGAATCCGACCGTTAGTCCTCCTTTTCAAAACTTCAAAACGGGGAGCTGGAAGGTGGGGGGGCAAGAAAAAGACGGACGGAAGAAACGAGGAGACTCGGAGAGAGAGAGAAAGGGGACCAAGAAACGACAAACACAGAATGAAATGGAGAGAGAGAGAGAGAACCCACGCGTAGCGCCCGTATGCGTATTCCCATGTATCCGCTGACTACTCGGCCTATTAAACCTCTTGGAACACGTCGGACACGTGTGTTTCTTCTCCTTCTCCTTCTCCGGCGGTGCGCCACCAGCAACTCCCATAGGGATGACGGACTCGGACTCTACACGAGGGGAGGAGGGCGGACAGGCGGACGGATGTGGGTGGTGCGCACGCGTACGCTAGGTGTGAGTGTAGAGTAGATTGCCATGATGGTGCTCGTGTGAGCCCGGGCCCGGGTGAGGATGGGCCGTAGCTCGCGAATGAGAAGAGGCCGCCGCGGTTGACGATGCTGCGAATTCGAAAGACTCGGAGGCGGTGGGCAAACTTAAGAGGGTGTGGTCTGGGTGTGGGTGACCCTGAACCGGATGAGCGGCGGCAACCCGCGACTGGGCACATCGACGTCGAGCCGGTCCCTGCACAAACCTAGTCGTAGATACAGCGGCAGCCAGGCAAGGTCTCCTTGATGATGAGAGGTTCGAGTTCATACCGAAGGTGACGTCGGTCTCGTCATCGGTCACGCCGCCACCACCCGTGAGCAGGGCAACGATACGGCCATTTCTGTCGAGGACGACAGAGCCGGAGTCGCGCCCGCCGTAGGGAACGATATTGGCCTCGAGGGCGGTAAACTTGAGCTTGAGGTCGTAGTGGATGTAGTAGTGGCGGACAATTGCAAGGGATTTGAGGCCGTTCACCCAGCCGACGGTAGTGTCCGTGGTCAAGCCGTTCTTAATGACGTGCATTGAGCTGCTTGGGTTCACAGATTTCGCTCTAGATCTCGGGCACGCTGCCGACGATCTGGAGGAGGCCGACTCGTAGCCAGCCCGGTCCTTGTAGTTGGGGAACATGAGGTTCCGGTAGGCTTCCCTGTCGATCTTGGGGCCTGTGCGATCATGAATGAATGAAACAATTGTTTGCGGGACGAGCTGGCGAGATGGATGTACGATGTATACTAAACCCTGTTCCCCTTGAAATCGCGATTCGCCCCAATCGAAAGCGTCCTTAAGTGTTGAGCTGGATGACGGCCCAGTCGACGGTGAACCCATCAGGTTCGTCCGAGGAGACGCCATGGGGTCGGCGTGCAGAACGTGGCCAATGCATCGCTTCTTCGGGGTCCCTGGCATGAACTTGGTAATGCGGGTGTGAAGGCGGTCCAGCTGCCGTATATTATCCGTTGCCATATCCGCCTCCTGCTGGGCGACCTTGGTCCTTGAGGGCCATGTCGACCCTCTCGGGGTCTCCCCTGCCTTCAGCCTTCAGCCGAACGACCCTGTCCCTCCCTGTCCTCTGCCTCCTCCTCATTGATATCCTGGACGGTGCCGATTCTAGAGTCAATAGCGGTAGTGGCGTCCTCGTAGGCCTTGTTGCCGAGTGCGACCATTTCCGGATCCTCGCGATGCCGGTCGCTGTCCTTGCGCGATAACCCCGTGTTGCGGTGCATGGGGGGAGGGCGAGCGGCATGGGCGGCTGTGAGAGCGAGGATGCCATCGCTGTCCTTGCGGCGGCGGCGGAGGTACAGGCGGACGGAGCCCTTAGAGTCATAGTAGGGCGTCTTGAGGGCGCGACGGCGAGGCCGAGTGTGGACGTGATAGGCCTGTCGACGAGGGGATTGAGGGACGGGAGCTTGGGGCCCGCAATGGACAGGCTCGTCGTCCACTTGCGGACGGCGACGTCAGGCGACAGTCTTGGGCCGCACACCGATCGTCACCAGGAGCGGGCAGAAGGGGGTCTTGTCTCCAGCGTCGGCGAAGGCGAAGCCTGTGATGGCGGTAAACTCGACCTGACGACCATCGAGGTATGCCTCGGCTTTCCTGAGGATTTCGGGCCAGGAGGAGGTAATGGGGTGGCCGTGGACCGGGCGCATCTCGCGAATGTATGGCTGCGCATCCGGACCGCCCTCGCGTTTTGGCCAGGCAGAGCCCGTCTTGTAGATGACCGTGCCGTAGGTGTCGGTGAAGGCGTCTGGGTAGTGGTCTGTGAATCGGGACCGTTCAGTGTCGATGTCGGGCTTGTCGAACTTGAGGGCAGTTGGGGCTTCGCGATTTCCTTGGGGATGTCCAGGCATAACTCGAGGAAAGAAGGATCGATGTTGCTGATTTTACTTTCAAGCGGCACTGGGAGGAGCGGTCAGTAACGAGGACAGATAAAGCGCTAAAGGGCGTACTTGTGTGGAGAGCCATCAGTGAAATCATGAGATAAGATAAGATAATGCACCCTTCTCAAATGAGTCTCTCCAAACATCCCTTCCGCACGTGACACGCGCACCGAGTCCCAGTCGTCCACACTCACACCCGCAAGCTTACCCACCACACCCGCACGCATGCGTTGAACGCCCTCGTACAAACGCGTTTTGCGGGCGCTGCGTCGGAGTGTGCGCGCCTTCCCATGCGCCCACCAACTTGAACCTCATCACGCCCCGACCCCACCACCACGCCCCACATCGAGCACATTACCCACAACCAATCGACGCCAGCGACGACGACGCCTCAGAGGGCTCGCTCCATCCCCACCCTACATCAATTCGCACATACCAATCAATTCGAACATACCCTACGCACTCTCAGCGCTCAGGCTCCGAGTCTGTGCGTGCATCCTGGACCCAACATCCCTTCTCGCGCCGTCGCAGCCCTTGCACATACACACGGGATGTCCGTCATGCCTATAGGCCAGGGCGTGACTCGGTTGGTGTTAGCGCACCGCCGTCGGGGAAGAAACATGCTTGTTTCGAGGTGTTTAATAGGCCGAGTAGCTTGAGGATACACGGTAATATTCATACGGGGGCTACTTGTGAGCTCTCCTCTTCCCTTGTTCCCTTGCTCCCGCTTTTAATACCACTTCCCTTTCCTTTTCTCCCCACGTCTCAAGAGATGTCACTGACCATCTATGTTACTTTTAGCCTTCCGTTGTCCGTTGTTCAACGTCCCGCGTCAACTCCAACATGCGCCGACACTATAGCCTCTGCCTCTGCCTCCTCCTGAGTCCTCCATCCGCCCAGCCCCGGGCCGTCCCGACGCAACCCAACCCGAAATCCGAATTCGAGACACACACCATAACGACTCGCGAGTCGTCCCGCATGTACACCCTCCTGCTCCCCCACGTTACACTGGCCCCCGGGCCCACGATGGGTGATACTTTATATGCATCCCTTTCCCTTTCCAGGCCTTCTTGGGCCTTTTGCAAGCTACGAGCCACGACCGTCCATACTAACCCGAACGGGCTCCAGCTCAGACGACTGCGTAAACGTACAGCAATGCATAGTGCGTACTGCGTACATACAGTCACCTCGAAAAGGAACGCGAAAGCCTGGGGCACATGTATATGGTCCAGGCCGTCATCATCGGCTGGGGACGAAGAAGAAGGAGGGGCGTCGACGCGTCGGATGGCGAAGGGATGGAAGTCAAAGCATCCGCGTCCGCATCCTCTGACTTATGCCGGAGGCACCGCGTTCTCTGCACCGACCGACAAGTATGGCTGACCCTTGCTCCCGTCCACAGCCTCATTGCCTCGCACTCCCCCTCGCCCCAATCTTCCTAATACTATTGACCCACTGTGCTATCCAAATTCATTCCTCTCGTTCGTTAACGGTGCCCCTCTCACCTCCGTCCGTGGTATTCTCGTCTTTCTGTGGGTCCTTCCTCACACCGGCCGGCCTTAATCTCAATCTCAATCGTCTGCGTCCCCAAGCTCAGGCTGCGGTGTCCGCGCCCCCGTCTCCATCCATGTGCGTCTTATCTCTAATGGCCGTGTCACCGTCACCGTCTCCGCCCGTGTCTCTGACGGTGTCTCCAGTGGACTCGGACTCGGAGGTGAAACAGCGCTACAACTCCTCCGACGCCATGATCGAGAAACCTAGGTGATACGGGGATATCAACGATGTCGAGGCCCGCTTTCGTCCAATCCCTGGCGGGAGGGAGGTGATCTTTCCAGCCCGTCGTCGGACCTCTTCCTCTTCTCCGCCCTTCACCTTTTCGTCCGTCGGACGTACACCTCTCGCTCGTTGGCTTCGACTCGGCGTTCGATGAAGATGAAGATGTTCTTCAACGAGCTGCGCTTTCAAATTCATCTCCGAATCTCTGACATTGCGGTTACTTATTTAAATCAATAACAAGAGAGCAAATGTCTACTACATCCCACTGCGGCACTGCCACATGTGTAACTTAGGTATCAGCACCGTTGAGTCGTTCTCGGGGTTGAATGTTGAACTCGCGCTGGGACATCTTGAGATGGAAGGACCCTCTCCCGCGGGGAGTGGTTCTAGACACTTACCACCCACGACCGTGACGGCGTCTGCTGTCAGCTGCTTGTGTAACGCGGAGAGTTTGATTTGGGTTCGACGCTGACAATAGGTGGGATAATAACGAGGCAGCTGCACCTCACATGCCACGTTACGGTAGACGGCAGGAAGAGGCACCGCTGCTCCTCGTTAGAGGAAGAAGTGGCCCTCGTACGGCTTCCTGAGGCGGTATGTACGGTCGAGAAAAATCGTGAAACATGATCTTGAGACACGGTCTTGGACGTTGAGGGACCGCGTGCGTGCGCAGATTGAGTAGCCTTTAGACCAATTCCTCGAAGCCGCCGGTAGCTCGGGTTGAATCTGACTTTGAAGACGAATTGGCTGTCTCGTAAGATTAAGGCTCAAGTCGTTTCGAGTGACTGTCATTGTGAACTTATTTGTCAAGGATGGAAGGTGGTGTCATCTGTGCTGACCTCAGATTTGCTACTCGTGTTCTACAGCGAGCGGTACTAGGCATGTGAGGTTTGCTTTTTAACGTGGTTAGAGCGAGCCTTAGACTTGCAACGGCCCGGACAATGCACGACACGACACTTGACGGCGAGAATTGAGAAGTTGAAGTATATTTGTCCGCCCCGTCAATTCACTCGCGATCCTCGTGGGACTTGCACTCCCCGATCGGTAATTGCGTGGTCGGGGAGCCCTTGCTACCCGCGTTACTAAGTTCGTGATACGCTTCGTACATGACCTGTCAGCTGCGGAAATGAAATGTCAATTTCCAAAACTGGCATATTGCGCCTCTCTTCCTATTTTGGCTCCCATTGCATTCTCGCTCAGAAAGTATGTACTCTAGTGAACCACCCTCTCTCATTTTCCGCCCGCAAAAAAAATTGAAATTAAAACGGAAAGACGAGTTAGACACATCACTCCATCGATGGACCCGTGGGACATAGTGGAGTTGACATCGCCGCCATAAACCCCCCAAGAAGACACAGGCGCAAGCTCTGATGCCCGGTATCTCCTTGGACATTAGAGCTGAACGTACGAAGGAGATTATATGGAGCAGTTGTTGTGTAGCACTACAACATTTGGAGCTACTGTGGGCCTGGGTTTTTGTAGCTAGCCTTCAAGTATGTAAATAGAGGTCAATTGGAAGAGTATCCCTGGATGTTCCAATGAGATGCGTGGATGTGAAGATGTCCGGATGGTGTACTTAGCTTACGTGGCTTGGATGGAGAGGCTCCTACTCATTTTAGTTGTCCTCATGGCAACTTCACGATGCCTAGCACATGAGGGATCCATAGCAGCGTCCTTCCATGGCCACTCCCCAGCACATGCAGTCTATACACGACGTCTGACAGCAGGAGAGAGATAAACAGTGACTTACGACCCTATTGGTTAATGATACCTTATTTCCGAAGCCGTTTGGGTGCTCATGAATTCCGAGAATCGAGCTCGGGCATTAAAGCTCCAATGGGTGCTCTCCAGCGAATCAGATGTGTTCCTTCGTGAAGACGTAAATCAGTAATTCCTTGTTGATTCAGATATGAAGCTTGAATTTAGATTTCTCCTTGGGTTTGGTTGCCGGAATATCCCACTGACCGGGCACGAGAAGTCAATCCCTTCTGAATTATCGCGTGAAATGTGGGTAGGGAGCAGATATAATTATACTAAACGCCGGGTATTCGCGAAGCCGCGCCGTTTAAAGGTGCATTCTTCTGTGCTAGTCCCTATCCCGGTCCCTATGTTTGCGACATGGTAGACATAACGAGGAAGGCCTCAAAGGCTCGCGGGTAGCCAGGAGATGTATTCTAGAGAACGAGTGAGTCAGCGAGTCTGACAGATGTTCCTTACATGATTCAATTGATATTTTCGATATGGATTTTACAGTGGAGCCTCGCTTTTGCCATGAGCCGTCGTTGATTATCTATCACCGTCGTAGTCGGATCCCGTCACCCACCTGGGGTAGAAGAGGATTGTCGCAGTCATTCAAGCTCGCCATCTGAGTGTTGGATCCTCGAAGCACGCCACCAGGTACATATCCAACATCATTCGTCATTTCAGCAAGCTTTTTACTTGATATAGAGATGAGACCGAGTGCGTTGCTGGCCACTGGAGAGTGCATCCCTCCCGCGAGACGTGTTGTGGAGTCAGAAAACCCACTCAATTCAAATCCTGTCAGTTAACTACCATCTAGACCGCCTTTTCCCCCGTTAAACTTCCCGCGAAAGCCTCCCCTCTTGACAAGAAGACGAAGAAGTCTGCTGAAACTAGTTTAGCGCTGTACGCCATATGGAGGATGACGTACATGCCGAGCTGTCGCTGATCCCGATCTCGTTCGTGCAGAACAAAAATGGGGTGTGAGACTTGAGCACGGCCAAATGTATAGTTGCCGGCGGGCGTTTAGAGGACTGGAAGCAATCTCAAATGATCGCCTTTCTAGACTCGATAATACTGGTCTACGTGTATGCAATATTTCCACTCAAATTTTCAAGACTCCTTGACAATTTACGACTCTGAATTGTCAGTATATTCCCCTACAGATATAATCTTTACCACGTGTGAGTTTATTGTTCGGTCGGGCGTGTTCGCACCTGTAGGTGACAGTAGGAATCGGATTCCCCCAACGATCTAGTGAAATGGGGATTATGTATGTCGACTGTCCGGCATCGGCATTGGTGTACTTTTCTTGGTTATTTCCTCCGTTTCTCGATGCTTCTGCGGGTATGACGGTGTGTCGGCCTAAGTTTAGAGTGGCCTCACACTGTCAAGGTGATAACCGACTGCTATACCATAACCCGTAGTATAAACCCTCCACTGGAAGGGGATATCTCGAACCAATGAGCTCGCATTCTCATGACTGACGCTGTTTAGAAACGGCGCTTCCCTGTTGTCCGCTTCTTCGAAGACGAATACCCTAGGTTGCAGAGGTTGTTTATTTTTGGGAGTAGGCCTTTCTGAAGAAGATGCGAAGCTGCGGAATGTCGGTACTCACTCCCCAGGGAGGGCTCTTCATCTAGATTACCTTGCTCTCCCACGGCGAGGTTAATTTATTCTTGGACGATGACACCACTGTCGATTTCGTCGGACCTCCCATGTCAACTCGGGGTTTGTGGCCAGAAGTGAAGGTTAAGGTTTGCCCCATGGGTGGACGCAAATTTGCGGTTCACAATGCACATACTTCGAGTTCGCATGGAGCGAAACAGCGTCGATCATGTTTGCAGACTCGGTTCGTGCATTGTGTGCTCTCGGGCCTAAATACCCTCCGTTATTCTGCGATGTGTGGTGAGTGTCCTTCATTTGTATGGGCAATCAAACCTACGTGGGTGTGATTGTGGGTTGGAACTATTCGATCGGGTGTGTGCCCAAACGACTGCGAAGAACTTGAGGGCGTTGACATAACATCAAAAAGCCAAACAAATTCCATTTAATTCCACGTCGTAAATCATGAGATGGCGACACGAGGGTGTGCAAATCGTGATTTGCGAAGTAACTGGCCGATACGCGGACGGTCAGGTTGATCCTCAAACTTGCTTTGCAGCAAAAATATTTCCAGGAACGCCATGAAGGGGTCGCGCATCTCCTCTGGGGGAAAGATTCTGTCCCGATTCTCGTTGTCTGGATGTTATTTTCTCGTTTTCACGGCATCTTTCAATTGGAAGGGTCAGCTGGATTCAGAGGTCAAGGTATAGAAATCCACCGAATCGTAGTGCAAAATGGCTAAGCACCTTCTGACGCGGCACGATGGTGGTCGGGGACAGAATGCGGAGGCATCTCGGTCGTCATCGTTGCCAGCGGGAATGTTTGGCACCAGCATACAGACACAGCAATGCCAAGCCAAGAAGACGGGCCGAAGTATTCCGGCACGGGCGCTAATGTAACTTTGTCTAATCTTATCTGGCTGTGTAGGTGTTGTGCCACATTCTTGTGCAGCTTTAGAGAGGATAGTCAGGGTATCACTCTGGACTTATCCCTGTTGATCTTTTCCAAGGTATCACCGTCTTGCAGAACGCCGGACTGTCGAAGCGCCGACCTGATGGAGGATCTATTTTTGACATCTGGTATCGAAGAAAGCTGCCCGGAGTTCCTTTGATCAAAACTTTCTGCTCTTGTAATCGATATTATTGGCCACCTTTCGTTTCTCGTGCCCTCCCCAGTAGCCGTTGGAAAGGCAGCAGGCAGGGAAGGGTCAATCCTTTTTGTTATATGTTCCGGAAACTTCCCTCTCTGACAGGTATAAATAACCCACCTCTCTGACGAAAGAACCTCGTACAATTTGTTTTCTCTTCGAATACGGCTCATGTACGTTCTGACTGTTGACGGGATGAGAATTACTAACACGCAACGCACGTCTCTAGCCCTTCCGTGCTGCCGCAATCTCGAATCAACATAACACCGCTGATCGATTTATCATATAGAATGTTCCGATTACCCAGCCGTTGTGTGCGTGAGTCAAGGGGTTGTCGAAGCCTCGAAGTCCATTAAGGAGCGGGTGCCAGTGCTGCTGCCGTAGAGCAATCCACGTTTATGACATTATAACTTATCGGTCCTAGAGGGGAGTCCGTCTCCTCGTGACGTCGGAATCAAACCCATCCAAAAACGAGTCAAGCTGGTGCGAATCGCCATCTCTCGCCAATCTCTCGGCCAACTGCACTCCCAAAAGAGGCCGTCAGGGTCCGCGCCAATCCTTCGGCGACAAACGGAGGGCATTGATGGACGTTACGGTCAGTCCGATCTAATCTTCTGTTTAAATACGGCCCCACCATCGAACGTGAAGCTTTTTTTAACAAGACCTCGATTCTAGTCAAGAAGCCAGCCAGTAACTCAACTGACCGCCCTCTTCCTCAAGCCGCTCGTCCATCCTACGCTATATAACTTCAAGAACCAAGAGGTACCACCAAGTTCTCCACGTCGACTTTACTTTCACGTTCACATTTCCGTTAGCACTTCCAAGTTCCGACTCCCCAGTCACATTTCCACGATGGCAGTCTCCCTACCCAGCATCCACGAGATGTTCCCAGGTGCGTTCACCATGCTTTCCCTCTCCAAGAACATCGACTCAGGGGCGTGTTCAACACAGCGCACCTCATTCACAGGGACGGGCTGAACGGAGAGAAGATGACTGGACAGTCTCCGTGAGTTCGAATCTTCCTTCACCATGAACGCCGAGCGCGATTAACTGTCAATTTTTCATCATAGGCCCGAACAGGTACCTGCTCGACATGCACAATCACCGGTTGCCACTGCTCCTCCGCCTCTACGTCTTCGTCTGTGTCTTCGGCGGCTTTACCGCCCACAAACTCCCGACGAGCGCCGGATCTTCACCCACACACCGATCTAAACCTACAGTCGTACCCACACCGCAGCGATGTATCAGGCCGACGACGTCAGGCAGTCGCCAGCACGCAATCGAGCACGCAGGTTTACCCACTACACACTAACACCGTCGCCGCCCACGCACAAACGCCTGCTCCGCGCCCGAGTTTAGCGGCGCATGCGTCAACCCATACTCGCTTAAGCTTAGGCTCTCAGCAACATCCTTGCTCGCAGCCTCGTCCACCTACACAATCACCAGACTCCCCGGACCTTCCATGCCGACAACCTCATCAACGGACAGCGGATGCGAGCGATAGCGAAGAAGACGCCTCCGAGGGCGAGCCCGACCCCAGCTATGTCTCGACGAAGAAGCGGCCAACCTACAGCGCTTATCGCGGCGCACCTCCTTTCCAAGCGCCTACACACGGGATGTCCAGAATGCCAATGAATTTCCACAACGTTGTTCCGTCCGAGAAGAAACACGCTTGCCCTACATGCTTTAAGAGGTTCAACAGGCCGAGTAGCTTGAGGATACATGTCAACACGCATACGGGGGCTACTCGTAAGCACTCCTCTACTTACCTTCTTCCTTTCTTCGTTTTGTTGATGAAGGTCTACGCTTAGCGTTCCGTTGTCCATGGCCAAACTGCGGTCGGGAGTTCAACGTCAACTCGAACATGAAGAGGCATTATCGAAACCACACCACGGCGGCAGCTTCCTCCGGTGCCCTCTCCTCTTCCTCCGGTTACCTCTCCTCATACCCCCACCCATCCGATTCCAACCCAATACGAACCAGGGTTTTCAGCCCTATAACGACCAGTACTCATCTGGCGACCCCTCCTGCTCTCCGAGGTTACAGCCCGCCCTGCGATGGCTGCATGCATGGCTTTCCTGCTGTTGAAAGCCACGCTCGTGACGCCCCAGACGATCGGTGGAGGAAGAGCCAACGGCCGGAGAGAGGAGCACGGCACATGCATATTCCGAACCAGCTCCAGCCGGATTACATCACGCATCAGATGGAGCGCGAAAAAGAGCGAGCTACAAGGCCGCCGGCTGGGGACGAAGAAGAAGTTGATGAGCTGGGTGTTTCCGACGGTGAAGACATGGGGGCCGTCGATGGGCCGCACGTTCCATCCCCGTCCTCCGGACCCACTCGACCGCGAGGAGTTGAGCATTTAACGTTCTCGTCCCCTAGTCCTTCGTTGTCGCCTTTGCCCCCACTTGCAGCTTTCGGTGGTTCTTCGTCCCGGTCATCGCACTCATCTGCGTCTTCCTCCGTGCCAGAGTCAGAGGCAACGTCATATTATAACCTTTCGATGCCATATTCAAGCAGTGTGACTAACCCCAGGGTGTCGACCGGTGTGCTGAGACCTGCGTTCATGCAGACGATGGCTGGTGGGAGGTGATCCTTCGTTCGATCTCTTTCACTCACTTGTTCGAGATTTCTTAGATATATACTCTAGTTCTTCACCTGTTCCGCGGCCGGCGAGAACTTGAAAGTCTGAACCGTTTTCGTTTCGCAGCTGGCTTCGACGCCGGAATTAAGCCGGAACGAGGGTATGGGCCCGGGACTACTTGCTTTCTACCTCCCCTTCGCCCAAACGCAGCTTAAGCTCTCGACAAAATCCTGTAGCTAAAAGTCCGATACTAATCCATGAACATGGACGTAAGGGAGTGGGGGGTCAAGCCCACAATGTCGCCTAGTGACCGAAATAAACACCAATAGACGTTCATCGGGTTTAAGTGCAATCCCATCTTGGAGAAGGGAATACGTACCTCTGCCGAACGTTGGGAGTGGTTCTAGGTCCTTACATATCTTACACCCACGCATCGGCGTCTGCCTGCTGTTGGCTCCGGATGTAACACATAGAGCAAAGTTGAAATTAAGCTCGATGCTCATGGGAAGGGAGGCATCTCACACGGCACGCTCACGCCACGGTAGACGGCAGGAAGGGGATCTGCTCGTACCAGCCGCGGTTCTCCGAGACTTTCAGGAATTTCGGAAATGGCCCTCGTAGAGTACGCGATTACTTCGAGGGGAATCGAAAAACACGATCATGAAAAGCTCTCGATTAATGTCGAGAAGGGGAGAGGGGAGACGTAGGAAAGGACCGAAACAAGGTTACATAGTATATGCGGATTAATTGGCGTTTGAGTTGATGCTTTGAAGTCGCCGGTGGGTCGTCGGGTTCGGTTTAATCTAGGGGGTAAATTAACTGTTTCGTGAAGCTCAATATTGTCTCGAGTCGTTGCCGTCGTGGATTTGCTTTGTCGAAGTAGAAAGTGGCAACACTGACTGAGATCGAGCTCGCTCGACTTCTAGCCAGGACATAGATGTGAGGAATTCTTCGAGGGTGGTTAGAGTGAGCATACCGTGACGGCACGGCTACCATTGGCCAATGGCTGCACGACACTCGACGGCGAGAATTGAGACAAAGCCAATTTATCCTCATGATCGGCCGTCTCCCATTGGTGATTTGTAGTCGTGGAGCTGGAGCGTCACTGATACCGGCGTCGACTCGTGATACACATTATGTCAACTTTAGATTATCAATTTCCAAAAGAGGTATATTGCGCCTCTCTCTCTTCCTATTTCGGCCTGCATGCTCCCTCGGAGAGTAATAAAGCACCCTCTCCCGTTTCAAATATGTTTATAAAACTGACTTGGAGGAGGATCAATGGCCTCACTGACCCCCGTGGGTTCGTCGTGAAGCTGTCATTGCCGCCTTAAAGCCTCCAAGACGGCGTAGGCTCAAGCTCTGATGCCCGGCAAGTATCTCCTTATACATCAGGCCTCAGGGTCGAACGTTCAAACGAAAGTACGCGGAACAAGTTGGCGGGTAGCACCACAACGTTTGGGGGTACTGTGGGTTTCCCATGTATTTTATGCTAGCCCTCGGAACTTCGGTGATAAATTATCGGGACGCTCTGGGTGTTTCCGCGAGATGGTTGGATGTGAGAATGCCTGAGCGAGGTGGACCTTAAGCGGACCGCCTATGTTTCAGCTCGCTTGAGTCCGGGTCTTTGCGCCTGCTACTCACGACTCGGTCGAACCTAAGAACTCTTGTACTCTCCTCAGGTCTCCTGCTATCAGTCTCGCCTGTGCAACTCGCGACCTGCCGATGCATGCAGCTTATGCGCGGAGTTGGACAGGAAGAGAGGTAAATCATGATTTATGGGGGGAGTGTTCGGTGGTATGAACTTCGTGTGGAAGCTGTTTGGGATCTTGTTAATCTCGAGAATCTGGATAATGTGGAAGTAAGGCGGTTAGTCCTTCAAGACACCGGCTCGTCTGACATCTGGTTCGCAAGGTAGGGATCTAATGCGTGTTCTGCAGCATGTTTAATGTGTCCCTTTGTGAAGACACAAAGTAGTTCTTCTCGATGTGAAACTCTAATTAAGATTTTCCCTTGGATTCATTTGGCGGAATGGATTTGTGGCAATGATCGGGAACATGCACACAAGAAGTGACTAGTGACCTCGTAAATACCGTGTGAACTGTGGGGTGGGAGACGATATAAATTCTCATAATCGCCGAGTGTTTGGAAAGCCGCGATGTTGAAAAGCGCGTTCTTTTGTGGAGCACCTCATGTTAACCAGGACGTAATAATGAAACTTACAAAGGCTCGCGGGTAGCCATGTGATGTAGTTCAGAGAACTACTGAGCAAGACAGCTGCTCGTGTGTTCCTCCTTCGCAACCCTGTAGACAGATGATTGACAGAGCACCCTTCCACAGTGGAAGAGAATGAAGAAGGCAAATAGTGATCTATGAGCATATCAATCGACAGCGATTCATTTCCGAACCCATTTGTGGGTTTGCAAATCCAAAGAATCCACTCTCAAGATGTGAAGGTGAACTGATCTTTTTAAGCATCCGTTATCCAAGATTGAACGACGACGCTGTCTCTTCACAGGTTAGGATACAGCAGGTGTTCTACCGCGAATGTTGCTTCGTGTCACGAAGCAAGACGCAGGGCAACTTTTCCTTCTCGATGGGAAACTCTAATTTGGACTTCCGTTTGGATTTAGTTACCGGAATGTATTCGGGTATTCCCCGGGCAGAGAAGCCAATCCGTTCGTAATTATCGCGTGAAATGTGGGGTGGGGAACAGTTATAATTATCTTAAACACCGAGTTCTGCAAGCCCGCGACGGTGAAACACGCGTCCTTCTCGTGTTAGGACGTACAATTAAGTTTACAAAGGCTCGCGGGTAGTGAGGTGTGCTTGGGCAGCGCACCACTATGACACTGACAGCTGCACTTGTTTTACCGTAGCGACCCTGAAAACAGATGATTGACAGCCCTCGATATGAACTTTCAAGTGCAACCTCGTTTCCTCCACGAGTAGCTGTCGATCCCGTACTACTGGCGCAGCTAGATTTCTTCTACCTGGGGTATGGATGGATTTTCGCAGTCGTCTGGCTCATCATCGGCACGCTTCACACTCTTAATGTACGTATAGAAATTCATTCGTCATTTTAACAAGCATTACGCTCAACATAGAGTTATTGGACTGAGCTTGCTAACGGCCGCTGATCAGAACTGTCCCTCCCGCGAGACGTGTTATGGAGCACGCATAAACGTGCATCCTACTCAAGTCGAAGCCTGTCAAACCCAAGAGACTCTCAGAAGATTCTCTAGACCGTCCGTTTCCCCCGTTAAGTCTCCCGCGAAACCCTTGCCAGTGTCAAGAGAAATGAGAAGCCTGCCAGAAATAGTTGACCTCCATATAGAGCAGAGGTGACGTGCACGCTGATCCATCGATGTTCGGTGGAAGTGCTGCCCAAATTAGAAATGAGGCGTGCAGTCCGGCTCCAAATCTAGTTACCGGCAGGCGTTAGAGACCTAGGAGGAACTCGAGTCGTGATAGTCATTCACTAGATAGCAGGGATCCAGACAAATATTTCTTCCACACCTTTACACCACCCTTCTCGTCTTGATCAAATTTTCCCGCTGTAGGTTTCCAGCGATGAGTCCACTCATCCGGTCAAGTTAGCAGCACTTGGCTGACATCTTAATCGCCGCACCGATCAGGACAACTCTAACTGTCCCTATCACTTGGAATTGACTTTCCGTTTCACGCCCCAGTCCAGGCTTCTGTGCGTAGGAAGGTGTGTCGCCCTAAAGATAGCCTCTCTTCACAGTGCACACAGTCAAGGCGATAGTCGACCGCAAAGTCACTAACCATAAGACGTAGTATGAACGAACGGCGGCCACGCGAAGGGGATACATCGATCCCAGTATTTTGGAAAAGGTCTAGAATGCAAGAGCTGCACCCACAAGATGCATCCAAAATGACTCGCGCTGATCATCAACTGCGATGCCTCGTTGTGGGCCGCCAGTGGGTTCGTGGACCCACTTGTGCATATTTCTGTTGTGTGGAAGATCGTAGTTCAAATAGATCGTTATTATTAGGCTTATTAGAGGCGGAAATTCTGTGGCTAATGTTAGTAAGCTTTGGATTCACGAGGACGATGCCTTTATCTTGTGCCCTCCTTGAGACCTTCTTTCCATCCCACGCCGCGGTTAATTTATTCTGGGCCAATGACAACACTGACGATCTTGTCGGACCTTCCGCAGAAGCTTCGCGAGGTTGTGGGGATTGTGGGCGGCAGCGATAAGGTTTGACCCATGGGAATTGGATATTAGCGAACGGAGATCGAATTCAAATGCAGCGAACCAACGTCGATCATACTTGCAGATATAGTGTGTTAGAATCGTGGATTGGGTGCTCCAAAGGAATCCTCGAGTCTGCGACGCACATTGAGGACATGATTTGAAATGGATACTCCCGTTGGAAATTATGGAACGAAGGCAGGTAACCTGGTAAAATTCTACGCAGTGATTATGAGTTGTGGCTCGTTCCCTTCACGAGGGTGCATTATTGGCGGGTATAACTCGAAGGCTAAACAGCACATGATCCACGCTAAAGTGAGCGTGCAGTAATGAATGCTGGAAGCCCAAGATCTATGGGTGCACTCATTGCGCCGTACAGTGAAGTGTTGACCTCATCGATATTAGGGGAATTAGAGATCGAGGATTCCAAAGAGATTTAATCCCGATGACGACCTACGCTTTAGGTGGACTATCGATTAGACAAAGCCTGTGACCGTGAAGATTTCCAGTGACACCAGTAAACCAAACAAAGTCCATTTATTTCGCAAATTGTTGGAGTGGGGTCTGTGATTCGCGAGAATAACTAGCTGATACGCGAGTGTTCAGGTCGATCTCGACTGTCACGCAGAAGACTCTTCACAAAGGCTCCGAACGAATCGCACACCTCATCGGGAGGTACGATCCCTGCTCGATTCTCGTCGCCTGGACGGTATTTCCCCGTTTTCACTATTTCAAATGTGGATAGTCAGCTCAAGATCTGGGATATAGCTAATCCATCGCCTCGCGGATAAGAGTTTTATGCGTTTAATGCCTGTCGACCCACAATCGACAAAAAGAAAAAGTCCTTCATCACCACTAGAAAGGGATACTCGGTGTTCGGGTATGAGGTGGACCAGGGTGGACCGGATGTCATAAAAAAAATGGCGCATCCCCAGCAAGGGGAGGATCGACACTCGCCATTTCACCAGTCACACGACGGAGAAAATAGGAAGAAAAATGACGAGGTAACACTCACCAAGCACTCTCCAAAGGCCCAGTTCAACTGCACCGCCGCCAAGATCTGCCTCAACGTCATCGCCTATCACGACGATCTTTCCCTTTCTCGTTCTCCGAATAGGGCCGTCCCCGCCTTGGCCCGCCCGGAACACACCCTGATGATCATGTCCATTTACAGAAAACGGTCGCTTACCGTCAAGCCGGCTCACCTCTTCCACGCATTCTCCGTTCGCCTCAAATCCAAAATCATCGATTACCATCTTGAAGAATGCTCGAGTCGGCTTTCCTACAACATGAGCCTGCACACCAGGTCCAGCTGCACATTCGAGGGCAGCAACAAATGGTCCGGGTCCTAATGAGAGCTGACCAGAGCCCGACTGAATGTATTTTGCCCGGTGGGTTGCAATAAGCGGAATTTTCTTGATGGGTGGCGATTAGTGGGGTGATCGGCGACGAACGGGAGGAAAGCATGCACCTGTGTTGTGGCTTGAACCGGTTTGTCTGTGGATCTTTCGTTTTCTCGACGCTCGGCTTGTGAAGTGGAGATATCCGGTGGTTGCATTTCGCCTTTCAAGATTCGGAACGCAGTGTTTAGATGTTCATAGTCGAAAAAAGATGGGGCTAATCCAACGACCACACAGTCGTAGTTGCGATTTGAAGGGTCTGACATTTCGTCCCAGTCGCGGGAAGCCAATACCTCAGCGCGAGCAGAATCGTTCAGAAGGAGATAAGGTCTGAAAGAATAAGAACGTCAAATTAGATAACATACCCGGTGTGAGCAGTCTGAACGTATCGGAGATTCGAAAGATAGGACAGAAATACTTACGCCTTGAGGCCCATATTCTTGACAGCCTGCGCGACAGCGCCGATACTCGTCCAAACGAGCCTACGTCCCACGCTTTGATCGTCTTCGTACTTTTGTCGAAATGGAGCTCGAGATAATGCGTGTGTAGCCTCTGTGACCTTGAAGCCCATATCATCAAGTCGCTTCACGAGATCTGCGGTCGATTCTTTGCTTGTGTTACTGCACAATCGAAAAGGTATGCTTGAATTCATCAGAGATTCGAAGGCATCAACTGCTCCAGCTGTTGGAATGGTTCCGACATGAAGATTGCCAGAAACATCGATAAGGAGCGCGTCTACAGGTGGCCGAGTTTCATAGGCAACGAATCCGTGGGCCGAAGTCGACTTCATCCGCTGCGCGAGGAGATATTGGAAAACCCAAGCCTTCGGCCGGAAAATTTGCTCCAGCCGCAGGAAATAGTTCATCATGAGAATGATTCCTTGAAGCTCGAGAATGCGAAAGTTGGAACACTTGGTTTGGACTTGAATATGAATCAAAGCAGAAGTCGAAGACAGGCTGGAATCGACGATGGAGGAGGGAAGCAAGTAGTTGAACCGAATGATTGACGCAATGTGATCGTCGTGATAGGTTCCTTTTTGGGAACACCAGAACCTCCGCGATACACCAATTTATCGGAAAAAACATAGCCTTCGAAGTTTTTTGTTGTGGTAGCCCGTGGAACATGGCGTTGAAAGGATATGCAATATTGTTTGTCATATTCTTCATCTTGCAGACTGCAGAAACGGCTCACCCTCTGTTTCAGGTTGCTGCTGATCTAGATAAGTAGCCTCGGCCTCAACGCCCAGTTTCCCTCCCCCCCTCCAGTTTTTGTGTAAATTTAGTCTGACCCACTGGAAAGGATCACGAGAAGTCATGAGTTAGAGCTATGAAGCTTAAAGACGGACCTGGGGGTATCGAACCCCAGATAAGATTAAATAGCCATCATTTTCGGCGCCAAGACAATTATGACTTGCTTCCTACCACCATGTCAGCGATTTTCTTGGCCTGTTTCTTCCCCGCGATTGAGGATTATACGCCCCGAACTACTAGTTGGCCACTTCAGGACCGTTGTCTCCTGAAGGCCGAACATTGGAACATTGAACTTCGAAAGGACTATCCTCTACGATCCTGCCAATCTTATGACGCCTCGTGCCATGGCGTTCCCTGCGAAGCTGGCGGAGAATGGTCGCCAAGTCGTAACTCTGGCCCTCTGTCGTCTGGTATTCGATCGAGGGGGGGTGGCACCTGATGATCTGTGAGTTTTCTTCTTGTAATACCCTTTCGAGACTGCCAATTCATGTGAGATTCCATGACAGCTACTCTGGGTTGTTTGAGCGTTTCGAAGGTTTACATTCCGGGAGTCGATCTCTATTATTAGGTTCTGTCGTCACCAGGAGCACCTATGACTGCGTCAGCTTTCTACTAGTCTCCGTGCCTCCCCGAGTGCCTTACTTGTCCTTGCTTCTCGAAGGCTGCCTTTCTACCTAGTGCGTTAGAGAAAGCGCCGGACACGAAGATAGAAGAGCGGAAAAGCTGGAAGTTGCACAACACACTCAGTTGCATAAAAGGTCCTTACCTTCGTTGCAACACGATGTCTTCAGGATCCCTGATATCAATAAATGGCGCCTCAACTAGTCTGGCTCATCACAGGAACTACGTCTGGGCTAGGACGAGAACTTGCTCTCGAAGCTCTCAAGCGTGGAGACAAAGTCATCGCGACAGGTCGTGCGCGTTCCATGGCGAAGCTCGCCGATCTCCAAGCCAAAGGTGCTGATGTCGTCGAGCTCGACGTCATTTCGCCCCTTGAGAGCCTCCAGGAAGCTGCGAAGAAGGCTGCTGCGATCCATGGTCGGATTGACGTCCTTGTCAATAGTGCTGGTTTGTCTATATATGAGGGTGTCGGGCGGTCGGTACGTTCGTTGACATCCATTCAGGGTACATCATGTTTGGCGCTATGGAGGAAAACACGTACGTTACAACCTTTCCCTTGGACTGGGAACTGGATTTAACTTGCTTTCAATCTCTCTAGCCCTCAAGAGACTCTCGACCAGTTCAAGTATGTTCCTTGGTGCCCTTGTCCTCGTCGAAAGTTGTAATTGATCACATCCGAAGTACGAACGTCTTCGGCGCCATCAACGTTACTCGGGCTGTCCTTCCCTACATGAGGGAGAAAAAGACTGGGACTATCGTCTTCGCTGGATCCATCGTCGGATGGGAGTACGTCGGACTCACCCTAACTTATTTATATCCCAGAAGTTGATATCGTGATTTCCAGGAGCTATCCGTTCGCTGGTATCTACGCCGCAAGCAAGTGGGCGCTTCGAGGTTCGTACGGCTTCCACTTCCTTGAACATTCACATCTATCGAACACCGCTTAGAATATTCATAGGCATCTCGGAGACACTCCACGATGAAATCTCTCCGCTAGGCCTTCGAAGCATCTGCGTCGACTTTGGATACTTCCGTACCGCCCTCCTCGAATCAGACAGGCGGGTGACCAAGCCAACCGCTATCGCCGACTATCGAGAGGCTGTCGAGCAATTCGAGGTCTTCATTCAAAGTCAGTACAGTCCACCCCATCTTCCATGCCTTTTGGATGTTAATCATAATTTGGTAGGCGTGAATGGGAAGCAGCCCGGGAATCCACTCAAGGGAGTTGAGGTTGTTGCTGACGTTGTGAGGGGTGAAGGATCTGCTGCGGGGAAACCCTTCCCGAAAGGACTTGCGCTCGGGACAGATTGCTATAATACTGCAAAGAAGGCGACGGAGGAGGCAGCGAAGCGCTTGGAGGAGTGGAAAGAGGTTTCGTTTAGTACTGATTTCTGAGCTTACATTTCTCTTCTCATCCGAAAATGGGGGTAGGACCAGGCCTCCGACATGTATAACGAAGTGCTTCTTATTATGACCTAGCTCATGCTCAATCCCTCTGACGAAACCCTACAACCCCATTCGCGACCACAAATGGCGAACACATAACATCATAGACGTACAGTTCGATTTAACCACCTATAGTACGTATGTAAAACAAGTCCGGCTTATATACGACATCATAGACAGTCTATCAAACCGAGGAAAGTCCATACGGAAGGGCGGTGAAAGTGAGGAGATGAGTAAGCCCCAGACGCCTCGACCTGAGTGACGTAGGCCAAGGCGTCCCCCGCAACTGAATAATGTAGAAATGAGTCCGAGTCCGACAACAAGAACCTTAAGCGCCCAATCATTCAAATTAGTTGCAGTTGTTGACAACTGACTGTCCCGCCGAGATAGTCTTCTCGAGGCTCTGCATCGTTTGCGCAACGGCCGGGTCGGTCCTAGAGAAAGTGGCGGATACCGTAAGTTCGGACAGGTCCCCTCGAGCGATCGACGGTAACGACTTACCCAACGAGGGGTTGCAAGGCAGCCTTAGCACTCGTCAGCCCATCGCCAACCTGGGTCCTGGCCTCCGCGGGCGCGTCCTGTCCGGTAAAGAGCGACTGGGCGATGGTCGAGATACCATCGCTGGCGGCGTCCAACCCGCTTTGCGCAGTCGCGACAGCATCAGCCGCCGCAGCGTCAGCACTGATGGAGGAATAATCAGATACTCGCGCCGCAGAATAGACGGGGAGAATGAAAACACTGACGTGTCGACTTGGGCCAGACTTTTCTTCGTTGCAGAGAGGTTCCGGACGGTCGACAAGCGAGCGATGTTGCATCGCAGACCACCGATCTGGCGAGCCTCAAGAGGAGCTAAAGGGAAGAGGTTATATATTAGGACGCAGCCTAGAGACTGGAACAGGAATATTACTCACCCGCTTGAACCTGGAAGATGCATGCAAGGAGAGCGAAGAAGAGTGCGTAGAGAGCGACCTGGAATTGAGCCATTGCGAAGATTGACTTCAAGTCAAAGAAACGGATGAACTGAGAGCGGCGTTGAAGAAAGGGCGAAGGATGCAAGGAGCCGAAGAAAACAGGACACCAGGTCGGGAGTGGAAGAGCGAACTAGAGAGAACGGTTCTTCTGCCTTCCTTCTTATACCTCAGAGCCAATAGAATATAACCGGACGCCGATCCGGGAAGAACAGAAGGCGTGTCCGAAAATGGCAGATCAATCGGTCACGGCACACGCCGAGTTTGTCTCTGCGCCCCATTCGTCATAGAAACAAACACTCCTCATGGATTCACATCTTCCTGGACGAAAATATGATCCCCGTGGCCTGCCGTAAGGTTTTTGCCTATACATACCACTGTATATGGTCGACCTCGCTACATAAATCACATTGGTGAGGGCTTCCTATTTGTTCGATATCCTCTTCGACGGTTTTGCTTCGTGCAACAAGCGAGCTACGAAAGCATGGCCACGCTTCATAAAAATGCTATATTTAATCTGGCAGGGCAAATGATCCAAGGTGTCGATAGGAGCTAGCTCACGCGACAGAAAGGAGTGACCGAGTGCGCAACAACAGCGACGAGTGGACAGATGGTCGAGAGCGAGGTCGTAGGCGTCATCCCAGTTGACATAGCGATCACATATTTATCGATTTGTAGGGCTGTGCAAATGGTTATCGAAGTATTCGAGCTATCACGCCCACCACCTCTTACCATTCATCGAAGCGTCGATGTCTATCACTCTGCAGCATTCTGGAAGACGAGGTTCAGACCGGAACGGCGATGTCGGAAAAGGTGTTGATGAACGTGCTAGCGAATTAGGACTTCGTACTTCGCAGGTTCCCTTTCACGAGTGACGAAATAGATAGAGCGTGTCTTGGGCTTCCAGGATTCAAATGTTCATATCCGGAGTGAAGAAGCGATGCTAATCATGAACTGAATTCAAAGTCGAGGAGGCGGCCGCTTGCCGCGTCGAAACGGACGCGGCAGTTGGTGTCCCGTGGTGGTGTCGACCTGCTTTGACTTCCATCATTGTCCATTTTCGTATACGGATGAACAGAAAATCGCTTGGCACGAGCCAAGAAGCCTTCGGTTTGAACTCGTCAGAACGTCCTTGAGGCAAAACAAGAATTACAACTGATGGTCTAGCCAGGGAAGGAGACTGGTGGTTCTCATCCCCTCTGCCCAGCATCCCTCGCCGTCTTGAAGAAGCAACAGATCCTTTTACCCGGGTGTTGCGTTGTATGGTCCCCGGTGTATTCATTCAGCATTTTGGTCGCTCCTTGTGTACTCTTCTTATCTAGGTTATATTAAACGAACGCAGGAGCAGCGAGCAGCCAGCCCGTTGGATTTGCTCCCAAATCATGTAGGGATGTCGGCAACGGGTGGCATAGTGAACAAAAATTGAAAGTAGGTTATCGGTAGGAACAGAGCTGAGGAACTTGCCTTTGTCTGGAGTCGGTGCATGCGCTAAAATCAAGGAATTTCTCACACGTCGAGGTGCCCCTCCGATTTCCCTTCCCTTCCACCTGAGAGGATCTATTCGTCGCCGTTGCTCCATGATCTCAGGAAAGTCAACACCGTGGCACTCGTCCGTATCATAAGACGAAGACGGTCGCACTTCCAGGGAGCCTGAAGCTGTAAATTGCCCTCTTGAAGCGCGCTGAAGATAATGTAACGGTTTAAATGCCTTCCTTGAAGCAGGACTCTGCTGCTCAATCCGACTTTCGTTTCTCGGCAGATATGGCCTTCATAGCAGCATGCATCCAGATCTCGCGCTTTCTGGCAAAGAGATGGCGAAGTCAGCGAGAGAATAGGAATGAACGGACAGCCATCCACGCACGAGGCAACCATCCAATGCCATCCTAACTCGACGGACGCATCCTCTGAAACCCATTCTTGAGGGAAACATGTTGTAAGACTTCTCAGATACCTCGTCGGCTTCCATAGAAGATTGCACTTGGGCCACCATGTTGCTTGTCCCCCGAACCCGACCCGTGGGGTTGTCGATGGAATCCCCCAGAATTCAGAGGGATCGGAAACTTCAGGAGATGGATGTCCGCTGGTAGGAGGGATAGTTTGGGGAGACAATGGCCGAGATTGTAAAGAGAACCCAACTGATTTGTTCGAGATGCTGGGGGCGTTCGCGAGGCGCGCCCGACTCGACCAAAAGTAAGTATATACCCTTCTAATTCCGAGTCTCCGTTGCGACTCAGAGGCCACGGTGAGATATTTTAGGGCTGTGTCGTCGAATAATAGTCGCCAATATTACAGACGTTGAACAGTGTGCGACGGACACAGCGTCGACAGGCATCGGGTAGGGCTCGGGCTTAGAATCAGCCAATCATCGCGTGAGAAGTTTCCTCGAATATCCAAATTTAGAATTTCCAATGACAGACTTTCTCCGGCTTATTTTCCAGCTCGCATCTCGCTATTATTCTCTATGAAATTATGAAAATTGAATACACAAGGTAGATATGTGCTTCTTCCTCTCATCTTATTTTATTCTTTCCTCAGATGTAACTTGATGAAAAAAGATAAGATAAGATAACAGATAGTCCTCATTCGGCAGTTGCCGTATCGAAAGACGCCCTTTCCATCTCCAGTCTCAATAATCTGATATTCAAGCTCAAGTTTCAAACTTCTAGTTTCAAGATACAATGAATGCGTATCAAATTTTGTCAAATTGTGGTCGACTTTCATAACCGACCCCAGGCTGCCTTGGAGCTCCTCAGGGAATCAAAATCGGGCTCCGCGGAGGCCAAATCGGACTCCTTTCTTCACCGCTGTCCATCTCTTCTAGCTGTCGCCGAAGGGCACGTTCGTCTGGGCAAAGGGTCTTGACCGACAACAGGGTGACGGAATGGTGTACTAGGATTTGATAGCCATCAACAACCTAACGGCCTGATACATAAACAACCCTGCCGCCCATCCAATTCGCACTCCACCCCTCTTTCTCTTTCACGACCATCATCTCGACGACTGACGACGGAAGTTTTGACGAAGGATGGCCACTGTCAATATTAATGAGAAGAACGAGAAGGCGCCTGCGCCGGTATGCCAGCTGTATGACATACAGAGGGACGCGAGGAGGCTAACGAACTTTTTTCTGTGGTTTTTAGCTGCCCCAGACCGCCCAACCACAACCAACGGTGCCCATGTCGATCCCGGGCGCTGGGAACCGGAACGTGAAGAACCTGCCGCTCGATGCTGAAGGGAAGAGAGACTGGAGTTTTGGGTTGTTGGATTGCTTGGGGGACATCAGCACTTGTACGTTCACATCTTCTCTGCCCTCCTCTTTTGCTCATGCTCCGAACTTGTAGGTTGCTTGGCATGCTGGTGCCCCTGCCTGGCGCACGCTCAGAACCGTCGTCGCCTCGACCATCTCAACGCGACTGGGATGCCCGACCCGAACCGCGACCGTATCGTTGCAGGAGACAGCTTGGTGTATGCGATCATTGAGGTTGCTTGTGATATGGGTTGGATTCTCCAGGTGCGTTTCTTTCTCTTCTCCTTTCAGATAGCTAATAATCGCGTCCCTGCACGTCACCTAGATCGCTACCCGGAACAACATCCGCCAGCGATACAATATCCGAGGGAGTGCGATGGGCGATTGCTGTGCGCCGTTCTGCTGCCAGGCCTGTGACCTCGTCCAGGGCAGTCGAGAGTTGCAGTTGGAGGAGGAGAGCTTCACCATCCAGCAGACGCCACAGGCCTAAATGTCTGCCGTCGCTCTTCGAGAAAGATGGCTGTTCTATGCGCTGTAGGCAATCCATGATATACCTTTTATATAGTCAATTCCGTTTATTGGAACACGACCGTTGAGCTTGACATGACTCGCAAAGCAAGCGTTTGTATCCTCTCGAAGACCAGCCTTAAAGTTAGGGGCATCAAATTCCCATATTCGGACAACCTCCCTTACGCCCGAAATTCAAATTCGCTGGCAACAGACATCCTTGGAAGTTGGCACCATCTGTGTCCTGACTGCGCTCAACCTGCGCTCTGCCTTTCATGTCTTGTTCATTTCCTGAAGCAGCCGGCACTGAAAGATGTCGACATGTTTGCTAAAGCAGCTAAACCGACCCGCTGCGGCCACAGCACCTAGATTTTGATACCCTGCTGCTTGCAGACATCGATGATATAGATCGCCCAGCGCAGGTACTGCGGCGCCGAGCGCCCAAAAGGTATATCTCTGTCTGGTCTGTGTAGTGGACTCCATCCTTCCATCCTCTTCCTCTACCTTTCCCCACTTCTATTTCACATTCGTCGAAGCCATGGACTCGTCGCTTCTTGATAAGAAAGTCCTTCCTCCCTCGTACCAGGTACGCAGTGGACATACGAGTAGTGCTCCAGGATCCAACTGACTTTGCCCTTCTTTCCACCTCTATAGGCCACGACCACGACCACGACGAGCAGCCAACCCCAAGCGACGACGCCTATGTCGATCCCAAACGGAGGGAATCGAAACGTTCGAAACCTCCCTCTCGACGAGGAGGGCAAACGCGATTGGAGCTTCGATATTCTGGACTGCTTAGGAGATGTTGACACTTGTGCGTGCTGGACTCTTCCCAACTGATATAGTGAAGTTAACGTGAGCTTCGGGGGCCATTCTAGATTGCCTGTCCTGTTGGTGCCCCTGCATCGCCCACGCGCATAATCGCCGTCGTCTCTTATACCTCAACGCCTACGGCGTCCCCCATCCGAACAGAGAAAGAATCGTCGAGGGAGATAGTGTTATCTATGCTGCTTTTGAGGCGTTCTTCAGTGCGGGATGGCTTCTTCAAGTGTGTGAATTTATGCTCCTAGTACTCGGTCCTGAGTCCTAACATTCCACGAATTCTCTACTCTAGATCTTCACAAGGGGCGGCATCCGCGAACGCTACAACATTCAAGGAAACGGGGCACACGATTGCATTGCCACTTTTTGTTGCCAGACGTGCGATCTTGTTCAGGGGAGTCGGGAGCTGCGATTGGAGGAAGAGAGCTTCGAGAATCAGAGAAGTTGAGCGTCGGATAACCTGGAAGTTGATGGACTTTTGTTTATGGCCTCTTAATGACCTTTTCCTTCGTATATCTCTATGTCCTCTTGTCAGGATCAGCGTGAGGTTACTGACGCGCTGAGTTGGAAGATAAGATAAGATCAAGAAATTACTTGTCCATTACCAGGCCAAGATAATTCATGAACTCGACCCCCGATTGTCTGCCCCGTTCTGTGCCAAACTTTGACATGCTTCATGACTGAATTTTAACGCGAATGGCGCATAGCAGGAGCGATTCCTAATTTACTATGGACCGGCCTCAACGGAATGGAGAAATGAAAAGGTTCGCGAATCATACAAGCAAAACCAAGCCCGCCCGATGATCCATCGGGCGGGCTTGAGTTGCATTGTGCTTCTATCCGCAATTTCTCAGTTTCGTAATTTCTTGGTATAATAGGATACCCCCAGCGGGGACGATGAGCGCTCCCTCTGCTTCATGCTCGTAACATGACTTCTCAGCTCGTCTGGTTGATCACAGGGACAACGTATGCTCTTTCCATGATAATGAAACAACTAGGCCTCTCTGATAACATAGCCACAGGTCAGGACTCGGACGCGATCTCGCACTCGAAGCTCTCAAACGTGGAGAGAAAGTCATCGCGACGGGTCGGGCGCGTTCCATCTCAAAGCTTGCCGATCTGCAAGCGAAAGGCGCCGATGTCCTCGAGCTGGACGTGACCTCTCCTCTTGAAAATCTCCACGAAATCGCGAAGAAAGCCGTTGGTATCCACGGCCGTGTCGACGTACTGGTGAACAATGCGGGTCAGCTCAAGGTTTATGATGCACCTCTTGTGATATCTATTGACAAGATCGCCGTCCCTAGGGTACATTTTGGTTGGTGCTATCGAAGAAAACACGTTAGTGACAATCTTCTTCCAAGTTGTCTTCCTAGCTTATTGGTTTTCGTAGTCCTCAAGAGACCTTAGACCAATTCAAGCAAGCAATTCGCTCTCTTGAACAATGGCACTTCATTGATGCTAGAACCTTAGCACGAATGTGTTCGGTGCTCTGAATGTAACCCGGGCATTCTTGCCTTACATGCGAGAGAGAAGGGCAGGGACCGTTGTTTTCATTGGATCCAAATCCGGATGGGAGTATGCCCAATGACCCCAATTATCGTTTACCCTTCCTAAAATTTACGCTGCAGATCGACACCCTACGCTGGTCTTTATGGTGCTACAAAGTGGGCGCTGAGAGGTTCGCGCCACCAAAGTCCAGTTGCCTGTCTGCTGAAGAAAGATTAAATCAGGGATTTCCGAGACCCTCCACGATGAAATATCGCCCCTTGGACTCAGGAGCATCTGCATAGATTTCGGATCCTTCCGCACTTCATTCTTGGATGGTGATCAACGCGCACCGAAGGTCGCTCGAATTCCTGATTACCAAGGGACTTCGGGGCCCGTGGAAGCTGCTATGCAAGGTACGATCCTATCGACCCAGATCGCGTTCACTTTTATATTCATCACTTGGATCTACCAGAATATAACGGCAAACAGCCTGGAGATCCTCTCCAAGGGGTGAAAGTCATTGTAGACCTCGTCAAAGGGGAAGGCTCGGCAGCAAGAAAGTCCTTCCCGCGCGGGCTTGTTCTTGGAACAGACTCCTACAATGGGGCAAATAAGGCAAGCTTGGACGCAATCCAACGGTTGGAAGAGTGGAAGGAGGTATCTTCCAGCACAGACTTCGAGAACTAGGCAACGATATCTAAGTATGTGCACCCTTTTACAACGGCTGGCGTTGTTGCATATTCCTTCCTCTGTGATAGCCCCGACTCGTGTATTAATATTTCGTGTAGTCGTCTAAGATTCGACACTTTGGGTCCTTCGTCAAGACCAGGACCTCGAGGCCTATGAGCAAATACGCTAATTTAAAGACATACGCGCGCTATAGATCAGTGGGAGAGTATGCGTGGTCGCAGGCTCGATTCCTTCTAGAGCCGCTTTCTCATCTTCGCCCATCGATCTCATTTCCCGGGCCCTCGTATCAGAATGACTTGCAGCATTGACCTGTTTGCACAAACCGGGCTGACTTCGAGCTTGGATGTGTTTCGATACTTCTTGGCTTCGGCTACCCACCGCCTGACCAACTGCCCAAAATATGAATGCAAACCAATGCCGCGCTGTGAACTTGGGAACCCTTCAAGCCCTTCTGAATGCCCATCTTTGGCACTGCTGACCCGGTACGCCGGCCTTCTTCGCATCCAAAGTTCTACATGACATCCGATGAATGCCTTTCTGCCTTTTTTATCCTCGCGTTATGCACTACACCAACATAACGGTACCTCCGAGACCCCTCGCACAATCCTCAAGGAAAGCACTTCACCTTCTTAAATGTCCTCATCGGAAATCCACCAACAGTTCCAGGGGGATGATTCCCCGACGCGCTGGGTGAATTTCATCGCTAATTTTTATAAATAAGACCCGACAACCTATTGATAGGTGCGTCGGCCACTGCTTGTACAGGATACGGTGGTTAGGAGAAGCGAAGATACCATTAGCCAGAGTGTCCTAGGAGTGTTCATGAGCGCTCTTCTGCAATTCAGCCTAAATCAGCAATTGTGCGCCTATGCGCCACATAAACCTCCCCTATCCGGCGTGAGGATTTTGCCGACGTGATCAACAATGACTAACCCAGGTTTCACCCAATTCTAGGTTTCTGCCTCGCCGGGCATCTAACGGAATGACAACCCAACTATCTAGTGGTTTCACAGATGTTTAAACCTTATTTAATATTGGTGCATTGGGCCTTCGAAAGGTTCGTCCCTCAAGCAGCTCCTAAGGTCGCTGCTTAACTTCGTTGAATCCATGCACCCTATATGCAAGGGCGTGCCATGACTGACCTCCTGTTCTGGGGAACGCAAGTAGGTACAAGTGGTGCCAGAGCTGTTTCGAATACTACTGCTATCATCTTCGATTTTAGACATCGAAGGAAGAGACGGTATTCCTGCGTTCAAGTAGATATAAATGACGTCTACTCGAAGTCAGCTTGACCAAACTATCACTCTCAACAAGCAGAAAACGAAGCTCAGCGAATAAATCAACAGGAATAGCATATAGATCGAGTAGCAGATAACTAGCCGCAGGCGTTCCAAGGGTGTTTCTCATGATCGTCATGTTCGGCGAGTGAACACCAACGGAACACGAAGAGGCCTATATTTTAACGTTCAGTAATCACAACCTAAGCACATGGAACCCACGAGGACTACATACGTGAGAGTCACACCCGCCCGGTTCGCAAGAACCCGCGCCCTGCGTTCTTCAAATGTTTCCCTCGCGAATTGAGGTTCTTCCTTGACAGTGATTTTGTAGCGTGAAATGAGCATGGTCAAAACGGCGATCCCCTCGGTTTCGAAGAACCTATAAGATTTTAATCAGGGACAACGGATATAAGGCAGATGAAATGGACGAACTTCCTGCCTACGCATGCTCGAGCACCTAAGGGGACAACTCAGATTTGATCTTGAGGGTAATGAAGGACTGCGTACCAGCACTAAAGGGGACAAACGCGTCACGGGGCCAATCTTTAAGGAAGCGCTCAGGTTTGAAAGCGTGTGGATCTTCCCAATAGCGTGCTAGAGCGACGTAAACAAAGGGTGTCCGAAGAGTTTCTTCGATGACGCACGGTTGTAATGAAGACCGGGCACGGAAATGACAATGTCGGCTCCCTTTGGGACCGGCACAGTAATCTTCATGCCTTTTAAATCCATAGTTGAGAGGGTAGTGTCCTCAGCAGCAACTTGGGGAATGGTTGCGACCTGGTCTGATCTAAGGGCCATTATCACACAAAAAGAGAGAGAGGACCAACTGGAGGAAATAGTCGCAAAGTCTCATAGAACACCCTAGAGAAGATCAATATTTGAAAGGCAGCGCTCAATGATCATTCTTACGCCATGGAATGGGTGAGGAGAGGCATTTCTTCATAGCTCTACACCTTATTTCTCAGAGATCTCATACAAAGAGGGATGTAATACACTTACTGGAAGCCGGTCAGATGGTATGGTAGATCTTATGTGCTGGTAAAGCTTCTCTTGTTCTTCTTGGTATAGCGCCAGCAAACCGAAGGTGAAGCAGAGAGTATGCGCTGTTGTCTAGACGGAGGTCGGATTATCATAGCATTAGAGGAAAGCAGAGACACTCACTTCATGCCCGGCGAGCAGGAAGATATAGATATTGCCTACGAGACTTCTATGAGACATCCTTAGTAACAAAGCAATGCTTCTTACTGATAAGCTCATCCTCGGTCAACGCCAGTCCGCCAAGATCACCAGAATTTGCATCTAGAAGACTGCTGAAAAGGTCGTGTCGTCCAACTATCTCGGAACTTTCGCGAAGGTGGATCATCTCAGCCATGTAATGTTGTTCATCATAAGCACTAGGTCGGACCTCAGTGTCGGAAAAATCGAATTTCCCATATATGATCATATACGGAAATATAAGGACCTGTTAGGACGTCAGATAATCGGGAATCATATCGACGGTGAAAAGTCACCCATCCATGTGTGCAAGCATTATCGAACTTATAGTTCTGACACCCTACTTAGGCCTAATCTTGTCTGCATGGCTGTTCAGGCCTTCTCCGGTGTTATAATGGCAAATAGGTGTCTTCAGAAAAACCTACAAATACTGGCCACAAAAATCATATTCGGGGACCCTGAAGCTTGTCCTATCCAAAATAAGGGAATTAAAAATGATTTTCATTTTCTACTCTAGGAGAATTACATGCCCCGCCTTCGGACTTTACATTTCCGTTGTACAAACAAAAGAAGCCGACATTTCGAGCTCGAGGGAACAGCCGATCGCGGTACAGCAGTCTTGAATGAAGTTAGCTCAAATTCATTGCGCTAACAGAACCTTACCAGTTACCATTCGTGTAGAGAGGTGAGCCAGCCACCCTTTCCGTCAAAGTCAGCTGCAGCTTTCTAGCGCATGTAAAGACGGACGCACGACGTTCGCAGAGTCAGTGCCCCTGGCCCCGCATGTTACCTGTTTCTCACAGTTGATGCCTTAGAGAAAAGAAGAGTTCCTAGTTGTGCTAGTCAGTGTTGAAATACAGAGACGTACAAGGTGCGCACCGAGTATAAGACACCCTGCTGAGTGAAGTCCAGCTAGGTCAGCAGGGGATACATGAATGGGGTAGGACGCACCGTCAGACAGAAGGCAGGTAGCGCCGACGTTCATCCAATCTCGAACTCGGTCAGCCAGAAGGAACTGCGCTGGAATGAGATGACGAAAGCCGGTTTTTATATCCCTTTCACACCTGGACCTCGGCGCCTAGATATCGCCCCGAGACTAATCTCCGACTCGGAATTCACAAGCTTAACCGACTGCCGGAGGGATGTGGGCGCTTCGAGGCACTAATTCTGGATCCTAATTCGACTCCGAGATGTGTAAGTATGCTGACGAGACTTTCCCCTTCGTCCAGGTCTATGGTCCACGACCACGGAGGTTCAGACTTTTGGGAAGCTCTCATGCCCTAGGATATGCTCAGAACTTCAAGTCCGCTCACGAGCTGAATAAATGGACACTCGCCTTAGTCGAAATGAAAACACTTTGAAGATGATTCAGTGTTTCGAGAGGGTGAGAGGTATCTTCTTTTGAATGCCTTCTTCGAAAACTAGGGCCTTTCGAGGTGAAATGATCAGATGTGATAAGGACTTACCAGAGGTTACGGATTTCTGACGCTCCGCTTACAGGCGTCTATCATAGATTATCAGCATCCCCACGCCAGCGTATCAGCGGGGCCAGGGGTGCCAGGAGCCGCAAGGCCTTATAATGGAAATCGCGTTTTTCCGACATTCGCTGAGACGAAACTCACATGCAACTCGTCGAAGGCTAACTTGACTCGTCGTAAACGTGGGGTGAAGCACATAGCCCAAGCTGGTACAACGAACTTCGCCAAGAAGTTGGTTGTGACAACGTGAAGCGCGTCTTTGAAGGTCATTTGGTGACCTGGAGGAATCACGGCATCTTCGTTCCATGAGGTGTTTCTGCCAAAACCTTCAAATAGTTAGGTCTCGTGGATGCCAGCCAATAATCGAAGTTAATAAATCACCAGCAACACCAATCACGAAGAGAGCAATCTCAAGAAGACAAATTTAGCGAAAAGGTTATGTGTCAAGAGCAAGTCAAGAGTGGAACACGTACCGGCAAAGTGATGTCTACGCAGTGATCAGCTGTAATGGTGTCCTTGTCTCCCCAGACGTCCTTGAACAGTCCTTCCATAATTTTAACACTCTCGTCCCAAACCAATTTGTTATTCCGCTGAGGTGACCATAAGTTTTAGGTGGCGCTAGAATAGGGAGCATTTACATCTGAAAAAGCAGGTGCGGAAATCTTCCTGTATCTCTTCCATTCTTCTCCTTCAGAGGCGACAATGTTGGGTCCGTAGAATGAGAGGACCTTGTACCGATGAACTGGTTTCGGGAAACGAGCACGTGAAGAGATGACCTCCTTAGACCAATCTTGGGTTCAAAAACAGAAGTCCAGGGACAACGAGCACCAACCTTGATTGTTGTCGGATCCGCAAGCACAATCATCGTCCCGATCTTAGGAATAATACTGACCTGCATGGCTCATTACCATCTTCAACATAATAAACAGCCATTAAGAGAGAACCCTCACAGTCGAGTGGATATCACAACCAGCAGCCTCGAACGTCAACAAATCAGTTTCCTTATCAAAGAACAGGTATGTCCACGGTCTTACGAATATGCTTGTTCATGAATGTGTAGTTCTGGCCCAGCGATACATATTTCAGACGTGGTAAAGATGCACCGAGGGTATTAGTAAGAGAGATGAGCAGATGATATCCAGGATGATTGCTGCCAGCAAGGAGCGATTTCAGCGGATGTACCGAAGACGAGAACCGGCAACACACCCGATTAATTTGACTGCTCTGAAAAACCCGACTACTTTGTGACAGACAAAGAGGAGAATGAATGATCCAATGAGCATCTGAGTCGTCTGCATGACGGTCAAGGAAAAGGAGCAGCAACGCGTCTGTCGCTTGTTGTACGGCCGTCATCGTGTACTTACGTACCTGAAGGATAAATTCTCTAGAGAAGCCTGGCTAGTGTGCTTCCAAGCATGACCCCCGCGGTCGTGCCCGAGAACTCTGAGCTCCACCACGTTCTTTTCTCAATGCTGGTATAACATGTAATGCATGTAATGTCTGAAGTCTGCTCGACGACGACATCATACTATAGCCATCCACTCTTGACCTCTGTAACATGATCCGGAGGTATAAAGGAGCTGCAGAGGTCGTCTTAAGGTTAGTTATCATTTCTCTCATGCCTGATCACGACTGTCACCTTCAGCACCGTCACCAGCATGGGCATAGGGGCATATTATCTCCTCGGTGTAGGTCCGATGTCCCCATCTCGCCCCGAGGATTACATTGGCACCATTGCAAACCACATGCTCGAGAACAAAGATGGTTCCCCAATCTCCACATCGACGGGATCAGCAATGAGAAGAAAGATCCAGACGCGCTCTCACCGCTTCATTGAAAGGGGAAGAGATTAACGATCTATGTTCAGATTGTCACCCAACGTCCGCGAGCGGTACAACATTAGCGAGAACGCCTTCTGGGACTTTTTTACCCTCTTCTGCCTTCTGGTGTTTGGCATGCAATCTCATTATGAACAGCTGGGCGTTCGGGTTGGAGAACGGCAATTTCTTGACCTATGAGTAGCATCAGTAAGCCGAGCGACAAGCACGAAGGCCGGCGTACAATTGTTTCAAAATTGTTTCGGAGATTTGTTGGACAGGTCATGGAGTGGCAGATTATTTGGCCCACCATAACCTGCTCACGCATGGATGCTGGTTTCCAACTCGGACGTTTGAGCGCGCCAGTGGTAAAATACATGATGCTAAAAATAGCCTCTCACTAAAAATAGATTTCAGGACAACGCGAGTCTCGAGAGCAAATTTTAAAACGTCTACCATCATGCGCACAAGAGTCTTTGCGCGTCCAACATCAAACCATCCCTTTCCAAGTACCACCCCGATATATAGTTCCAATTCCTAGTTTCATTCTTCTTTTCGCTTGTTCTTCTCAGAAACAGACTGCTCATGCTACCGTGAGAGTGCCTTGGGCGAACACTTGATCACTGGTTCCGACCTTCACAATGAAAGCACCTGGTTCAACCACCCAAGAATTTCTCAACGACCATACGGCCAGCTGAGAGGACAAAATCTTGATAGAGACAGTAGCAGATCCGCCAGAACTACGAACAACCACAGATTAGGATACTCCACGTTGAAGAATACGGCCGCAAAGAAACACGCACGGAACGTTAACTTTCTGGAAACCCACAAGATCCTGGTTAGGAGTCACAACCGAACTAACGACGTCGGTGATATACACCTGGCCAGGACGATCTTTGTCAGGCGCGATCGCAGAAAAAGGAAGATTTGCCTTGCCTGGACGACTTCCTTTCCGTCGATGGACCCGGTGTTGTGCACGGTTACCGTGACGGTGAAGTCCTCGGTCGTGCTGATCGTCGAGGGCGAGATCTGCAGATCGGTGCTATCGAGAGTGAGATAGAGGATCGCAGTGGACGGAACAGCGGCAGGGCTTACTAATTGAAAGTTGTGTAGCTGAGACCGTGGCCAAAACTCCAAAGAGGAACAGGGCTGTCCAGGACGTACTGTAAAAAAATTGGTCAGTCCTGCTGGGAGTATCTTAGGAAAATATTGAGGAGGTCCACTTACTGCATGTCCAAATATCAATTGGCCATTGTCGAGCACTTGGCCAGCGTCAATGGGGCGACTTCCTTTCAAATAATTGTAGAACACCGGTGTGGTGCCAACATCGCGGGGGAAAGAAACAGGCAGTTTGCCTGAATTAAGTTGCGTTGCAGTCATATAGCACCAAAATATAACCTCATGACCTACCTGACGGACTGACTGCACCAAAAATGATTTCTGCCAGAGCCAGTCCACCTAATTCTCCAGGATAGAACTGTTGAACCACTGCATCGGCATCTGCAGACGGATTATAGGTAACTTGAATGCCACCACAGCTATCAAACAGTGCAACTCACGAGCCTTAATCCAAGGTTCAGCAATAGGCTTCCCACTAACGAAGACCACGATAGTCGGTTTTCCAGCTGCCTTTACCGCCTGGACGAGCTTCAACTGTGCACCAACCAGACCGAGGTCGTGGACGTCAACATGTTCGCCAGTCGTTGCGTTCGTGCCAGGTGTCCACAGTAAGGTTTGGTCAAGAGACCATGTGCCGACCTACGATAAACAAAATTAAAAGCTCGTAATCAATATGCAGAACACCAAAAACGACAAAAAGATACTCGCCATGACGATCGCGACGTTGGAAGTTTGGGCGGCCTCGACGGCAGCAGCGATTCCGGATTCGTCATTCGACCACAGTTCGCAGCCTTGAGCGAAGTTAATTTGCATGGAGCTTGAGGTGCCGTTGAGGTATTGCTTGAAGCCGTCCAAAGGAGAGATGCCGTTCAGAGATGCATTGAAAAAGACATAGTCGCCAAACTGATATGAAAGTCAAAAATGATTTAGTGAGCAGGGACGACGGCGCGTACGGTAACACGGTTGGCCTGAGGGCCGATGAGAGCCACGGAGCCAATATCACTCTTCAAAGGGAGGATGTTGCCCCTGTTCTCGAGAAGAACGATGCTCTCCAGGTCTGCTTGATGAAGGACTTCCTTCGAGTGGGGTGTCCGAATGAAGGACGTGTAGTCCTCGTATGGGTAGGGGTCTAGACAGTAAGTCACATGTTAAAACTTTGCGCAACGAAAAGGAATTACGAGAACTAACTTTCGAAAAGACCCAGAGCGAACTTGACGTGCAACAAGCCTTTGACAGTCTCGTCGAGGTACTTAACGTCGACCTTTCCTTCCTTAATTTGATCTAAATTTCGGAAACATTCGAATGCGATAGAACGACTATTGGAGCATACAACACACCAGTCAAGGTCAGGAAAGTGTAGGTTCCTATGTATCTCGGTCAGAGACGCGTCGAACGAATCAAAGCCCGATACATACCCCCACCCATCTCGCCACTCAAGCCATTCTCCAACGCCGTTTTTGCCGCACACTCTCGCGTATCGCAAGTGCCATGGAGAGTGACGAGTAGATCAACAGAACCAGCATCACTCGTTACCCAGTATTTGTAGCCCCATTCTTCGCGAAGCTGCAGTGTTGCTTGAATTTCCGAAAACTCCATAGCCGATGACAGGACGTACGATATCAGTGAGCATATCTTGACGTAAGGAGAAATGGTCAGTCGGATGAAGAAACGAAGAATGCGAAGGACATACGCGTATTAGCGATAGTAGGAATACCATCGTAGCTGGAGTAAGATGTCATGATCGAAAGGCTGTCGAGGCAAGCTCTGTGGAAAGGTTTCAAGAACGTCGTTCGCAATTCACGTTCTCCTCCTGAGACTTGCGCGAGGTTGCTAGAGATTGACGTCCAATCAGTTGATATGACTATGATTCAGGAGAAAAGAAACACTCACAGACCACCCTGAGGACTCCCGAAAGCCGCGAAATGTTTGCAAGTAGCCGCCATCCTCGCAATCGCGTTGGCTCCTGCACCCCTCCTCTTGCCCTGCTGCAGCCCGGTAACAAATGCATGCCCCAACTCGCCAGACAGATATGCATCCTCCCCGAAACCCTCTTCAACTCTTCCCCAGCGTAGCTCGCGACCTAGGTCCAGCACCGGTGCGAATATATGGTTGATACCAAGCCCTTCGGCTTCCGTCGCGGTGATGTTAGCGACCGCCTTGACGAGCTCAGTGTCGAATGAGGCTCCGAGGCCGATTGGAGAGGGGAAGATGGTGCCTTTGTTCGTGAAGCCGTGAAGACCTACGAAATGCATGCCATCGATATTATGAGAAGAACTGTAGAGGATCAAGGAGCACAAACCTTCAGATTGAATCAAGGCCGGTATACCGAGTGTCGTGTTCTCCATCAAGTATTTTTGGCCCACGTTGACTGCATATACGAACTTTTCGTAGGGAACCAAGTAACCACCCCAGATGCTGCCTCCTTTCAACCTCATCATCTCTTCCTGTAAGCATTGTCAGGCACAGCATATATGCGTGTTTTGTTGATGCTACTGACAAGGCCGGTCTGATTGAACGTCAGAGTGTTATCGAGCGGGTCGTTGAGGGTCATCCATCCGTTCAAATCACCCTGAATGCTTCCAGACGAAAGTATCAGCAACCTCCTAGAAGAGAGAAAAAGATATTCGGCGTACACCTGAGCCACCTTCTCAGCAACAGTCATTCTTGGAAGCAGGTCATTGACGCGGTCTGTGACTGAAGCATCCGCGTTCTTGTAGATAGGTTGCGAACCATCGATATTCTCCCCTCTCGCGTCCACGGAGAAGTGAAGGCCAGTGGCAACTCCAAAGGTATCTTGGGCGAGGACGTGTACACACGGTACTAGCGCGAAGAATTTAGACCGCATGAGGTGGTTGTCAGAGAAAACGAGTGTGCAGGAAGAAGCTCAGCCAACGCACCGCGCTTTTAACGCAGAAAGGTAGCCCCTTCCGGGAGAGAAACATCCCTCTATTGGCCCTACTCCACCCCGCCTGCACTATGTCTTGCTGGCGCGTCAGAATGCGAGGCTTGGGCAGCACCTGATCCTCGTTTCGCGAGGCTCGTCTCCCAGTCCTCCAACTGACGGCCCGTCAAAGCAAGCGTAAACGCCGACGTTTCTCCAGCCAGCAGCGCTTCTCTGACTTTACGGCTCTGGTCAAGCTGAATGCATGCAGGTCGTGCTTTCCGGCGTCAATCCAAATAGAGGCCTGTGAAGAGAACATGAGATGTGGGCCGCACCATAGATGCGCAGAACACGCGGTAGGGCTCTCCAGCGAGAAAGAATCACTCACAGAGAGACGACCGAAAGGATGAAGTACAAGACGAGCGCGTGACTGTACTCCAGAGCTTCACAGTGCACCCGTCATGATTTCTCTGGAAGAAGCCTTTAGAAGCGACCACTGACAAGAAAAGAACAACAAGTCCAGACTCCACATGGAAACTCGAACAAGACTTGTACGAGGACGGTACGGTGGATAGTCGGAAGACGCTTGCGAATAAATGACGAGGAAAAGACGTTGGCTGGGCTTCTTGTTCTTTCTTAATGAAATCATGAGTCTTCACATGCTTCAAGTGGCCCATGGGAGCGACAAAATGACATTCCAATATTAATGGGTTACCAGTACGTCTATGCTACGATTCCATCAGTCAGATATCCACCTGAAAGTTATGAAATAACGATACCTTTACAATGCACATACGGCCGGTCATCCCTCTGCTTGAAATATAAGGAGAAAGCCCGTCGTATATTCGAAGAACAGTTGCAGTTGGTGGTTCGAGCTGAAAGGGATCAGGCTATGTAACGGAAATGATGGCGGCAAACAAATGATGCAATTGCCGGCCCGCACGGACCGACCACTGTTCTAGCATAAATCCAGAAATCTGCTTTTCTCCTCGTTTACTTACAATGATCCATGTCCCCAGGAATCAGTTAATCATTAGCCACCTGCCTCGCTCGCTGGTTATGCATTTAAGATTTAATTTTTTGCAGAGGACTTGACACCATCAAACCACTGTCTTTGACATGTCTCGCCGCCTCACTGCCTCACTCGACTTGTTGGGGCACTTTCCGGACTCGAGAATAGCTTTAAACTGATCTTCGTAGCCCGCGACCGTTCACCCGCAGAGTCCTGACAATTTAGGTAGTAGTAGTAGTAGTATTATACGGACGATCGAAGCAAACCATTCCGATCCCCACTGCGAGAAACACGATTGAGCATCGACATTCCAGAAGAAAGTTACGATTATACAGGACTTTGCTACCACAAAAAAGGAGCAATACGGTATAAATCCAAGTGGGCTATAGCAAGAGAGTTATACTAGATGTCGGATATACGTCATAGATAAGCAGAACTTATTAGAAAGCAGAAAAGCACACCAGAAGCCCGTCGAGAAAAGAGTCCAAGAGGCATTTAAACCGGTTTGGGTGGCGGCACGTTCGCCGCCTCCTCCTGCCGTATCATATCCGCTGCGGCTTTGATAGACTTCGCGCGTTTGACGACATCTAGCAGGTTCTCCGTATGGTCTGGCTTCCAGCCCTCCGGTAGGCGTTCTTCACTAATCCAACGCTGGACCCAGTCGACCGGGATGCCAGCTTTCGTTCTTGTCTTCTTCTCCCAGACGCCGAGGATGATGGCCATCTCCCCACGCGCGATCTCAGCGTGAATCGCGTCCACCGGCCTGCACTCCTTCTCCCTGCGCACGCGTGACCGGCCCACGTCCTCGGCGTTCATCAGGAACTCGACCCCGTCCTCCGTGCTGCCCTGCACCTCTTTCGCAGTCGGTCGCACGTCGGCGATGAACGTCTCCACGAGTGCCGGGTCGATCGCTATCGGCGCGTACTCCTGGCCCTCCGGAGTGTCATGGTGCACGAGGCTGGCGTCGTGCTCCACCGCACCGTGCTTCCCGATCTCGGCGAGGGATATCCGTCGGAACTTGCGCAGGATGATGAAACCGACGTAGGAGAGGAAGTAGGCAAGGGGGTTGGACAGGCCGTAGCATGCTTTGAGGCCGACAACGATGTCCTGAGCGCTGATGTTCTTTCCGTCACGGGCGCTACAAATAGATCATCAGCAATTACCTCATAGGAGGGCGAAGATGACGCACATGTACCCATGGTTGGCCATCGTGTTGAGCGCTGGACACACCGAGCGGATATCACCCTCCTGTGGAGGGCAGAAGTCGTGGCTATCACCAGTGACTGGACATTTCCTGCCCCAGTGTTCGTGAACGGTAGGATGGCCTTCGGGGAGAGACATAAGTGGTGAGCGAGGTAGGGACTGGTGGAAAGGAAGAATAAAGGTCGGTCAAGACGAGCGCGCTTTAAGTATGGGAACGGGTGTCTGGAACCGCTGCACTCGGTCCTTTAATACTAACCCAGCAAAGATAAATGGGCATCCGGGACAAGCGCAGGGTCTGACATGCAACACTAGCTGCACACGGCTGTACTTCGATGGCGGTGCCTTGCCCCTTCTCACAGACCAGGTTCCGAGATCTACTGTATGCTATTCCTGATGCAGAGTACAACCGGCGTTCCGGGTGGAGCGATGTTGATGAAGTTTCAAATCTGTCCCCTCGTGGTACAGTTTCTTGAAGTTGAATAGCGGAAGCCATGTAGGTGAGACTCCGGAGGATGTCTCTTTTTGCTGATGCTGCAACGGAAGATTCGAGTCGGCATTCATCAAACGCCGAGCCAGGACGCTGTTCTCGGAGATCTGGGACGCAATTTCTTGGGCTTGTCAATCAGGCAGGGCACGTGGTTCCAATTCAAGGCTTCCCATTGGCAGAGCTTGTAAAGGCTTGAAACTGCTTGAAAGGATTCCAGGACGTCAATCGTAGAAAGGCCCTTTTCGACCGGCCAAGCTGGAAAGGAGAAGGTGCTTTGAGTTCACCGCATGATAAGAAGAAGAGAAGAGCAGAGGTGGAAAACTTGGCACACTGCCTTTTTTTCATTCCGTCATGATTCTTGCGTTTCGTATCATCATTACGCTTGCGCAAACGAACAAAATATTCATCTTGGTGATCATGACGTCGACTGCGAAGTCCAGTTCAATATGTCCAAATTTTCATAGCTCATCATGGTTTGAAGACCCATCGTCAGCCTCACCTGGCTCTCCGGCCTCGGAGGTGCTTGTTCCACTCACCTTCCGATGAGAGCGCTCTGCCGCGAATGTGGCGAGGATCCCGTCGTCATTACCCCACGGCTCCACCGTGTCGCTCATCTCAAAAATAACTTCGGCCCCATCCACGATCTGGCTGTGTTTGATAATGGGCTCCTTGATGGGTGCACCGTTGATCGTCAGTGACTTGACGTAGGGTTTCGTGCGTGCACCAATTGCGGTAATAGACAGTTTCCTGCCTGGCGACGGCGCACCTTGGGAGGACGGGCTGTCTAGGTTAATGGTAATTTTCTCGAAGAATGGACTGCGATGAGAAGAAAAGTGAGCTCCACTTCATCGTGAATGAGAATGCAAGGAACGTACGACCCAACGACGTATTCTCCCGAGACGGGATTAACGGGATAGAACCCCATAGCGCTGAAGATGTACCAAGCGCTCATCTGTCCGCAGTCTTCATTCTAGTACAACACGCCAGTCGATCAGCATCAAAGTTCCAACAACGTCGTACCCGCAACTCGCGGTGAACGAAAGAGACTTACCCCCGATAACCCCGTTGGCGTGTTATCATAATTCGCGAGCGCGATCTCCCTCACTTTCTCCTGGGTCTTGAACGCCGCTCCTGCGAGGGCGTAGAGGTACGGTATATGATGCGACGGCTGCCATTGCCAAAGACAGTCAGTTTAAATTCGGAAAAAGCGGAATAAGAAGCTATGACGCCCTCATGAGCTGATGGTGCCTTCACGGGATAGCACAGCGTCCACATACAAGGACACATACCTCATTGCTATGATCGTTGTGCCCACCATCAAAATGATCGTCCAAGCTCTGTATGAACTTGATAGCCCCGCCCCGGCGCTTGATCAATGTGGGTACGTCATGTACGACGTCGAATGAGTACGCCCACTTGTCGCCTAGATAATAATATGGAATGGATGCGTGATTAGTACCAGTCAAATAGAACGACAGAAGGCAGACGCATATTGTTTCATGAAGTAGGCGCTGACCACTGAGTTCCGCGCTCCATTAGGCTGAAATGGATCCAATTCACTTCCGCATGGGGTAGCCGTTGCACCGTACACTCAAAGTCAAAACGCCAGTGATGGGCCCCGTCCAAGCCAGCCACGAACGAAAAAGGAATCGCAAAAGAAAGCAAGCCCAACGCACCTTCAGTCCATCCATTATCCTCTCCAGCCCAGCTCCCATCCGCGTTTCTGGCTTCCATAAAGCCCGAGGCATCATTGAAGAGCGTGAAAGGCGCGCGCATTGCCCTCTCCAGCAGGAAGCTCGTCACGTTCTCGGGCTTGCCTAACTCCCGAGCTAGGACGTAGGCGGCGTAGTCGTCATCTGTACGTAGGCGTCAAAGGTCAGAGCACGGCAATAATCAATTAATGAGATGCTGATAGTCGGGTCGAATTAGCTTACAGGCGTAATCAAGCGTCCGAGAAGCGCTCTCCGAGTGGATGTCATCTGCTACCCAGCCCTTCGTGCTGTACACCGAAGAAAGTCCAGCGCGTACTTCGTAGTCGACATGCTAGAGTAGAAGCGAGCCTTTTCGTTCAACTTCAGTGTCTCGCTCGAACGCTCAGATGAACGCACCTCTTCGCGGTCTGCATACCTACGAAAGGTGCACCAGTTATTCATATAAATGAGCATACGACGACCTCCTTCCAAGTGTATGGGGGATATCACTTACGGAACCTCCCCGTCCTTCTCCGGGGGCACCGTGGCATCCTTCCATACCGCCTCCCAGGAAAGCTCACGATCGAAACCACTGATATTCTTCAGGACTGCTTCAGCGATAAGCGAGTCTGCATGTGTGCCAACCTAAACGCCAATGAGGCTCTGATACTTTCTTTACGATAGAAGTCTATTTACCATGATGTTCGTCTCAACAACGTTCTTCCACATGGGCAGCCATCCTCCCTACTCGAGGATCATTGATCAAAGTTGGCTCGTTCATTTGAGGAGCGTTTGAGAAGAGACGCACCTCCTTGTAGTCAGCAAGCATGCTCTGCACCATGCCCGGGATACGATCCGGTACGAACAAGATTTGCCACGCCCATTGTGCTCGATACGTGTCCTACGGAATTAGCGCTTAAGTGAGAGCTTGGCTTAAAGCCGTAAAGAGCAATCCTCTTACCCAAATTGAATATCCCGTGTACGACTCGCCACCTGCAGGCAGCTCGTGGACGGCATTATCATAACCGGAGTAGTACCGGCCTTGCTCGTGCTGCTCGCTGGGGTACTAGACCTTTCATCAGCCACTCACAGTCCATGCATAAGAAGAGAAGGAAGCAAACCTGGAGTGTATGCACCACCCCCGTCCAGAACACCTGCTGGTCGACAAGGTCGCGCTCCGTCTGCTCAGGTTGTCCGTCGGCGTACGGAAGCAGCTCAATACGGTCCAGAATATCTGCCCACGCCTTGCGCACCCGGTACGCCGTATTCTCGAACGTGCCGGGTCGGTAATGGAGCTTCGAGTCGGAGTTTAAGTCTAAGTCTGAGTCTGACATCGGTGCCGACACAGAAGACGCAGACGCAGAGCCAGAAGCAAGAGGAGTGCGGTCGGGAATCTCATACTCAAGGTTCCGCCTCGCTTGCTCTTCCGAGATGAACGACGTCCCGACGCGCAGTGTCACGACCTTCTCGCTTGACGTCGGGAATAGTGCATATGCGCTCAGGAGCGGGCCCTCTTTCGTCTGTTGGCTTTGGAACGGGTACGTGACTCTTCCATTCTGGATGACGCCGTACAGGGGTTTAGGTGTATCCTCGTTGAACCGGGCACAGAAGTACCCTTTGAAGTGCTGTGAAAACGGCGCTGTGGAGGTAGGTGCAATTATGCTATCTTGCCGCTCGTTGGACCAGCCGCAGATCTCGAGTGGGTGGTTGAGGGTTACGCTGCCTAGTGGGAAGGTGATGTTGGTTGGAGTAGAGGTGACTACGGAGGGTCTTGCTACCTCGAATAGGATGTGGGGTGCGAGATCCGTCTTGAAGGTGAACCGAAGGTGGGAGACGCGAGAGGCTGGGGAGGATTTGAATCTCCAGCACGCGTTCAAGAGAGAAATACTTACTCGCTGTCTGCTCGATCTTGATTTCCCCTCCGTGTCCATCATCCACCTCCACGCTGTAGTACCCCACACTGACGACTTCTCGCTTCTGCCCGTCACCTCCTCGCAGTACCTCCAGGCCCCTCTTCTCAAAGTCAACCACAACCTCCTCGCCCACACCTGCGCTCACACTGATCGGTGCACTCTCGCCCATCCAGATCGCGGGCTGACGCGTCCCAACAACACCCATGACCTTACTAAGGGTCCAATTGAACGGCGTCGCGGACACATAGTGCACCTGCGTCTGAGCGACCCAACGTGTCATACCGAATGGTGGCGCAGTGCTGGGTATCATCCCTCCGGATCCGTTGGGCGTGTCTCCTCCATTTCCGATGAGGATGTTCACGAGGTCGAGGGCTTTGCTCGAGGGTTGTGCGAAGGGTGCTGGAGGTATCGTTGACGTTCCGTAGCTCGAATGGATGAAATAAGCCAGGATATAAACAGTACATATGGATGTCTTCATTGTGGTATCATGTAGCACTTCAGGTGAATTCAGTGCTCTTCTCGAGGATGTGGAGAAGATTACCACGTCAGCCTCGTCGGAGATGGATGATCAGAAAAGTTGGGAGGCTTCTCTAGTTCACAGAGCGGCAGATTTGCATTTATACACGCGGGTTGTGGGGAAAATATAGTCTGGAGTGATCAGGCGGTCGACACCAAGAAGTGTCGAACCATCTGGATTCGAAGTCAGCGGGAAACAACGGCCCGGTTTACGCGAAGACCCGTATGTTTCGGCCTTTCATCGTGGCCAGATAACATTTTGGACTCGGGAGACTTGGTTTTTGATTGAAAGCCTGACTTATATTTAAACAGTGCTCAAGGAGGACGCGTTTGACGATACATTTTGACGACGGGGGACATGTTTGCCAGGCAAACGGATGTTGACTACGATACTCATACAAGATAGCTACTTAAATACTGACTGTGATACTTTCCCTAGTAAAATGGTGCCCAATGTCCAACTAAAATGATAAGGAAAAATGTAGCATAAGAAATGGTGGCAGGGCGCGCATTGCAAATGCTCGCACAGCCCCGTGATATTCCAACAGGGCGAACTGCCAAAGAAAGAACCTCGATATCACCAATCATGCACCCTCGCCACATTGTGAATTCATGGGACTTCAAGGCTCGTAACATCGGACTTTTCCTGCGTCTTGAAGAATTCAGGGTGTGTCGCAAACGAAATGCCTGTTGTCATAGAGGATCCTTGCGCGATGGATTGCGCTACGTCGCGAGAGTTCAACGACGCAAGGAGCGCATTGAAGTATACTAAAATGATTCGGTGAGAACATGGTAAGTATTGGAGGAGGTTGAAGGATGACGGGCAGACATTTCGTCAAGAGAATGTATACTCCAAAGTATATGAGCGAATCAGGCGATAAGGAATACTGTCGATTGCGTTGCTGTCAGCTATTCTGGGTGGTGAAGAATCGAAATGCGGGGCATACCGCGATCAGGCATCCAAGAGCGCATATACTGGGAGGGGATGAGATAGCACGTCCAATTATTCTGTGGCAAACACACCTGGTGACCAAGCCTAAAGAATTATAGTTAGCCTCCAGTAGAATGAGCGGGAGATGTGCCAAGTTTCACCTGTATTTATGGCCAACGCGACAAGAAACGAGATCATTGAATCCGTCCTGTGAGTATCTCGTTAACCTCGATGACTTCCTAACATCACAATAATTTATAAATTACCGACGAAAGCCAGTGCGGCATCGAATTAAGAGCGTAGAGAGCGAAAAAGCGATGCAAAAGTCCGCAGCCACGCAGGTAGAGAGGCCGCTGTAGAGCGCCCACTGCAAAGTTGACAAGCTCTTTTTCATTTTCCCGGATGAATAAGACCCTCTGGACTTACAGAAAGTCTGCTATTAAATTCAAGGTAGGTCGTTACGGTGAAACTGGGCGATGACGACCCGGGGATGAGAGGAAGATTGATCCGAAAATTGAACAGAAACGCACCCTAAAGTGGTCAAAACTTCGTAAATATTAAGTCAGTATTCTGTCAGGAGTACTCTGGTAAGGGATTCACCGAAGGCTATGGCTGACGCAAGTCACGAAACGACATCATGAGGCGACGTGTACTACTTGGGGGATGCATCCTCACCGGTGGAGCCGATAGACAACAAATTCTGTATCCATCAGCAGGTTTTTCATCAGCCTTGCCGTCGTATCACGAAGATTGTTAGCTAACTCACGATGACCACCAATAATGTGTAGGCCACAACCTTTTGCTCCTTGAGAACTGTAGAGTCAATTAAGTGTTAAACGCCAACTTGCATGACATCCCAGGGGTTACTAACGCAAATAGATCCTTGTCGAAAAAATCCTGATGTTTGTCAATGGTAGCCAATATTATGCCCATCATGTCGGACATGAAGTAGGCTACTCACAGACGAACGATGCAGTCACTTGTGGCCGCAACATACATCTGACCTAGACCTGACCTGGATAGTGTATCAGCCGTCTAGGGATTGAGATTCACGGAATGAAATATAACACACCAAGGAAGGCGGGCTAAGGCGAAAATATTGCCGCAATTTGAAACGAGACTGAAGTATAAATTGTGCGCATTGAGGCCAATGTGGATCGTGTCCGCAACCCTCGGTGAGAAGTCAGACAACCAGACACCAGGGCAGCTGAGTGCCTTACAATAAGAATGCGATCTAAATGCACCACGGTTGGCAGACACCCCCCATGAATGAAGCAAACAGATTGTCCATACCGTAGTTTTAAGGTAGGGATTGTCTCTGCGCCCACTTCTGAAGAAAATGAACGTCTGAATGCAAGTGACACCGTAAATTCTGCAGACGAGGGTTGGTTAGTGGAGAGTTTTTCCAATGTGAGAGGTAGACGAGCACTGACGTCGTGGAGAGCAGCATACCGATGTACGGTGCCCCAAGGTTTTTGTTCAGGAAGTGCGCTGGGAGTTGTGCCATCGTGAAATCGTCGAAGAAGAGTACCGACCTACAGGCTGCACGTAGTGAGTGATGGGGAAAGTGGGTTGGAGGACTTTCCAGCATAGCCTCCAGCCATATATACTTATGTGTAAACCCGGTCTGTGTCCCCTTGGGCGGAACAATCAGAACCTTGAGGGACACTGACCTGCATCTGAAGCGCTAAACCGCACTCTTCATCACAGAATATGCGCAAAGGTGTTCTCGAAGGCAGCCTCGAAGACCAACTGCTGTGGCATCACGAGGTACCTATAACCGAAAATGATTCGGGTAGAAGGTTAGGAACCTCAAAGCTGCAAGTGGAGCGAGTGTTCTGCCGTTATCTTCAAAATGGGAGGATGGGAGGTAGATTGAGTTAGGGTCTCTGGGATTCCCTCTAGGCTCAAGTAAGCACCCTCTCACAACATGAGGATCTTAGTACAAGACTAGGATTCACTCCGCAAATAACGACGTGATCACGAAAGCGAGGAAGGCATACAATATGGGCGAAGGTTTGATCACTCACCGACTTGTCAGATCACGAACACAGTCTGTCTCCGGGGTAATCGTGGCCATCTTTTATCATGATCGACATTCGGGTTGGGGACATCAGAGGATTCTATACTTGCTGGAAGATGGAAGATGGTTGCCTGTTTGAAGTAGCATCTGTATCAAAACAGAACATTGAGCACCGCCGTGAATGAATGCATGGGTGTCCATCTGAATGGCGAGATCGGGATGGCTCGAGGACGTATACGTACGTCCTCCCTCTATAATAAAAGCACTAGTTGAGTTGGGAAGGGATGAATGGATTAAAGGACGTACGCCACATTAAAAGTATAGAGATCTGAGACAATAAGATAATGGGCCAAAGGACGTACTGTCAGGTTTGTTTATAATCCTAAGAGAATATAGCTTACGGCCATCAAGCAGCCGAACATGCAGGGACTCGTGGCCAGAGCTATGTAAAAATAGTCAGAACACCTTTTGAATCTTACGACGTGCCTGAAAAAAATACCTGCGCTGATTGCGAACCCCATAGGAAACAATCTGTCCTACGAAGATTCATCATTGAACCCTACATAATCCCTCACTGTCCGGGCGACTCAATCGGCAGAAGTCAGTCCTGACGCGTATCAATAACACCGAGAGCGAAATAGTAGTGAGTAAACCAGCCGCTGCGCATTACCACAGGCCTGCATCAAGGGCCTACTAATCGTGAAAATTGGCATTAAAGATCTCCCGAAAGGAGGAAAGAGGAAAAGGCATCGTCGAAAACTTTGAGAAAGGTCTGAACACCAAAGCCAAGAGAAACGAATGCTTCGGTCAAAGAGGACAATCGTGACTATTAATAGGTGTTCGAAGATGAGAAGTCACCAACTTACCCAAGGCGAAATCTGTAGAACAGTCGTGGTGTTTAGGATCATGGAAATTCTAGTCGCTCTATGATATTCAAATGCTTTCGCTCCATTGATGCCGCAAGCAAGAAGATGGAGATCTGAATGAAGGTAATGTGGCAGAGTCTGACGAAAACAACGCTTAAATCGACAAAGTGCGAGAACCAAAGATCGAAGACTCACGTCGAGGCGAATGGCAGGCCAATGTTCGACGCACCCAGTTCTTATCCAAAAATCCCCCTAGAAAGCGGTCCATTGTCGACTCGAATCTGGGGCGTTTCAAGTAGTAAGCATTAAAGTAAAATAGTCTGCTCCTAGACGGGTTGTGACCCAAGAACGGGCCCGATCGCCCAAGGAATCGACTCCGCAAAGCCATGCATTGCCATTGCGCCGCGATGAGCTAAATTACGCCCAGAAATCCAGTATATGCGTCCAAGAAGTGACGCGTAGAATGTTCGACCAGGAGATATAAAGAATGACAAGAGCAGCTCGCCAGTCCTTCGGAGTCGTTTTGATGTCTCCAGTTGCATTCCATTGCAGGAAGAAATCCGACGTGGCAGAACGGAAGAGGTCATCGTGCTGTTTTTGGCTGATAGTAAAGCAATAATCAATGTCGAGGAGGATGAGTGCAATGTTAAACGGGTAAAGTTTGCTGATGGCTGTAAAGCCAATGGAATCGCGTGAGAAACCGGCCCAACTACAAACCCGGAAGCCGCTCAAGTTGCTCTCAGTCTCCTTTTTTCAGCTTTTTTTCCAAACACTAGCGTGAACTTGCTCAACACCGTCCGACGGTTCTCCCTCGTCTCCCAATCCGGTTCAATCTCGAGCGTACTGTCTCCCCAAAAACCCAACCAGTGATACCAATATCAGGTTTGACCCACCTGGAGTACACAGCTACGGTTCCTCTCCTCCGAGGCGCCCTCGAGAAAGTGGAGCACGATTGGCCCTTCGTCTTCGTCATCGTACCCTGCGTGCCATGTGCAGCGAACAATGTAGGGGAGAAGTATACATGTGGAGGACGGCTTTGATTTAGATGTTGGGCATTGTCCACTCGTCCGCCGTGCAGATCTGGTCCTAGTTCTTGAAGACGAGTCTCGTTAGGCATTCCCAGTCCACTTTCCTCCAGGACTCCATCCGTGCCCTATCCTGTCGGCTGAACATTTGGGCCATATCCCTCGGGATCGCACGAATACTGAGACTCTAGTAGAGTGATCTCCAACTTCGATAGCGTCCTCAGCACTGCGATGGACGGCTCCAACATCTTCACTACGATTTGCCTCCACCTCGCGCAGACTAGGACGAGACACTTGTCGGGAGACATATTCGGCACTTATTCGAGTAGCCCCTCGTCTCACTCCGTGTAATCCACCGAGATAACCAGCGGGCAGGATCCTGATCTCTGCACTCACACGCGCGCTTCGACGACCACAGAACCAACAGCTTCCTGAACTCTCGCCTGGAGTACGAGTCAGAATCGAGCAAGCAGGGTCGTGTGCGTCAGGAACGGGGTTTGGATCGCCACCGAGAGCCTTCGAGTCTCCGCTGGTTTGATACGTCGGGTTTCGGTATGTGGGGACACGCAAGGAAGCTCTCCTGATGCGCCTTGAGCGAGAAGCAGCGGTGGGAAGGATGGTATCTCAGACGGTATGTCCAAAAATTCGGTACAAGGGACAACACCGAGGTTTGTCGGATATTCACCAAGATATTTATTGTTGACGTGTAGTACATAAATCGAGATTATTCTTGCAGTTCTCACCAACAAGTGATCCCTGACGAAGACGCCAGACCGTTGTAATGAGAAAGCGGAGAACGGAGATTCGATGGATGGTAGTAAAACTCCATCGCCAGCCCCGAGTCTTGGTACAACGCAAGCTCGGCCACGAGGTCCCTTTCTCCCTTCTTCCTGACAAAATTTACTTTGATATTTCGAAGCTTGCCCATACCATGACGATCCCCATCCTGCTTCCTCTTGACAAATTCGACAACGGCTGTTTCTGAGAATTGTGTCTCTCGCATGAACGTGATATCTTCGAGATTTGGACACAAAGCGGGGGCGAGATCTCGATTGAGTGGCGGCGCGAGCTCGGTAAGAAGCTCATCAGTGAATGGATGCCCTGCAGCAGCTGGTCCGAACCTTTGAATCCAGGGTTCTAACGGAGCTTGGAGCTCTAGATGTAGGAGTCGTAGAGACGAGCAAAGGCGTAGAGACTCCAACATCTCGAACGGGGTGATGTTATTGGGATCCACAGAAAGTTCTTCGATATGTATTCCAGGGTTTAGTACCAAGAAGTCGAGGAATGGGTGGTTATGTGGCGGGAAGGATGCCACCAGCCGGCTGTATGCCATACAACGGATGGAAGGTGTGCGCAGGAGTGGTAGTAGAGTGACTCTGGGATATTCCGCGATGGAGAGGGTTTTCAGCAATAGGAGTTCGATTGGGAGGTCTTTGAAGGCGTCATTAGCGTCGTTCGTTTCGTTGTGAGGCCAGGTTTCGTCAAAATGTCCAATACGAAGCGTGCAGTCAATGAGTGCCTTCGTTTCTCTGAGGACAGCCTTCACGCGAGATGTCACCGAATACAATGGTATATTGTTCGAACGACCATCTTCGTTCAGCACGAGGGTCGTCAACAGGTTCCATTTCGAAGTCACTTCCCAGGGTATGTCGAACACGGATAACCGCAATTCCCTCAGACTCTGACCGCCTAGAATTCCGCCGCCGTCATTCCAAGTCTCTGCTACTGGAACATCTTGTTCCCAGGTCCCCGAAGGACTGTCCCACTCCGGGCCATTTCTTCTCTTGATGGCCAGGTGAAGCGATTTGAGTTGGGGTGTCTGGTCAGTGCTGAGCCTCTGGATGTTCGAAATCGAGTCGGCGTATGCAGAGAGGCTCAAGTCCTTCCAGCGATCGCAAATGGGAACCAGACATTCTTGCAAGAATTCGGAGAAGTACGACGTCGCATAGAGGGAATGCCCTTCATAGGCGGAAATGGTAAGTGGTAATGCACCAGCCAGACGAATCCAGTCCTTGACCGCAGCGGAACGCTGATGTATGATGTTTTCCAACTCCCCATACTCGACGTCTCCCTGATACCCCGGGATAGCGACGTGAACTGACGCCCAAAGTTGGGGGGTGCTGTGAGCGACGTGACGCCAATGGCTGCAAACCTGGGTGATGAGAATGGGCGCCTCGTCTGCACTCAGAGAAGGATTACGGTCTGTCGGTAGACAGGCCAGGAAAATCTCCTGCAGGAGATCATGGGGAACGCGGCGCATTGGGGAGATGAGTGCCCGATGGTTCTTCGTCGATTAGACGAGCGCGGCTCGCCTTGTTCGCAGTTGGTCACACCTCTCTTGGATCTGAGTGATCTCCTCATCTATAATGCGCATCTCTTGGTCAGAGCCCCAGAGAACGGCCGCTTTGATCCTTGAGATCTCTTGCTCGGTAGGACAATAATTGGTGCCAAAATGCTCGCAGAACGGTTCTTCTGATGCCTAACACATCAAATCCATTACAATGTAGTGCTTAGTTCGAGTCTACAGACATACCTGATACATGTCGATTTTCGTGGAAGCCAGGTGAGTTGTCGTAAAGAAAGCCAAACAGTGGGTAAGCTCAAGTCGGACACGATAGATCCGTGTCCGTCGGAATTGCGAGAAAAGAAACGATAAGATAAGATCTCACCTGCATACAGGCAGTCTTCGCTCCTGACCACTTCTCACCAAGGTTGTGAGAAACAAACTGAAATAAAACATGCATCAGGGAGGTACGTAGACACGGAGGAGTTCTAACGGACTATATTCCGAAATAGGAAACCCACAAGGTCCCAGTCGCAGCGCACATCGGGAAATTGGCTGGAACCTTGTAAGGTCATTGTGGGGCATTATAATCACTATTATGTTTGAAATAAGTACAAACCTAACAGACTACATTGCAAGACCTTATAACGCCGACTACAGATAACGAAGTTGACAATGCATATAAGGTTAGTAAGCATGATGAAGCAAATCAGAGACAATGAGTACGGCATAAGGATTGTGGCTTGAGGCAAGGATATCTATCGGTCACAAACTCTTGAAGGTAATTCTGACGACTCTTATGATAATAGGACTTGTAGATATGATATAATGTATGTCACACATTAAGAACAGGGGAAGACGTTGCATTGAGAATTTGAGATCTACTAGTACTGGGCGTACAAAAGGCATTCGCGCGTATTAGAAACCGTCCGCTTCACGCTGAAGAGCGAGACGGGCTGCCTTGATCTGGGCATTTGAAGTATTCTTACCACGGGCGACGGGGGTAATGGACTCTGGGAAGATCAGGCTAAATGAAAAAACGGTTAATAGATACTCATAGAGCTGGGGAAAGCTGACAACGACTGACCGGTTCCAATGGTCAAAAAGCTCTTTGTTGTCCTTCTCGTTGTCGGGGTCTTCTAGGTACATCACCAATGACTCGTAGAAAGTTACTGCATCAAGTTTCTTGTTGCTCTTGTGAAAGGCACCCTCGTCTGAGAGGGCAAAGTAGACCTAAATGGCTCATCGGTAATCCAATCAAAGAAAGAAGAGCGCAGTATACCTGAGCAGCAACGTATGCGAGTGACGCTGCATTGACAGAAGTCATGCCATTGTTGTGAGCGTTGCCAGAACGAGTGCTCTGTGAGGAAGAGTCCTCAGCATCGTGGGTGGCCACAGACGATGGGGCAACGAAAACGTGCATGTACGCCTGACCAAAGTGTTACTGAAATGACACAAGACCAAATATAGAAGACGCACCATTACGAGGAGATGACTGCGAAGTAATCCCACCCATGGCGTCTTCGGGTCATATGGCCCATCATACAGGAAGTTGGGCCAGTTCGCGCCGCTGACTGCTTCAGGTCCATCAGGCCCAGGGATTGTCGCAATGCGGTTACGCAAAGCAGACTGAATGCTAGGGTAGAAATGGGAGAGATGTTGCTGATGATGAGAAGAAAACGTACTTGGGATCATCCCAGTCCAGAACGGCAGGGCAAAGAAGACGGCTGGTAACTGGATTCTTGAACCCACGTTTGACTTTGTCGTCAGGAATTGGCGCAGAGTCTGGGTGAAGCTTCCTCCACCAGACAGGAATTGCCTTTGAGATGTGATGACTGTCATTTGATTTGGCGGTCCCAGCTGCTGCCTTGATCTAGAAGTGAAAGAGAGATTTATCATAGGGATAGAATAGAGAGTTGATTTGAAGGCACACCTTTTTCCCAAGATCCATCATCTGCTTCCGGTCTTGAATAATGATGTCAATTGAGGGGACCATCTGGGTTAGCTCTTGCCAGGCATGCCAGAATCGGTTCTCCCTGGAAGGAATAACATTAGCAGGATTAAAGTTGATGTAAGGGAACTTACTCGTAGGTATACTCAGAGTCATCTCCTCCCTCAGATTCACGGATAGAGCCTTTGAGAATCACGGAGGACGGGTTGCGGAACATGTCAACAGTTCGAATGAAGTGCCCCGCAATTCGGTTGATGGGGTCACTTTTGGACTTCTTATTCCGCCCAGTGGTAGTGAGTTCGACGTCAGGAAGTGAACGCTTGGGAACGCTGGAGGTAATGCTGAATGAAGCCTGGGAAAGAGGTGATGAGGGAGTGGCAATGGAGGACATGGTGGTGAAGGGAAATGTCTTGCCGCTGGAACGAGGTTTGGTGCGGACTCGCCGGAGCCAAGGGTCTGGTGTAGGTGGTAATCCATGGTTATCCGGAACTGGGGAGCTTGGGAGGGGCGGCTCGTCGAGGAAGGGAGTAGCACCCTCCGGAAGGTAATCGACATATCGACTCGGTAGGACACCACAATTTGTCCGTATTGGGCGTCCATTCTGGTCTGCACAGACGGGAGACGGAGGTCGAGGTGCTTCGTTCACCAGATCGCCTTGGGCCATCTCAGCATTGCCGTCAGCGAACAATGAGGACAAGTCGGAAGATGTCTGAATTGTGGGGACAGCGGCCTGTTGGGTTTGTATCTGAATGAAAATGCTTGACAAGTACCAAGGCTGCGACTCACCATGGTAAGCGGGAACCCATACTCCGTGTACGGAGTCCGATTCAAATCGTGTCGTGCCATATCATTGGCCTTTCGACGCCTCTTCTTCCCTCTCACGTTCTCCCGGTTAAGTTTTGCGATACTTTCGACTACTGAAAGGTAAGTGACGCATGCCTCTTGGTGCTTGAGGAGCGAGCCTTCATTTGAACATCTTTTACCGCATCGGCAAGTCAGATGATTGGGATCCATGACCAAAAAGCCGTCCTAGGCTAGAGAGAACGGGATAGACGCGTCGCCCACCGTGACGTCCGTAGGCGGAGAAGCAGCACAGAGTCCGAGTCCGAGTCACTCACTGGCCCCGGGCCAGGCAGCATACTGACAATGGCACTGCCACCGCGGAAGGATTGTCGCAGCCCCATCGCGTTCTCGAAATCCTTGCGGAGGGAGCGCGAGACACTTGAACCCTTGGTGAATCGAGACAAGGACGAGGAACTGTTGTTGTATTGTGATGAGTTACTGACGAAGGTTTCATCGTTAACATGAGCCCATTACAAACTGAGACTTTGCTTGTTTGTGATTGTGATACCTGCAAGCGCAAACAAGGACCGCGCCAATTTCCTGATGCATTTTAGCACAAATTATTCTCTGATTGAAGTAGGGATCATGAAGATCAGGACCGTCCTCCGACTCCCGAGTTTTGGACGAGGAAATTTATAAAATACAGAAAACATGGGGGCGATCAATTGCAACGGGAATCGATGATAAGGACCAGTCGAATAACGCACCTCTTACTAATTTCCGGATTTATTTTGCCTTTGCACAATGCATTTGAGTGACTTGTCGCAGACATGATCATCCATGTGAGCGCTATAGAGAAGAATAAGGAGGACACTAATCCATGGATGGTGACATATCTTCTGTATAAGTCCGGTTTTTTCTGAATGCACAGACGAGTTTCATGAAGCAACACAAAACAGCCAGAACACACTGGAAACCCACAAGATTTGCATGCCAGCAGCACCATGTTAACTCCGAGGGTCCAAGGCGCAAAAGGAGGGATCGAAGCACTAACAACTGCCAGACCATCAGAAGGTGTACGCCCTAGAGGAAGCGAAACCTTACTCGACGGTGTGGCTACGATGTGGCCATAGAAAGCGTGCCGACCAAGATGCTCAAGGAGGTCTGCCCGACGAGCGTAGCATACATCCCAGCATTCATCAAGTGGAATCGCGCAACAGCAGTACTCGTGCCTTCTTCATGGTGGGAGAGAAGATAGATTGCGCAGTGACGACGCTGGACCGAGGAGGCAAGTAATTTTCTAAATGGGTTAGCCTTGTACGTCAGTGTGACTAGCACGACTAGCACCGTGACGCCTGTCAGTGTCCTCCGAGGCAGTCTAAGAGAACGACCACCATGGTACCACTTGGACCTTATCCACCATGCGCCTCTTCGTCCTCGCACTCGGCCTCAGCATGGCAGCTGGCTCCCTGGCTCTCATTGTTGCTGAGGAGCAGCATCCAATGAAGGTCGATCGCCCTGTTCATACCATGGCTGGGTGGAGTTACGAGGATTGTGGTTCGTCCTCAGTATCTTCGCTCTAGCCCTCCACACTCACTTCACCTACGATGCTCAGGACTTGACACCGATCCCGTTCAGATTAAGTCCATTGAAGTCTTTCCCGACCCACCCAAGCCTGGTGAAGATTTGACGGTGCGGGTCAAGGGGACTACCAAGGAGACGATAGTGGTACGTTGGCACGTTCTCTTTTTCTATATTTTCGTCTCACGGGGCACATAAGGATGGGGCATATGCAGAGGTAGTGGTCAAGCTTGGTCTAATCAAGCTCTTGAGGAAGACATTCGATCTGTGCGATGAAGCGTGCGTAATTATTCTCGTGACGCCATTCCGTCCTCAACACCCCGCTTTCAGACGCAAATCACATACATCTCTTCAGTGCCCAGTCAAACCTGGAGAATATACTGTTGAGCATACAGTTGCACTTCCCAAGGAAATCCCGAAAGGTGGCACAATAATTTCAGTTCTATAGCGTTCAGACACTAATTTGCTATCTATGTAGCCAAATTCGCTGTCAACGTCAGGGGCTTTATGGTCACTGAGGAAGACATGTTGTGCCTCAACCTGAAGGTTGACTTTATGGAGAATCCTTTCCCTCATAAACTGTAATAACCTGCTTCCTTTGTGGGCGAATTATGGCGCGCGTTAGGCTTCATCGTTGGTATCAGAATGCGTTACAAATTTTTGTTACACTTATGGCTGTCCTCTTTCTACAGTACAAAACTATAGACTTCTTTTTTGGAGCTCTACCGTGCCCTGGGGAGTCGGGACCTGTTGAGCCCATCCTTGACGTTTCCGATGCACCTCTTACTAATTTCTGAATTTAATTACGAACACTTGTTTTAGTGGATGTGACTCAGAAATAATTTTGCGACAGCAACCGTAGAGGTAGTGTGATCGGTAGAAACTGCCGGTCAAACTCGTTGCAAGGGTGTACTTCGGCCAGGTCTCGAGGCTCGCGTTAAAGTCTATTTTTAGTGGAAGGCTATTTTTAGCTTCACAGCATATGGCGTCTGCGCTCAAACGCTCGAGGTGAAAGCCAGCTGCCATGCGCGAATTTATTCTGTTCCAAATATTCGCTCGCCACACGTCCTGGCCAATAGGCCTGCGGAATAATCGTACGCGATGCTTCTCCGGTACTCAATCTGCCCGTTTCTAGATCACGGCGTTCAGGCAGAATCAGGCTTGCTGCGCCCCTGCGGTTGTTCTCCTTGCCGACTCTCCTGATTCTGTTGACTTCGCTCTGGCTGATAGATCAAGAAAGTGTCCTCCTCCAACCTCAACTCCCGGCTGTTCATCACAAGATCGCACGGCAAGCAGCAGAAGGGGGTGAAACAGTCCGAGAAGGCGCTCCCGCGGATGTTGTACCGCTCACGGACGTTGTGCCGGGTGACAATCTACGCAAAGTTAAGTACTTCACTCGCCAACGAAGCTGTGAAAGCGCACCTGGAGAACCCAACCCATAGCGAACATGGTCTCAACGAGGACGTCCAACAGGCTATCTTCCGCCATGAGGTCGTCCCGGTGGGGGTCTGGCAGGCCAGTAGCGTTGAGGTGGTCCAACCGGCGTCTATTCTGGGCGTGGGCCAGACATGGGCACCACCACGCGAAGCAGCCTATTGGCACCAATTTGAGAACACAAACACTCGTAGGAAAAGGAAAAGTGAGCTTACAAGCCTTCATGCCATCCCCGAAACAGCTAAAAAGACCAAAGCTCCAACCTCTCTTCCCTTGAGCGTCATATGGCAAGTTCTTCACGTTCCTGTTGCCTGAGCCTGGGATGAGCATAGGTGCGGTCGCTTGAGGCTGCATCGTGTGCAAAGGCTACCGATGGTGTCCAAGACATTCAATATTTCCGGTCCTCTCGAGGGGGGATGATGGGATTAGCGTACCTGCATAAACGGCTTTTCGAGGCCATTGGCCGGCTCCATGATTTGTGGTGCGTCTATTCCACGGGGTCAGGACGAATTCGAACTGGTGACAGAGGAGAGGCGTAGAAGAAGAAAGGCGCTTCGAATGAGTGATTCCCAACAGGATTGAAGCAGACCATTCTTGTCTCACATAGTCAACGCCGAACGGGAAGAACCCAGTTGTCTCACTTCACAAATTGAGACTTGGCGGAGTCTTATCGGCTTGCGTAGACCCTGCGCCAGTACTTACACCTGGACGGCCACCTGGACGGCTGTCATAAATGGAGTAAGTACCTCTGCAAACCGAATACCAAGTGGTATGTGCGGCCACTTGACACGGACTCGAGGGATTGCAAGCCGAAATGTCACTCTTAAGTGTCCAAAAAAATCAAAGACCAAGCAGTGCATTTATGCATTAAGGGGGAATCGAACCCCCAGCGGGTCGAGCTTTCAGAAACTCGAATGGCAACGACCCAGGTTACCACTACCCCATTAATGCAGATAGTTGGAGGTAGTAAGGTGAAATCACCATCATGGAACTCCCATTCACAGCTACTCCTCGCTCAACCCACCATCAATGGAAAAGTTGGAGCGGGTCTGCGGCCCCAAACTTATAACTTTAACGCTCTGTAATTTTAAAGTTTTCAAAGTGAGATAAGATTAGACCACTGGCTATGAAGTCATCGAAGAACTGAATTGTGATCGTGAGAGCGCAACGTGTCCCCACCGAATATATCCCGAACTCCGTTGGTTCGACTCACCAATTCCATTGTCCCACTTCACCCCGCCTTTCATTCGACGTGTAGGCGGCTTTCCCGTCGAGCATTTGTCGTCCGCGATGCGTCTCTTCGCGCTTGCCTCTCTCCTGCTCCTGCTCGGAAGCCACAATGAAGTGTTCGTGGCTGCCGACTCGGGACTATATCCGCCAGGTCTGCTTCCTCTAATCAACAAAGCCAACGTCTTCCTGGCTACTGGGCAGTTCAACGAAGCCGCAAAGATCTATTCAGAAGCTATAGGCAAGTCACCTCTCCATAAATTCGTTCTGCCACTTACGAGGCTGTCCAGAACAATCACCTACCGACTATCTTTTATACTACAAGCGGGCGACAGCCTATTTCTCCCTGCAACGAAACAGCGCAGCTCTAGAAGACTTCGAGAAGGTCCTGTCCCTCACTTCCAACACGTTCGACAATGCCCACCTCATGAAAGCCCGGATCTACATCCGAGAAGGGCATTTTGCGCTGGCGAAGCCGGCTCTTGCGGCGTACATCAAGGCGAAAGGGCGCGATAAGGATGCGCAGGAGCTCGAGGGCGAGCTCAAGGAGGGCGAGCGACTGAAGAACAAGGCAGAGAAGGAGCGTGGTGCGCAGCTATGGAACGCATGCGTGGAAAGCTCGAGCCAGGCCCTGCGGGTGTCCAGCCACTCGGTGGAGATCAGGACGTGGCGCGCAGAGTGCGCGTTTGCGGCTGGCGACGTGGAGAGCGCTGTCGGAGATCTAACGTGAGTCCGTCATTTCGCGCTGTTGTTTTCTCCCTCTCTGACATCCCCGCAGTCGGTTGTCGCACCTGTTGCCACCGTCTACACAACTTCTCATGCGCATCTTCCGCCTCTCTTACTACCTCCTTTCGCCATCCCCAGCTCCTCTCAACGCTCTCAAGCAATGTCTGCACTACGACCCCGACTCGAAACTCTGCCTGTCCCAAAGAAGATTGCTCAAGGCCTTCGACAAGTCGTTTAAGCAGCTAGAGGAGCTCTTGGCCCAAGAGGATTGGAAGGGTGTTGTGAAATTGCTCACTGGGCCAGGAAAGAACGCCGACCTCTGGAAGCGGTGGGAGCAGGCCCTCATCGACAACGTCGGCAATGAGAAGGACATCCTGCCTCTTGTGCCTCCATCCCTCCTCGAAGCAACGATCCCTCATCCATCAGCTACTGCTTCCCGCAAGGGCAAGCAACCACAAATCCACCTTCCACTGGCAACCAAGGTCTCTCCGCAGCGACAAACACTCGTCCGGGCACTCTGCAAGTCATACACGCAACTCGCGGACATCACCAAGTCGTCGGCAGAGTACAAGAAGCAGATGGAGAGATGGTGCGACGAACTGCTTACACTCGATGGCTGCAGCGAGGACGTCGACGGCCTCGTTGGCCGGGGTGAATCTCTGCTCGCTAAGGAGGAGTTCGAGGATGCCGTGAGAGTTTTGGAGAAAGCATTCGAGGCGAGCGGGCGGTCAGATAGAAATGTGCGTCTCATTATTTATTGCTGTTTTCGTTTATGGGTGCATATACTTACGATTCTTCGTAGATCCACCAACGCCTCGGACGTGCTCAGAAACTACTGAAACAAAGCAAGCAGAAGGATTATTACAAAATCGTTGGAGTTTCTCGCGACGCCGACGACAGGACGATCAAGAAAGCCTAGTACGCCTTTCCCCTCTTTTCTATTCACATCAATTCGCTGACCGCTTTTATCAGTCGTAAAGCAGCCAAGTCGGCTCATCCAGACAAAGGAGGCTCAGAAGCCAAGATGGCCGCTTTGAACGAGGCGTACGAGGTCCTCTCCAACCCGGAGCTCCGTCAGCGGTTCGACAACGGCGAGGACCCCAACGACCCAATGACGCAGCAAGGCGGACACCCATTCGCCCACGGACAACACCCTTTCGCGCAGTTCTTCCAGCAGTCGGGCGGATTCTCGGGTGGGGGGTTCCCGGGAGGCGGACAGGGTGGGTTCCAATTCCACTTCAACCATGGACATTAGTACGCGTTGGGGTTGTTGCGATTGTATTTATAGTGCGAATGAATTATTCTTGCATTCGGTCCTTCCACTCCATGGATGTTTGCTTGGTGCTTGAGTTCTTTCGATGAAGTGTGTATGGCAGGACGGACATCAGCATATCAACTTCCGAAGACACCTTTCCCAGTAATCTACCTCTCATGCAGCGAGTGATTGTTTGAAACTGGCGGAGAACGTGGCTGCGCAGATATCATAGGGAAATCCAAAAAAACGCTACAGAAAGTCGTGTCGATCCGCTTCCTGCTTCGGGGTTAGGGTTTGGCATCCTGCCGTCTGTACACCACTGCGAAGTTCGAACTACTTGCTTCCATGCCCGTCGTCTCCTGCAACCATGGGGAAAAGGCAGAATAACTCTGCAGCTGCAAAAGCAGCCAAAAAAGCGAAAGCTGCTCAAAAGGTTGAACGGAAAGAAACCAAGAAGGCTTCCAAGGCGAAGGACGTCCGAGTCACCCCCGTCTCCAAAGGAAAAGGGAAATCCAAGTCGAAGAAGGCCAATGATTCAGACACAGATGACGATGATCTAGAAGGGATTTTGGAGAGAGTGAGTCGTCCCTAGTGTCGAACTGCCGATGGCTTACTCTGCGTCGTGCTCAGTAGATGCGAAAAGAATGGGAAGCAGCGCACACAGTGACCGAAGAACTGGTTGAAGGCCCACCGAGTCGTCGAGCAAATGCTACGTTTACTGCATGTCCCAATGGGAATCATCTATGGTGCATTGGTGGCGAGTTTTTCAGTGAAGATGGGCGAGCAGTGCGTATGGGACACTATGTCTCCGGTTTAATGCTCTAACATCACAACAGTACTTTTACAGCGACGTGTTTCGTTACACGCCGGAGAAGGATGAATGGCGTAAATTTGTTTCACCAACGTGTCCAGGGCCGCGGTCAGCGCATGCCGTCGTAGCATCGCCTGCAGGAGGTGGAAAGCTCTTTCTTTTCGGTACGCGTCCATCCTCTTACTTATACTTGGAGCCCAAATTCCTGAAGCTCATCTTAGGCGGCGAGTTTTCTTCCTTGCATCAGAACACGTTCCATCACTACCGCGATTTCTGGTGCTTCGATATCACAACTCATTCATGGGATCGTATTGAGACCAAGATTCGACCCAGCGCGCGTTCTGGACATCGGTTAACCTCCTTTACTTCTGCCCCTCCTATCTCAAGACTTATTCCTACTTCACTAACAGGATGGCTGTGTGGAAACATCTCATCGTCTTGTTCGGGGGGTTTTATGATCCTGGTGTTACAAGTGGGCTTCATCGTGCTCGCGGTGCTCTCGCGCTAATTGTTTTGCAGCTCGTTACCTGAACGATCTATGGGTATTCGACACCCAGGAGTATAAGTGGACTCAAGTCGAATTCAAAGAGACGGAATCTCGCCCATCGTATGCATCTACGCTCTCGGACTCCAAGACCGGTGTTCACCCTTGATCAGACCCCGAAGTGGATTTTCGTTCCTCCCGTGTGCAGATGGAATTGTGCTCCATGGCGGATACTGCAAGGAATATATGAAAGGAAAACGCCCAGTGGGTGTGATGCTTGAAGATACCTGGTTGTTCAAGTACGTCTGCGATGGCTCTCTCTTGCGACAACCGTCTCACATGCAGCATTGACAGGATCGCACTTCCAACAGCATCCGATGCTCCTTCTACACCCACTTCCGCAAACCCCAAAGCTAACGCGAAATCGAAGGCTTCATCCTCCTCCTCACATAATCCTATCTTTAAATGGGAGAAGCGGAAGCGTCCATCCGATGCCTACGCGCCATCGTTGAGGAGCGGGTGCACTATGGCTCTCTGGGCAGCTAAAGGGATGGGGGTGCTTTTCGGCGGCGTGACGGACGAGGATACCAGTGAGGAGGGGCTCGAGAGTGTTTTCTGGAACGACTTGTACGCTTCTCTCTTCTTCAAAGTATCTTCGTCGCCTGATCATCTGCTGAAAGGTACGGATATCAACTCACCGGTAAAGGTCGATGGAATAGCCTGGCTTTGAAGAAACCTAAAGCGAAAAGTGGCAAGAAGGGAAATAAGAAGAAGCAACAAGAGAAGGAGAAGTGGGAAAATGCTGATAGGAGTGACGACGACAACGATGGAAATGAGGATGGTGGCAAAGTATGCTTGCAAGTATGCGTTTCACGTATCATTTCGAGCTCACTACGTCTTTCTTCTAAAGGCAACTGTTGAGAAACATACGAGTCCTGTAACACCACAAACCAACAGCAATAACGTCGACACCGACGATGCTATCCTTACTACCCCACTGCCACGTTACAACGCCATGCTCGCCGTCCTGAGGAACACCTTGTACATGTGAGTTGACTTTCCGTGTTGTCCTTCTCTTTCTCTTGCCTGCGATCTGCTTCTCATCATTTGTTGCCAGCTACGGCGGTATCTATGAACGGGGCTCTCGCGAATACACCATGGACGACTTTTATTCCCTCCAACTCGACAAGCTGGATCGATATGTCTGTTTGAAGAAGAGCGAGGTCGTCATTCCGGAAGGAGAGATAGAAAGCAGCAGTGATGAGGAAGAGGACGATGATGATGACAGCGATGAAGACGAGGACGATACGGAGGATGGTGGGGATCAGGACGAAGATGGCGATGGAGTGACACTTGTCGATGTGGGTGAGGATGGAGAAGAAACTAGCAGTGTGAAAGAGGTCGAGACGAAGAAGAGAAAGGAGAAAGAGAAGATCGAGGAGGTCGCAGAGATCATAGAGGTCGATGAGGAAGATCCGGTCGAAGTTGGCGAGCCTGAGCAGGTATGCTCTGCCTCCTTTCTTATTTCGAGCATATTTGACTGTGTTTGCGTCATTTCTGTAGACCGCTCTTCGACAACAAGCAGCTACATTTATGGGTGTTGCGAAAGATACTACGCGTTCCGCTGAAGATGTGCAGAGTACACCACTACCAGGCGAGACCCTGGCCATGTTCTATGCCCGAACTCGTGAGTTATTACTTTTCATTTTTTTCCGCTCTTGCTCACATATTGCCTACTTCACAGGTGAGTATTGGACGCAGAAGGTACATGGCAGCAGCGAAAATAAGGGCAAAGAGCTTCGGAAGGATGGCTTTACCTCAGCGCAGACACGTTACGGTGCGTTTCATTCTTGCATGTGTGCAGAATCTTGCGTTGACTCTTCGGTCTCATAGAGGAATACAAACCCATTCTTGAAGAAGTGGAAAAAATATTGGCTGAAGCCGGTCTCGATGAGGAAGAGATGCGACGAGGGGCAGCAGGAGGTCCAGTTGCGGGCGGTGCTGGACTCAGCCGCAACCGCCGATAATCCTTGGGCTAAAGCATCATCTACACTCGAGATCGGAGGATCTATAGCGTGAGCGGAAAACAATACCAAAATTGATCAATTCCTTCTGTCGTACGTTTACATTTACATTCAATTGCATGCTCTTACACCAAAAAGCCATAGTAACAAGACGAGAGCATTGCATCATTCACCTATTCCATCTCACTCAGCTCAACAGGAATCTGCAACGGATAGTATATCCTGGCTGGGAATCTATCCAAGATCAAGATTGTTTTCAAATCCTCCAATTCTGACAAAGCTGAACATACCGTTTCTTCTCGTTGTCATTCTCCTATGGACATGCAAGTTAATTGGGAATACATTCTCGTGGAAGAGCAGTACTCACCTTATCTGTCCACTCTACCTCGGCCTTCAACTCCGTCAAGCCGAAGTACAAGACAAGAGTGAACCTCGCTGTGCAGTACTTGTTTCCAGACGGGTTCGTACCCACTTCCGGAGGGATGGGCGAGAGATCAGCGAGGATATCGCACAGTGGCGCGAAGTTGGCTGCAATTTGCCTTGATTATCAACAGCACCAGCGACTGGGCTCCGAATTTCTTACCTTCGTCCTTGCTTCTCCACTCCAGATTTTCCATCGTGCCTTTGTAGCACCAGAACGGGGTGTTGAGCTTGAACTCGGCGGTCTCACCCTCGGCTATTTCGAAACAACTCCAGTGCAGTTCTTGCGTCTCCTCGACGAGAACGTTCTATTGCAAGACATCAGTAAGGTCTTTAATCGATATCTAGCACTCACCCTTGCGAGCATACGCCCAAAGTTGTCGGGAAGCATCTGGTCTCCCGAAGGGCTGATGTACAAAACATCTTCGCCAACTTGTTTAATGTGCTTCCGGTGTTCCCGTTTGTTTTTCTCGTAGCGGACGCCACCAACGATGCCGAAATCGTATCTGGTCTTACGAGATCTGACGAAGTGGTCGAGGTAGAAGGAAATGGCACCATCTGCAACGGCCTTATTCCTGTTGATTATGATGCGGAGTACCTGTCAGTCTATGGAGAAAGTAGAGGTGGAAATTCATACGTAGAGGTTTGTGGTCGAGTAATGTTGAGCTTCAGATGGGCTAACGACTCTTTGACTTGCTCAAAAAGCCAATCGCTTGCTGCGAAGCCCCCAACGAGGACAACATGCTAGAAGGCAAGTACTTCAATTTTTTGGACCTGAAAGCCACGAACACAAATCCCACCGTTATAGGTTTCTGAGAAGACTTCTTCTGCTCGAGGATAGCATTGGTTATGCAATGGACGGAAGGCTTGAAAAACATCGCGACATCCGATCTGCCAGGAGTGAGCTAAGAAACAAATCGTACTGGCAAACTTTCACTCACCCACTCAACCTCAATTGACCAAACCAAATTCTGACTCCTGGCTCGTTGTCTTTCACCGTTCCAAATTTGAGATACTGAGTTTGGTTTGGGTTACGGAACATTGGCTTGGTCGTGGTGTCGAAAATCTGCATGATCTTATCCAGATCTTCAAAGTACCCCGAGTTCCTCAAGTACCCTAAAGAGCGAGCGCTGATGAGATTGCAATATAATTTTAAGATGTTTCTGACCTTCTAGGAAGATGCGGGCGTGAATGGTCACGAAGACCGAACCATGGAAATAACCTGATGATGCAGATGTCTTGATGATCGACGAAGCGAGTGCAATTAAAAGTGGTTTGGCACGTACATTGAGGAGGAGAATTCTCTTCGAAGGTTCCTTTATCCTTCTTGATCATCGTCGCTTTGGTGTACGAGCTGATATCAATGGTTCCGCCTCCAGCGTCCACAATGGCGACTCCATCCCCTTTCTACGAAAGAATTAAAGCTTGTTCAAGCGCAACAGAATTGAAGCATACCTTGAGAGCTTTTACATCGATCAAACCTTGTTGAACTGCATAGTGCAGACTCGCCTCCCCCTCGGTCACAAACGAAAGCCGCTCTTCCTTCTCATCGCGTATCAGGCCTGCCTTGACCGCTGCCTCGCGCATGGTTGCCTGCTGGGCGCCTTCCCAGCCATTGGGATGAGCGAGGATATAAATGATGGAATCAGCCTTCTTCTCATCTTCCTTGCCCGCGATAGACTCCCAGAGGTCGTTTCCATGGGCGCTCTGGATGAAAGCGGCGGCGCATGCCTTCAAATATCCAAGGAAGTCGGCCAAGACATCCACGACCTTCTTTCCACGAGGCAGCGGCGGCAAATTGGGAGTGACATCGGCGCCGGGTGCAGACTTGGGGCGGAGGTATAGTTTGAACCTGCGATCAGAGCATCAATGGCGCCGAAGGGCCGGCGCTTAAATGGAAAAGGAGGGCGCACCATTCGACCTTCGTCCACCGACCTTTCTTCGCCATCTTGGCGATGTCCTTGTGCTTTGTCTCTTCGCCAAATGCACATGGATCACCGAGTTTGTCGTAGTAAATGACGGTGGGGATCTTCGAGACCGATGCGGTGATGTTAGGATCCGACCAGTGCCCAGGGAACCTGTGAATGTTGCTCAACATATGGTAGATTGTATTCAACCAGGAAGCTCACCTCGTTACACCATGTATCGTAGGCGATTGACCAGGATCCAAGATGCTGATATATCTCATGTTATCTTCCCGACAGACGTCGAGCGGCGGTTAAGCGCCTACCTGTAGGAGATCCCACTGAACGTTGTGCCGACATCAAAAGCGAGCACTAATTGCCGCGTGGTACCTTCATACGGCGGGCGCGATGCTTGAGACATTTCATCAGTCAGAGAAAGAGGGAGAAGGGGCTGCGCAAGAGTACACCTAGTGTTTATGTAAAGGCAGATAAGAACGTGGGGATCACATTGATATGTGGCCGCAGAGGACTATTCAAAGATGAGACGTCTATTAGGGTCCTTGGAGCTCCGCGTGAACGCCGAGAAGAAGTCATATAAGGGTGCTGCCCTACAGTTTCTCATCATTGACAAGTCTCAGGGTCATCTGATTCCGGTGCAATTCCGAGTAGAGTCATTTATGATGATTGACGCTGGGAACCTTCGGGTGCGTGATAAAGCGCGCTTCTTTCCTTCCTCTTTCCTCTGCGCACTGACAAATTTTCGTAAATTTATAAGCGACAATGACGGCAGGTCTTCCGGACTTCCAGATATTTTTGTGAATGAATGCCGCCTTAGCAAGACCACAAGAGCAGGTTTGATGGCTAGACCTCCCCTATTTTTCTTTCTTTCCATTCAATACATGCTCTTCCTGGCGTGTCGAGACTCGGGGATTGTTCGGGGGTTATAATTAGAAGATGTTCGGACCACCGATCCGGTATCACGTGCTCAGCATCAGAAATTGAAAATTTAATATTAATAAGAATGAGCATAGCTTGTATTCCCTCTATTCCCGCCATGATCAGCGCCGTAGCTGCCAGGAAAGCTGCATTGGCAGCCAAAACTCAATCGGAACCGCAACTACCGATACCAGAGTCCATAACCCCTCCACCACCGCAACCACCACTTCCCAATGGATCGCAGAAACGGAAATCGACGGCTCAAAAACAAAAACCTCAGAAGAAAGCGCGAAAGCTGAAGCCCTTCGAGAAGTCGAACGGCCCTCGCCCGACGGAGCACGTTGTAGACGTGTTCAAGGACCAAACGGATGTGATTGTACTCCAATCGGACTCGGATGATGAGTCGGACGATGCGATGAGCGTGTTGGGGGAGTCTGACAAAGAACCCGTTGTGGCGGCAGAGAAGCGAACATGGTCTCCCAGTGCACCTATGGATGTCTCCTCTGACGAGGAATCGCTGGACGAGAACGTAACCGGCTTGGATACGTCCACTTTGTTCCCTCACCCCCGTCGCTCTCGTCAAACGGAGGAAATTGTGTCTGCGTCCACTTTTCGGCCTGCTTTGGACAGAAACATGTTCTATCTAACTGAACAAGAAGCACCTGATATGGGAATGGGCGAAAAGGGGACATTACTCTGTCTGAACGCGGAGGATTCACTCTGTCTTCTTGGTGCTTGCCATCTGACAGTTCTGCACGGTTCGATCCACCTATTCGGTGCCACTCTTCGTCCTTCGCCTCGCCAATATCCGATATATGCACCACGATCATCCCTTCTGCCTGTTTTGACGGCCAGCGGGGATTCTTCATCGGGTCTAAAAGTAGAAAAGCTACCACCCAGACTGCAAAGACTCGCCCAATTTCCAGCTGTTATTTTTCTGCAGGAACTCAATACGGGGGTAGAGGGCTTAGGCTTGATCTGCAGGACGTTCGAAGGCGTTTTTGAGCCGTCGAGATGGTATGACGGGAAGAAAAGTCAGTTCAACATCGCCGGTCTCCATATGGTACGTATTCTAGCCCATTGATCAAGTCCTCTAGCTCATTCTTCATAGGTTACCCAAATCACTAAGGATGTTTCCTCTTTTACGATTCCTGGCTCATGGTCCGCTGCGCTAGACGGCATCTCTACCCGAAATGGCATGTACATCGTCAAAGGACCCAAGAACAGCGGCAAGAGCACCTTTGCCCGTACTTTGACTAATCGACTATTACAGTCGTACGTATTGCCTGTTTCATTCGCTTTCTTAAGCTAACTTGCTTTTAGTTACTCCAGGGTTGCTTTCCTCGAATGCGATATTGGTCAATCCGAGTTCACGCCAGGAGGCTTAGTTTCCCTAAACATAATCTCAGAACCAATCCTCGGTATGGGCATACTTCCGTTATTTCTGAATTGGTCCCTAACCTTCAACTTAGGCCCTCCATTTACGCATCCGACTTTGCCGAATCATGCCCATTTTATTGGGTCTACGACCCCTCGATCAACACCATCCCACTACCTCAACGCTATCTCGGCATTGATCCAAACGTACCGTCTCGATATCCAGAACCCGGCGATCGACATCGATGCCGATGACGAGCGTATTTCCGACGCTATCCCTCTCGTCGTAAACACTATGGGTTGGTCGAAAGGCCTTGGTGCGGATCTTACCCAAAAAATAGAAAGCTTCCTGGAGCCAACGGACGTCTTCGACATTCGAATACCAGACTCCGAGCCGCTTGCTACAAACTCTTACGCCGCCTTCAATTCAAGCTCGATGACAGACGGCTCGAACGCACGAGTCCACGTCCTAGAGCCCACCACCACCCCACCTATCACCGCTTTCACGTCGGCGGACCAGCGTACGATGTCCACCTTGTCGTACTTCCACGCTCGTTTCCCTCTCGACGCTGTCCCGACCGAGTACGGCCAACTCACGGCAAGCTCGTGGGACACGAGCCGGCCACTCTGCGCCGTTCCACCGTACGAGATCGACTGCGGAGTCGCGTTTGACAAAGTCATCTTATCCGGCGCTGGGACCGAGGACGTAGTAGAAGAGGAGATCGGGCGCGTCCTGAACGGCGCGATCGTCGGTCTCGTCAAATGCGACCCCGGCACACTCGACGTTGAGCCCCCTGCGCCTAATCCAGTTGGTATCCCATACTCGCGGCAAACCGAACCCCCAGATCCGTCAACCTCCACGTGTGTCGGGCTCGCCCTCGTCCGCGGGATCTCCAGCCCGTCTGACGACGCTACTGACACCGGTAACACGAAGACATACCTCCAGCTGCTCACGCCCCTGCCGCATGCCCTGCTTGCAGGCTCGCGCGTGCTCGTCAAGGGCGAGATGGAGCTCCCGGTTTGGGGAATGCTCGACTTCCGAGAGGAGGAAGAGGGCGACGTCGCGGGTGTAGAGAAGGAGAATGTGCCGTATCTGCAGTGGGGGAAGGCGCCGGATGGGGCGATGGGTGCGGAGAGGAGGAAGGTGAGGAGGAACTTGATGAGGAGGGGACAGATGTGAGTTGTTAAGGTGAGACGTTATGCTACATTGAGGCTATACTTGGTTTACTGATACAATTGTTTACTTAATGGTGCTGTAGAGTATGGGCGAATGTCTGGGAGTATACTATCGACGTGCGGCTTTCCACTCCTGCCAAATTCTGTGGTATTTGGAGGATATCTTCGGTTCGGGATTTCCTGGATGCGCAAAAACAGCATCGTCTGGAAGCATCTGTGAGATTCTATGAATCTCTCGCAGCTCATCCGAGGTCTTTTCTGCTCTGTACTTCGATGCCTGCGAAATTGTGGGATGCTCCTGGAGTGCGATGAGCGCCCAGAGCGGACCGGAGACGCATTTCCTGCTCACCGAGTTGGGGAATACCATGCGATGCCACTTGCAATACGTCTTCGAAGAGATATAGTACCTTCTTTTTTCTTTCTTTTTCCGCCTCCTTTCCTCCTGCGACCTCGTATCCCGATACAGAGGTGGAAGTGCAGGGGTGTAGTATATCACCAGTGGCGGTAATTCAGGCAAGGGTTTCTGTACTCTGTCTGCACCAACGAACCGCGCATCAGAGCGTTCGAGGACCTTCCTTCCTCTCTCTGCTTGCTCCCAATACCTCGCTTCATCCTCCGGGGTCCGATATCGATCGTACCGTGACCGTTTCACGAGGCGTGCAACGCGCTCGAGGAGAGGCCGGATTCGACAATGAAACCACGAAGAGGACAACCAACTGGCCCAGCTAACGTTCTTCAACAGAAATGACGGCCAGCTTGGGAGGCGGCATTGGAGTTTCGGGTGCAGGGAGACGGAGATTGGTGTGGCGCTTGCCAGCAGCGCAACAGCTCCAAAGAGAAGGAGGCGACGTTTCTTTGTGAAAACTACGGAAATGTGCTAAAGGCAGGGTCAACAGAAGCTTGAACAGTCATTTAGAAGACTCACCTCGAAGATGGAGCCCATTCCTAAGTAGGGGAGGGTTTGTGATATGAGGGGCGGAAGGAAGATCATGACGTTGCGATGCAGCGCGACGAACTCGTGTCAATCACGATGGGCGCTTATATAAATAGAAAACCTCATTATTGTCTTGGTAGCGCCCGCGCCCACAATTGACCATCTCACAGCCCCCTATACTTTTGTTCTTGAGAAAAACAAATGTTTCCATGAGGACACCAGGATGAAGGTAATTGTTTATTGTCTTCCCAACGTACAGTCATTCCCCGGCCAGTGAGACACCCCCGGCCAGTGAGACAAACGTGATTTCTGGGAGAAGGCGGCGTCCCTTTGCCTCAATTTTTTTTGGAGAACCTTCTGATAACTCACTTCTAGCTGTTCCTAAAGTTTGGTGCTGGCCACATAGGTGGTTCCGTTGCGATTTGACCTGTGAGCGCAGAAATGTGGGACAAATGTGGTGTTCAGCAGAAAACCCTTCGAATCTTGTGGTTCTTTTTCGTTGAATGATAATTATGTCCTACATAAATAACTTTTGACTATAATTTCTGGTCCGGAGTTGCTTCTAAGTGTCGAAAGTGGTCAAGGTGGGTCGCAGAGGCGATGTGTGATGCGTTATGTCACAGATTTTGGCGATGATGGCCTGCCTGTTTTGGGAAAAGCGTGACTGTCTCACTGGCCGGGTTTTGTCCGATAAGGACCTTTTCGACTGATTGTACTATTTCTTTCTCATTTCCGCCCCGGTCCTCTTCAAAACTTGAATATGTATAGCCAAGATTGTACTAAAAAAGGCTGTTTTACTCGATTTTTCCAAAAGTTTCCACTAGGGCCGTGAACTGAGCCACAACATTTGGGCGTCTCACTGGCCGGGGAATGACTGTATGTTTGTGATAGGTCAGATGCTTCGGCGCCTCTGTATTCTCTGTAGTATCTTCACTCTTGCAAATAAATTTTACTCATGTATTTTCTCTGTACCTCGCATAACTCGTAAGTACAAATTGAGGCAGACAAATTGGGAAAGATAAGAAAAAATGTTTCCCACCCCAAAATCAGTTGCCTTTCACCATCATCCGATTCCCGAGCCATGCCCTCATTCACCTATAACGTCCATTTCTCTTCTATCATTGCGCGCAAACCTATCACTCAGATCATATCAACCCACGTTCCATCTCTCACTTCTCTGCCCACCCACGTAACTGGCAGTCACGATTACAAGAAATGACGAAAAAGGAAGATCGATCTGCCTCATGTTCTTCTCGTTGCACCGTGGCTTCTTGAGATTGGGAGTTCCCTCTCTTTTCCTGTTTCCTCTACCTCGATGTCTAGCTCTAGGAGCGGGCCCAGGGAGTCTTTCCAGCATCATGCTGGGCAGTATCGCAATATCAGTCTTGCCGATATCACCAAGCCCTGGGAATGGACGCCCGTTACGACCCACTCGCTCCCGATGTCCCCAATGAAGCCGGTGTTCGATATCCCAAAGGCGATACCCTCTGGACTGAGTACACCGTCGATGTCCTTGAGCTTTCCAATCGCGGAGGTAACGATCCCTACTCGAAAGTTGAGCCTATGGGCCCGTGTAATCCGGTTCTTCAAGTCCGGTGCGTAGACGCGTACTGTGGCGTTCTGTGTTGCTGATGACGGTCCGTGCAGGGTCTTTCGCGAAAATGGAGACTGTTAAAGTGGGCATTCCTATTTACAACCCCTCAGTTCATGACATCTTGCCCACCAAAGTCGAGCCGCACGAATGGAAACAATACGGCTACTGGGCGCGTCCTTGTATCAACGAAGTTCAATGCCGCAATTCACGTACGTTCGTATCATCTCAGTCAACTAGATACAAATCTAACTTAACCCCACAGCCGCTAGCGGCGAGAAACCGATTGGCACCGAAGCGCTAAAAGACCTGATGATGAGCCTACGAACTCCACCCCCGCCAAATCGCTTCATCCTTCCAGACAATACTTACCCAGGCAGATGGATCCCAGGACTTCAGCATCCGTCTTTGCCTCCGCGGCCCACTAGATGGCAACGACCAGTGCCAGGAGAACCCCTTCCATTTCCTTGGGAAGTCCAAATCAACCCGCTTCTCCAGCACCTGCTCTGGGGGCCTTCACCTCTTTCCTGGTGTCTCGCAAGTGATCCAGACCTCCCATCGCTATTCTACGGACGAGCGAATGCGCTCATTCCATGCTCCGAGGCCGACAAATCCCAGCCGGCCACTTACCCTTTCCTCACGCACATGCACTTCAATGCCGTCGCCGGTGACACCGCGCCAATTTTCCCCTGGCCTTTCACCGTGAAAAATGACAAGGGAATAACCGTACGAGACGTTCTCAAAGAGATGTACGCGCACTTCAAAGTACCTGTCAAGGAAGACGAAAAGGCGAGCTGGCCGCCCATACGACAGTCCGCGGCGATCAAGGCGCTTCGTGCGCGCTGTGAGCTGTTCTCGGACAGTACAGGATCTGATTTTCGAGACGTAATGCGCCGCTGCGACGCGCTGGGCGGTGTGGCGTGGTTTCGAGGAATTGAGCCGACCATCGACGGCGGAGGTTGGATGATAACTTTCGGAACCCATTAGCTCATTAGCATCAGCATTTCCTAGCATATTTCATCAGCATCTTTCCTGCATTCTTTCATCGGTTTCTCTCTTCACTTCTTTGCAGAGCGTTCAAACAGATGTACCAAGTATGAGTTGTATGGTCGACATTATTTCGTTTCTCTATCATACACCCAATTCCACCAGAGATAAGATAAGATGCATCCTTGACGCAAATTTTTGTCTTCACCCACGTCCACCATCATTGTTTCTCTCGACGCAGGTCCTAGAATCATTTGAAGGCCAGCTATCTAATTTCACGAGAACTTGGCCGACACGGTTATTACGTCTCACCCTTGTCAAGTTGTAACTGCTCTTTGGTTTGCCGTTTCATGAGGGATCTTGAAAGGTGAGGCAAGTCATCGATTTAGTGCTCCTATTCATTTATATTGATTTCCCCAAAGCTCGTCCATTCATTCAGCAGGAATATCGATATTTACCTCTCGTCTCGATGAGATCGTTCACTGATCGGCCCAGAACGAAATTTCTGTCATCCACTGGTAGCCACGCCGTTCGGCGTCGACGGTCGAGAGGTTCACGTCAGCCTCACCCTGGCGATATATAACCTCCTTCAGCGGGGGTCTCTCCCTATCGTTCACTGCCAACATCGCATCACTATCCACACCATCCTATCCACTACGCCCTCACTGTCTTTAACGGCCACATCATTCTACTATCCCACATCTTTATGCCCACTTTCGTGGACACTTTCTTCGTCTCTCTTGCCCGCCTAATCTTCTCGTCGTCGTCCTTCACTATCATGGCGAACAAGTCTGTCCTCGGGGCCATTCAATACGCCAAGGCGGAAGGAATGGACGTCGAACGCGACCGCGACAGCTCGTCTGGCGACAACTTTCAAGAAACGGCGTCGCTCCTGGAAAAGGTAAGTTTCTCTTCTCGTGCTTATTTTAACTGAACTAATTAGCACGTGTTCAGGGAGTCGATATCAGTAGCTCGTCGACCTTTCCCTCGTTCTCATCGTCGACTTCCGACCTCGCTTTTCAATCCCGGGTGCCCTTCAACACTCCCGTACCGACCCCGTTGCCGTCCTCTTCTCGTTTGTGCAACCAAGCTACAGTCGAGGTGGAATCTCCGGAGAACAAGGACGCCTTCTCCGCCTCCTTCTCGACCACCGCGAGCTCGTTCAACATCTCGCTCATCAGTGACATCTCCGAAGACGACGGAGGGCTTGTTGCATGCACCTCTTTGGATCATAACCTGTCATCAGCTCCAGTAACTCCTCAGGAAGCGACCTTCCCTTCTGGCGTAGGACTCGGCATCATGGGTCTCTCGAGGAAAGACGGGATCACTTCGTTCGACGGCCTTGGGCGTCTCTACTTGCCACGTCAATGGAAGAGGCCCACGACAGAAGACCTGCACCCCCTTTCTTGCGCCTTCTCCCCCTGCGACCGCCACGGCGATTTATCGCTCCATTCCCATGGTTCCACCGAGCTGTCTGATATCATGCTGCAGGAGACCCTCCTCACGTTTACCGACGACCCGTTCCACGAGCACACACTAAGCTCCATCCCCGAGTGCAGGTCGTGGTACGAGCTTGATCAAAACGGAGCGACAGAGGAGGAGACGGCGCCGATGTCGGCTGACAAGGTTGTACTGCCGCCGCCTGTCTCTCTTCAGCGTCGGCACAGCGACAAGCCACGTCGGATTACTCCGCATTTCTCTTCGTCGACCATCTCAAGCGAACTCAAACGTTCAACCAGTTCCCTGCGCAAGTCGACTGCTTTGTCAAGGAAGCGGTCGGCGACCTGGCCGACAGCATCATCACGGTCGATTGGAGGTGCGGCGGGTGCAGGCTCTCCTTCGGCTGCTTTCAGTTCAAATTCGGCTCCGGGCTGGCGTCTTTGAGTTGGACGCATTCCGTCGCAAGGACTTGCAGAAATTAGTTCTTCTGCTACCTACTGCCTACTGCCCACTACACTACTATTGTATCCTCGTTTAATCGAGGACTAGAATAGTGTTTACACCCCTACTGTGGCTTGGACATTCACCGGTGGGTCTTCAGCGGCCTTGATTCCAAAACCATTATCCTCTATAGCCTTGCCCAGTCGCTGCTCCACACTATCCCCGACCTCACCGACTGCAATCTATCCATGACCTCCGCGAATCTACTAGCACCACCAACAAAATCCGTCGTGTCAAATACGCCTGACCACGGATTCACCACGGAGGCTATGTTCTGATGATCCTCAACATAACCATCTGCAGACCGATTTGAATCCTTTGACGGCGTCACTGGAGTTTTCTTGAACGCGGCCCAACACCAGTGGTGCCCAATAGTTGCCAATGCAATGACTTCTACAGGAACCTTTTTGGGGAAACGTGAAAGATAATATCTGACTTGCTCTAATGCTTGGTTTTGAGGATCCAGCATCTTGAACCCTATAAGTTTGACCATTTCCACTTCGAGGATAGTGTTTGGTTTTTGCGAGATCTTCTGAAGGACTGCCTGTGGAATTATAAAGTGGGGCTTGACTTCTATCACCATGATAACTCGGGTTTCACTGGACGCCACCACTGTATCTGCGCCTTTACTAAACGTTGTCTTGCTGTCGGCAAGCGCTACATCTGTGTATCTTGTGCTGTCCGAGATTGAACTAGTGGAATTGGAGGTTTGGACCCGGAAGTCGAGTTGGGGAAAGACCAGCAAACTCGGGTCATCGTGGGCGAGATCATTTGCAAACAGATTCCAGAGCCCATACCAGATGTGCTCGGGTGGCCCAATGGTATGGTTCTCGGCCGCATAACGATATGCAGCGAGCTTTTGCTTGTAGTGCGGAAGGGTGGGATGATTATCCTCGTCCATGGCTTCTTCGTAATCTTCTTGGTACGTGAGTGAGATGGATGGGCCAGAGATGCACGAGAAAACCCACCAAAATGTTGCGAACGATGTGCCGTTGGATTGATACAACACTGGGCTACTACAGCCTTTAATACCTTGCAGGGGGTCTCCTTTCGTTCGGTCAGGTTCGGTCTTGTTGCCTCTCTCCAGGCTGCAGAAACAATAAGAGACAATAAAGCAACATGTACCCACTGAAAACAATTTTTCCTTGACACATTCTACAGAGGCAATCAGAATTCTAACCTTCATGGGACATATTGGAATGATAGAAGCCGCAACGGAATGGACGACCACTTCAATGAGCTGCCTTCATGCCTACAAAAATAATGCAAAGGACCCACTGATCTAGAAATTGTCACAGGTTGGCCAACCCGCGCGGGTTGAGTCCGCAGGTTTGTAAATTTCGTACCCTGATAGAACCCGTACCCTTAGAGCGGGTCGGCTGTCAACTTAAGCTGTGGGCAGACTGGTTACTCAGAGCGGGTTCGCGGGTCGAGCGGCCCGTCTCGGAGCTTGCCGACACTGCCACAATTGCGACGCTGACCTCCGCCTTGATCCCTCCCTTCATCGTCTCCGTGTCCCTCGTCACCCTTTCGGGGTGAAGAAAAGTAAGTACGTTCATTTGATTCCGCACTCACCGCTATGTGTGGCTGCATATTCACCCTAGAACTGCACGATATGTGCCATGTCATCGCTGTTTTCCCCTCTCTGCCAGCAGGATGTGGGCTGGCTTCTCTGCCAACACCGTGCAGTTCCGCCTACTCGAGTCTCACCAATCCCATGTCTATCCTTGTTACTTCCAATGGCCGGTTTCTCTTCAATGGTGTCTGCAATGGGATTATCACATTATTTTTCCAAGATTATCTCAACGGGACAACAGGCCACATTTGGCCGCCATTGCATGATCCAAGGACCCCTTGTGCTACGACAAGAATTGACACGGCGAGTGCGAGGAGGTGTTTAAGAAGCACGTCGCATCGCAGGAGGCGGCTACCGTGAGTTCCGATCTTTTCTTGTCATTTCCTGCGTTGTCTCGCACCGCCCCTCTTCTCCGCACTCGTACTGCCCACAGGCTCTACCATCGCAGACTGCGACACCACGTCATTTGACGGTGCCTGTCACTTCTGCGATGCCACAGCCTCCGCCGACGGCTTACCCGTGGACCCTCGTGAAACCCTTACGCTGACCTGCGGAAACCCTTACCCGTCGAGGCGGGTGTGGATTTGCTGGGGTACAGGTAGCCCTGGATTACCCCAGGGTTGCCCGTGACGATCCCTATTGACAGGGCCACATCTCCGTTTTTCTGGGACATGTTGGGTCATGATCATGCTCTCCGACCAATTGATGCCCGCTCGGATATGTGATAAAAAATGATTCTGCCGTGTCCATTCCTCTTGTCAGAAATGTCTGCGGCTATTAGCGTCAGTCAATAGAAATGTTCCGACTGGGTGTCATCTGCGCGGGTGCCTAATAGCTTCTGATGGCTCTAGGGGTCCACCTATTGTTCTTAGTGATCCAATGCAGGCATATGCATATCTATGGGTCGTGGGTCCACAACGTCCACAGCCCACAATCCACTACGGCTAGCTTACTGACTTCAACAATAACATGAATAAGCGGACAAGTCACAAGTCATCTCACTGACACCAAGTCATGTGCTATTGTGTCCCTTGACTTAAAAGTTAGAAGGGGAAGGCCTTGATGGATCCCAACTTCAACACCATCTGCCAACACTGAAGCATTTGAATTGACCATTAGAACGGTTGACGACAGCAACGCATAATTTTCAACCTGCAGAAATCAATGGATCCTTTCCCCTACTTGGAAGTACCATTCGAAATTCAGTTGGAATGGCTTAAGGTCCGTGGGCACATATGCCCACAGGAAGGTTAGTCCATGAGCGCTGCAGCCTCAAACTATAATTGACTCACTCACACTCCCGACAGTATTGAAAGTACCTCAAAAGTGGCCAGATGAACTATATGAGGCGGTTCCCTCAGGCTTATGCCACGAGAATTTGTTCAAAATCCTTCCCGACCCTGTTAAAGATGACCATGGATGCGACAACTGGATGGCGACCTTGCGCAAGATTTTTCAAGTCGTATTCAAAGAGACGAAGGGTTTAATCATCCATTGTAGCACAGTAAGTCATACTACAAAATAGAGTCATGAGTCGCGCTGATGGTTTTGTTTGCAAGGGCGTTCAAGAGGGGTCTACGCCGATATTTGTGGTCCTATTGGGAGCCCCGGGACAGAAAGCAACGGAAGAACAGAAACTGAAATTGCTAGAATTGATGGAACTTCCTGCTACATTGGATCAGATCATTAAAGTCAGGATCTCCCCTGACCCAAATGAATAAGAGACGGCTTACAGCGCTAGCATGTCTCGTGGTATCAGCACTTGCAACCCCCTTTTATTTCATATTTTCGATCCCCATGTATGGTATTAATATACGCAATTCGAAAGTATGTCCCGATTGTTCGGCATTACATAGGTTTCATGTGCTGCCGAATGCGCATGGATAAGCTTCTTATTTCGAGTGACGCCTTGAACCTTCCAGCGCCCTCACTAGATGCACCATACCGCGAGCTGGATCTCCTGTACCAAATGATGTTTTCTTCTGCAGAAGAGTCTGGGACGGACATTGACAAGGCTCTCCAAGTCTTGGGTATCTTGATCATCGAGCGTCCTCTGACTATTTTTACACGACATACGCTGGCATTGCCTCGGTCTTGGACACCCCAGGCGAGGTTCTTCTGCTTCTCGACGAATTTGTATATCTGATAGCCCTTCCACCCCTTTATTATCAGCACCCAATCCATATCCTACACGCTTCCGTAGTGGTCTTTCTGCTCGATTATTTACCGTCAGGCCGGTTTCACATCAACCCATGGCATATCCACGGAATTAGCCACTTACATACTATCCCCATCGCTCTGCCGATGAGAATCGCCTTCAGTTGCACATCGTTGTTGGCGATGGACATGGCTGTTCTTCACGTAGAGCAGTGGGTGATGACTCTCGAAGGCTGCGCATTTATAGCAGCTGGCCGCGAGGTTGATTAAAAGGAAAAGGGGGGCCACCTCGCTAGTGGCTTGCGACGCTCAGGGGCCTGGAAGCCGCCTGATCGTTGCACTTACGTCGACTGGAAGGCCTTAGCCTGTCTGGACGCAGGACGATGAGAGCATTCAACCTCCTCAGTCGACTGATGTCGATGAACACTCACGTGCTTATCGAATTAAGCGCCCTCCGGCAGCAATCAATCGGCATGGTCCGATCAACAGTTTTGCACGACGTTCTCCGTGTTTTTCAGCGTATCAGGAGCATCCTGTGTGAGACAGGAAGCATCTCGAAAGAGAAAAATACCTGTACAGAAAAGAGTTGATCCGTGAAGAAATCCGAAGGCAGGGACGGACCCCACCCCTCATGTAGCACGGAGACAATCTTGAAAACCCAGGTAATGCATATAGCGATATCTCTACCTGGCATGAATACACTCAGCTCAAATCCAAAACAATAGCAAAATTAAATAAAGAATACAGTGCTGGATTTGGTCCATCCTTCTTTGTTTCCGCTTGTGTATGGACGCTTAAGAATACTCGAACGAGGAAGAACGACATTAGAAGACTGCATTGCGCGATGCGCTGAAGGAGTTACTGTACCTGTACCACCTCGGGAGGAGACGACCACCTATGGTGACGATGGGCAGTCGACGAAAGACAACAGTCGCAAGTTCCAAGGACTCTCGTGTGAGGTCGACATATCAACCGAAAAAGCGAAGTAGGTCCCTCCAATTTCCCTAAGGCCCAATAAACATTGATGCTGGGATCTCTGAAACCAAAGAATAGCTAGCTACGTCAACAACCTTCATCCCCAGGAATACGAGACGCTCTACGGCCTTATCGGGCAAGTCATCGACGCTGCGATTCCCCTGTGGAATACAAGTCTCGCCCCAGCTCTAAGGGAAATGGCCTACTCGAATAACATACACTTGGAGTCGAAAGATATTACGGCCAGAGCCAGGAAAGTTTATGCTGCCAAATGATCCGCCAAGTTTCGACCCTCTGAGAAATTCAAGGAGAACGGACTGCACGTAATTGTCAACTTGGCGAATACTGAGCTTACCCCGAAAAAGAAGAAATATGCGGGCAGCCGGTACGCACCATTTCCTTCCTACGTGGCAAGTCGCTGAAGGGCTCGAATAAATGTAGACACGGCGGAGGTCGGCTATCGCCAAGATTCGCATAGGTGGCTGGCAGTTGTACATGAATGCGAGAACGAAGAGCCCAGCGTGCAGGTTGTGAGTAGCGTACAGACGCGCGAAGGGCGTCTGATCACGTTCCCTGACGTATTACAGCACAAGGTGCGATCATTTCGCCTCAAGGATTCATCGAAACCTGTTTATCGCAAGATCTTCGCCCCCTTTCTTGTCGATCCGCATATTCGGGTTATCGGCACGGCTCATGTCCCCCCCACAGCGCAAGGATTGGTGGATTGAGGGAATCGAAAAGGTTGGGTCAATGCTCGATAAGCTCCCGCAAGAGCAGGGGTCGCAAAAGTCGTCTGTTGAACGGAAATGCCAGCGCCTCAGGAAGGATATAGTCGTCTGTATCCAGGTTAGGATTCAATGGAGTCTACCAAACGGCAGATGAAAAACATGGTAAGTATTCGTTTGCATAAAACGTGCGTATGCATGCACTTACTTTGTGGAGACCTCGGGGGCTCCTGATAGGCGTATCGAGAGGGGCGCTGTTGTCGCGCGAGGATAGCAAGCATCTTGTCATTGTCTCCAACACAAGTTACGAAAGTAGGCAACTGATCCTCACAAGTCCCAGGATGCCTTCTTTGAGAACCCGGAATCTTAAGAACAAGAGGCTATATATGCCATCTAGGAAAGACGCTAAGATTTGTAATTCTTCATGAAAGCGATCGTGACCCTCCTGAGCGGGAGGAGAGGAGAAAAAAGCGACACTTGGGGGGCCTGATCGTATCGGGAACAACCATCACCGAATGAGTGAATCGTCAAAATAAATGCGGTTCTATTGCATATGATCTTCATCTAGAAGCCAAGCTAAGTCAGCATATGCAAAGTGAGATAAAATGAGACATACCTTCATCTTTGACCTTTGCCTTTAACCATTGTGAATCCATCTTCGTCAACTTCTGGTTCTCGAGGTGGGGGTCTGGGTGGGGGATGCTCAAGCAGCCGCGGTGCCTCGTCCTCGTCTTCATCGTCTTCACCGTCATCATCCTCCCAATCGCCCTCGTCATCGCTGACCACCTTCTCCTGTGCATTCGGTCGCTTCCCTTTGACCTTTTCCGCAAGCTCTTCGAATTGTAGGACCAAAGCTTGCTTCCCGATCCGGGTCTCGTCCCAAATCTTCACGATATCCTGGGCCACAGTCTCCGCGCTGCCGTCTTCTATCACCGTCTCAAATTCATCGGCCATGATCTGAAGTAGCTGTTCTTCAACATATTGGTCGTCCGGAGCTGGTATTTGCTCCTCGAATGAATCGACGATTACTGAGGCGAGCCATGTCCGTTTCGCAGCTGAATCAGGGCCACCCCAGCCTTCTTGGACCGCGAGCCGTAGAGTCGCCCATACTGCCAGTCTTGCTATCACCCCACGCGCAAAGATAACAGAAGATGGAGGCGGAATTGTGCTTTCAGAGCTCATTGTTAAAGTGGTAACAATATCAAGTAAGATTTTTATAATTCCTTGATGAGGTAGGTTTGTTTGGTTCAGAAGACCGATTGGTAGTACAAACAAAGTATCAGTAAGCCTTGTGCGCCACACAGTTTAGCCCAAGTTTCACCGGCATTTCATAAAATTGCACATCTGTATTCATATTTTAATAATAATTGCGCTTCGTAACAAGAATTTTACAACGCCGTCAGTTAGACCCGCGCGGCTATTTACTGAGCGTTAGTGTTCATGTTCAGTGCTCGCAGAGCGAGAACTCCGTCGTAAAATTAAAAGCATCATTGTGTCTGACTTGGAACGCCTTCCTTTCTTCCATCAACTTCTCTCGGAACTCCTTTGCCTCTTTCAAATCAATAGGGAAGCTATCCTTGACCTCGCCGAACACCGCGTCCTTTAACTCCCTTGGAAGGGTATCTAGCAGTGTATGTTCCTTCTCCAGACGTTCTACCCACCAATCCTTCTGCTGAGGAGGAACCTTCGCCGTGCTGATGACGCGGAAATGGGGGTCAATAAGGAAGAGAGCGAGAATCTTGCGATGACCCGGCTTGGTTGGGTCCTGGAGCTCGAAAGGCTGGACCCGATGCTGAAGAATGTTCGGGAAGGTAAGCAGCCGACCCTCATTCGTCTTTACAGTGCCAACAAGCTGGGTGCCCGGCCCATCGCTTTTACAACCGTAGATCACCTTCAGCAGCCTGTCGTCATCACGAGTGTAAATACTGTGGGCATCCGTCGTGTCCGATTGTTGTCTGAAGGCGAGCTCGCTTTCGGTGATATTCTCGCTTGAGTAGTAGTAAAGCGCTGTGGCACAGATGTGCTCATTCTATAAGACCAATCTTTAGTTTCTCTTATAGGACAAAGCAGGATCGTGATTACCAGTTGTCCTTCGACGTGCCAGCTCCCTCCGTCGTATCTTGGGTTCTCAGGCGTAAGGTGGATATTGGCCAATTTGACGATAACCTGCAAGCCCTTTGTCTTGAATTTTCTACGCAGGTCCAAGCGCGGTGGGTCGACAGGAGGCCAAAACTGCCCTGGCTCTGGTCTCACAATTCTGTTACTCTGTCGATAATTGATACGAGTTCTCCACTCTGCGAGAGTTGGCGCGAGAGTCGCATTCCAGAGGGGGATAGCCGCGTCGATGGCCTGTTCGATCAATCTGTAGAGCGCCTTATATTTCGCAGGATGGAGGTTGTTGATATAGCTCGTAATCCTATCGGGAAGTGCAATGAGCTTGGGCTCGTGGTATGACAAGAACACCCAAACCTGGCTTTGTTCGTTGAGATATCGACCTCGCACGGCAGCCATTGGAAGTTGCGACTATAGGCGTGTTTCTCTGTATAAAGGTACATTGTCTTCTCTTCCTCAGGTGGGAGGGGAATAACAACGCCTTGACCGCACATTTCGGCGCAGTCTTCCAGTATAGTTCGTCCACTCTCAAGGATCTTCGAGCGACCGTACACAAGCGGGAAGAGAGACGGGTGAACGAGGTCAAGCACCTTGTCATCCGACCCCGGATGCCAGTCTTGTTCCCGCTCAGGGACGTCTTCAAGAGGCTTCACTGCGGCCTGAAGTTCGTGCTTAAACGACTCGTTCAAGGCGGTGTCACACTTTATGACATCGCCAGTATAGACAGAGACGACTCCGGTTTCATGAAAGACTCGAGCCTTGTAACGCAATTCAGCAAAGACCCAGTCCATCATCTTCTGTTCGACATCTGCATCCTCAGTCGCTAGGACCTCTTGGGTCCATCTGTGGACGACAAAGGGACGCGTCACCTTAAGATAGCATAAGTACACCGAGAAGAATAATAGGTTATATTCCTGACCTTTTCATCCCATTCTGGCTTATCGGTGATTTGGTTCATGATTCGGAGCATCTTGAACTCGCGGATAGTCGTGAGAAGGAGCCTTTGAAGAAAAGAAACCGTTCATCCCCAGTTCTTTGTCGTCGCAACAGCTTTCGAAAGCAACTTACGCTGAATGACGCTGGTTCATGTCCGCCGGATGCAGCGCGTTCGGAAAAGGTCGGTCCTCAGGCCCCGCACGGGGAGAAGTTGCGAGATAGAAATTGAGCGGTAAGTCGAATCCGGGGAGGGCGGTCTTCCCATCGACTGATGCCCACTCGTGGGATACTATTGCGTCTTCATGTTGTGCGTCGTCTGCGTGCCCGTAGCCAGAGTCTTCGCTAAAAAGCCTTGGGTCGATGGACGGCGTGGCTTGGGACGACGACGCCAGCGCTGGTGTCATCGTGTCAGAGAACGTAAATTGATCGTAGCACCGCGTGTAATCCATGAAGAGAAATCGTATGTCGCTGACTGATTTTCAGGAGGTCTTTTAACCAGTCGAGCCTCCGTCTTGCCCGAAGGCGCGGAGGCGAAGGTCGAGTCTGACATGTCTGGAAATTTCCAAATATAGCAAAAGGTCGGGATGCCAAGCTAGTCGGGAGTCATTTCGCGCCTTCGCGGTGACAATGATTAGACGAAACAATAAGAGAAGAAACGTATGATATCTTGGCGTATGAAGACACGAATATCCGTGTTCCTCGTATCTTCAGTTTCGTGAAAGGTGTCACGCCATTCCGAAAAGGTCGTATTTGGTTATGGGGTTTGATCCAAGGAGTCATTTGAATGGGAACTGAGGAAAGACGGCGAGAAAAAGTCAGCAGTACGTGAGGGATAAAAGTTCAGGCTTCCAGGAAAGGGCATACTGTCAGAAAGGTGATAGAAAAGACGGTAGTCATCATGCAACTTGAAGGGAACATGAGGGAATATGTCAACATCCTGTGCTCTCAGGTTTACGTTCGGTTGCTGAGCTAGATCGAACTCCAAAGTGACTTGAATACCCGGGAGTGAACCCGCTGTAACCAATGGGTGATTAAAGCAGGATGTGAAGGTTGACTCGAGGCTGAAACTGAGATCCCAAGAGGAGTTCAGTGCAGGGAATGAAATTCAGACGTTGATTGAGCTCCCCGGTTCTTCAACGGGATTTTTTTTGTTTGAACCGGGCATCTTCGGAATCCCCGTCTTCGTATTATGTACGGACTTTCCAGAGCCAGAACTTTCGAGAGTTGACGGAAGCACCGAAACATCGTTGCGTTACGCATACCGGGATAGACCATCCAATGAAAGCAACCTAAGGCGAAAATAAAGGACGCTTTTCTGAAAGCAGAGATAAATCAAATCCATGTGAACCGAGTAACGAGAGGACTTTACCTTTCTGTGGAGTATGTGGAGTAAATCGGACTTCCTCCGCTTCTCGTTTCCTCGAAGGCGGCCTAGATGCTTGACTAGATCCGGTGGGGCTTCAGGCTTGAGCAGAGTACCAGCTAGCAGTCAGCGCCCTAGTTGCCGGTGGAGACCTCAAAGACGTCAAATAATGCAGAAAACAAGACCACGATGTCCATGAGGTTGTCACAGTTAGAGATTTGGTCGACAGTAGCAGCTCAGACGAGAAAGGACGCCAAATTCGCAAGAACTTGAGAATAAAGAAAACCCAAAGTAGGACAGAGTGGCGCAATGATTTGCCATCTTAATTAATTGCCTTACGACATTGTGGGGTATCTGCTGGCGAAGTGGGTGTGGGTGTCTCGGATTGTGTAGCCCCACCTCACGGCCAACAACAGGGTTTCCGCTGAGTCAACGGCGATAGAACATGAGCTTCCGATGGAATGATGAATAAATCGTTGCTCGGGGTAGACCGACCGACACCTTTGAAAACATTCCTCGTTGGAGAACGGCTCCCGGACAACGCGTGGTGGTGGGCGTGGCGACCGCAGTTCGTCCAGGAAACCTGGGAAATTTCTGAGAGCCTGTGTAAAGAGTTCGTCCTCCGCGTATTCGACGACGCTGAGCAGAGGGATAAAAGAAACGCGTACTAAATATTGTGGAGGCTGCGGAAGAGGACAAAAGGGGAGAAAAGGAGTATTGCCGTGTCGGGGAATTGAAAGCGCGACGCCACTGCAGGCAAACAAGAGCAAGCGGATGGCATGGCAACCGGCCAAGGACCTGGAACGCCCATGATCAAGAGCCCGTTTTCCACCCTTCTTTGTCAATCTTTCATTGCTTGGTTACTGTCTTCAAAGTCCTATCACATACCCTTTGGCGGTTCTTCGTCTTTCTTTCGTCTTTCATCGAAGTCTGGATCCCGAGAACCTATAAATTGCCACCTTTCGGGCTCTGAACAAGAGACATTTATCGCATCAACCACAGCGCTATTTTTCGACCCGACGAACGGCCATCTTCGCGAGCAGTGACTATATAGCGTCCAGAAGACAGAGTTATGGCATCTGCTGTCTATTCGGAACCCCCAGGTAAGTAATTGCATTGCGATTCTCAGCCGATATATGGCAAAGGCAGGGTTTCTGGTGGTGGCATCGAGGCTAGAGGGTTCTTGAAAGCCCGTTTTCCTCCCTCGCAAGACGATCTATCAGCCGCATGTTTGACTTTTTACGGGAACACGTTCTTATGGTGCCGGTGTCAATCAACGAAGAACCTGGCAGGCTGCGACACAGGCAGGCTTGGGACATTTACTCCCAGATGCCGTAGACGGTGCGCAGCTTGGCTAATCCCCGTCGAGATACAGATGCCATGGCGTTGGGGCTTTGACAGTCGTGTCTTTGACCATCTTGAACGCGACTACGTTCATCGGACGCTGGCATTCATGTTCGTGGAGGGTTCTAGCCGTTCATGCTCTTCCTATCTCTGCTTTTCAATTGCTTGTCATCGAGCTAATCCGGTCTTGTTTCTTTAGCTTCTCGCCTTTCTTTATCCCTTGAAGGGACAGCAGCTGTATCCCCTTTCCCGTCACCCTCGTCTTCATTCCTGCCTCCACCAACGCCCGGGGCGCACGAATTTGCAGTGAAGCCGCCTCAGTCCGCTCGCAACGGAAGGAAGGCCAGCAGCGCCCATATCTTCAATTCTCAGCGAGAGGAAGAAGCCGGCGATCCGAAACCGCAACGGTCATCCATGAATTCCCTCTCCAACACCAATCTATCGTCGGAAGGATCTGTGCCACCTTCACCCTTCTTCATGTCACCCACGACTCCTACGCCTGGTAGCCTCCAGAGACCACCTTCCACGCCGCCGACAACAGCAACGCTGGAACCACCGCGATCTCCGATGCCCTACCAATCGACCTCTTCCACCGCGACTCCCACCAGAGCCACCACTGCCTTACCTGATCAAAATGACCCCCAACCTCCCGAATTGTCCAAAATCACTATCCCAGACACCTTGCAGGGCTCAGCAAGCGACGTACCTCCGAGTCCTGCCTTCAGCAGCACGAGCAGCCGTCGAGTCTCGAGCTCGATCAGCCCGGATCTCATGTCGAACCGGCCCGCACCTCCTTCGCCTGCAATGTCGCGTCGCGTGTCTGGCGCACCGTCAACGGCGTCTACACGATCGCGCACGTCAAGGCCCCCGTCAGCGGCTGTGTCACGCGCTAACTCGTTGCGCAAGTCGACCGCCTCGATGTCCGCGCGTGGCTCGCCGGTGATCAACCCACATAGAGTGTCGATAGGGAGCCAGCTCAGCCAGAGTTTCGCACCCTTGCCATCGCCGCAGAATCTCACCTTTTCCTTGACTGGACCCCAGCCTTCGACATCCTCGTCAGTATCGGCGTCATCACCCTCGTCATCAACTGCGCCGAGCAATATGGGACTGGCAGCTTCTTCCGCTGGATCTGGAGCTGCGACAAGCACACCTGCCACACCTGCCACAGCAGTTGCGATAGCACAGAAACATGCTTCGGCAGTGGTCCTCGTCAAAATCAGGGACTTTGGTTTTCCGGCAACCGACGAACGACATACTGGGCTTGGACCAGACGTGCCTAAGCCTAATCGGGTTGGGCGGATGAACAGGCGGTTAGGAGGGCGAACGTTGAGCACGAGCAGCATAGAGAGCAGCGATGGCGATGGAGATGGGGAGGAAGAAGAGGACGATGGATGGGACAGCCTCGGTGGTGGAAGCGGTTGGGACGGCTTCCGGATGGGGTTGGGAAGGCTCAGCTGGAACAGCGGTGCTGGTGGAAGCGGTATGGACGCTGCTGCTGCCCTCGATGCTGCCTCAGGTGAGGGGGCGTTCCCAAGCAGGATGGACCTCGATCGGAATTTCCTCGACGGCGAGGGGGAAGAGGAAGAAGAGGGCGAGGAATACTACGACGCAGGCGAGGAAGAAGAAACGCTCTACCCAGGGCTCTATCGCGCGGTGTATGCTTTCGAGCCAGAGGGTACCGCCGAGATGCGGTTGGTCGAAGACCAGATTGTCAGAGTCGTTGGACGCGGCGGTGGTGTGGGCTGGGCTGTCGTCGTCGACGAACGAGAGACCGAGGAAGCAGCGAATGCCAACGGGTTCTCTGCGCCAAAGCACGCCCTCGTCCCTGAGAGCTACCTCGAGCCGTACAAGCTGGACTGGGAGCTGGAGGAACAGTCTACTGCCGACGATGCTCGGAGTTCAGGTGCCTAACTGTGTGTCAGCCATGTGCTCGGTGTTCATTTCCGAGGAACATGGACTTTGTTCTGAGATACTATTTTGTTTCATTGGCTTTTCTTCGTTTGTTATTTTTCACCGGGCTTTTCTTCCTTTCGTATGCGGTGCTGCTTACATTCATCGTACACGCATCTCCATGTTGTACATTGTACCACGTACTTACCCTTTTTTTTTCTTCGCATAGCACATTCAATATTTACTTTACGATGTTTCGTCCCCTGCACTTCGCTCTCATCCAACAAAAGCATGGTGTATGTAGTACTTGTCTATATCTATACAGTTTCGCCTCGTCCAACTCATCTGTAGTTATATAATGATAAATCATCCCTCTATGCAGAGCCCGCATGGTGCCCCTCCTCGCCGGTGAAGTACTCCGGGAGGATGAACGCGAGCTTTTGGCGATCCTCTGCCTTTTGCTTCACTGATCGGGGCATGATGCTGAACTTCATGCCGCCAACCTCCTCGAGAAAGATACTGGCCTCATCGTTGGTCAGAGCAGCTTGGAGATCGTCGAGGACGGTCGCGGCTACAAGGCGAGAGGTGTCTGCGTTGGCTTTCAATGTCTTGAACACCTCGGCAGCGGTGACAGCATCGGATTGTGGGCGCCAGGAGTCGTAGTCGGTCGCAGTGGCGATCAGAGCATAACTGCCAGAATTGAGCATAATCCAACGTTGGAAAACCAAGGGGCTCACCTAAGTTCAGCCTCTCTCGCCAACTTGGCCTCAGGAAGGACGCTCATGTTGATGAGATCGCCGCCCCATTGGCGATACATGATGCTCTCCGCACGAGTCGAGAACTGCGGCCCCTCCATGCACACGATCGTCTTGTCCGTGAACAGCTTAACGCCACGGCCCTCCGCATCCAGTGCCTTCTGTACGCGGCCCTCCAGCCACTTGACGAGCTTGTTGCTGAACGGATCGCCGAACATGGCGTGGGCGACGATGCTCGTGCCCTCGAAGAAAGATGCAGGGCGGATACCCTTGGTGCGGTCGATGATCTGAGTCGGGATCACGAACGAGCCAGGGGAGATCTCCTCACGCAGGGAGCCAACGGCGGAGAAGGCGATAATGGCGCGTACACCGAGCGACTTGAGGGCTGCCAGGTTCGCCCGTGAAGGCACAGACGAGGGGTTTATGGAGTGTCCTACCCCATGGCGTGTGAGGAAGGCAATTTGCGTGCCCGATGGTAGGGCTGCGATGGTGATTGGAGAACTGGGATGACCCCATGGCTAGGTTATGCAGTTAGCGCATCTGCAGGCAAGTTGTCGGCGTTGGCCTTACAGTTTCTGGGTTCACAGACTTGCTACGTATAAATTTCCTCAGCAACGTTTGAATTCTTCTCCAGCAGAACGCACGTACACAAACGTTAGGTTGTCGACGTGGTAGAGACCACTTCCCCCAATGATTCCAATCAGGACTGGGGAATCTAGGTGAAAAAAAATATATGTTTTCGAAAGTGATCGCACCTTTCTCGTCTGCCATTTTGGACCGAATCGATGCTCCAGATGAAAGACCACGAAACGAAGGGGCTCTACCGCAGGCTGAACAGCTCAACTACCAGCTAATCGATGGTGGTGGGCAAGAGATAAATATTTAAATCTTTGCTTCATCGCAATCACGATCTCGTCATGCCGTGTATCTGTTCCGCAATCGGCCAAGCTTAGGTCAAGGACACCAGAGGGTTGATGGAGAAAAGAAAAAATTGAAGTCAACATGTAACAAGCTTTTCTAAGTCTCTCTGAGACGTAACATTAAATAAAGCAGGCTTCGGTATTACGGACATGATAATTTATACACGGATGTGCAATCTAAATGAATGCTATGATGTGAGGCCGTAGAGGAAATGTGGGTTAATGTGGGAGGGCAGGAGACAGACAGCGAGAGAGCAAAAAATAGTCTTAGGCGGCCTATGTAATCAAAGCGAAAGAACAGCAGGAAAACATACCGATGTAAGGACTCAGAGGACTCAGCGAACAAAAGGGAACCAATTGAATGGAGAAGATCGTGGGTCCCTTCGTGCCTCGTCGAAGATAAGGAACTTGTGCAGTATAGGTCATATCTGAGAGTATTCGAGATCAAGGAAATGGAGTGCATCAAAGATAGGGCCCAAGGTTCAACCAGAAGGCCGAAGCGAAGGAGAAGAGGATGACAATCTAGCAGCAAAGTGGAAAGAGTCGACAAGCGCTGAGCTATGGTAATTAGTGTTCATCAAGTGTGGAAAGGCTGTTGACAGAAGTATAGAGATGGTCCCAGTAGGTCACACCTTCCGTTTCCGGTTTGGTTTGCCCAATGCATACTTCCTTCCTTCCACTGATCAATGACCTCTAACGAAGTTCGTACGAAACGGTGACTGCGATCCGTTCGTTCCCTGATTGGACTATAGGGAGACGTTCCTTCAAATGAGCTTCTCGACAAGGTTCGCGGAGACCTTGCTGGCTCCGTGATTCGGAAGACGAAACGAGAGGTCGATCTGCCCGAGAACTCAGACATTCGTTTTGTGGCCACTTCATTCGCACCCAGTATGTGTCCATCTTCTCACTTCCAGAGCTCCGTCATTGAATCTTACAACCAGCGCCGGGCACTTTGAATGGTTCTACCCTCACTGTCGGCGAAGTCTGCAGCAGCGGGGAGCTATTGATTTTGGCAACACCTATCGAAGGTTCTGAACAACTGATGACCAAACGTATGCGCAAAGGTGCCGAGGGTTAGTCTATCCTTCAACCTCGCCTCTCCATGTTCTCATCATTCCGCACTGGCAGATGTGATACGTCTGACCGAAGCCGTCTAGGAGTTGCAAACGCAAGTTGTTGTCGACAAGGAAGAGAAATCCCAGCTTTACGATGATTTAAAACAGTTTCGTGGTGCCCTTGACGAGATCCGTCTATCCAACGCAAAGCAGGCCCAAATCATCGACAGAATCGAGGCCAGGACCAAGCAGCTGGAGGACTCTGAGAAGAAGCGAGTGGAGTGGCGGCAGAAGCAGGAGATCTTGGTCAACGATATGAAGAAGGGATAACCGGCTTGCAGGACAAAGTCTCATCCCTTCAAGCTGACTTGACCACAGTGCGGCAGAGCTATGAACAAGAACTTTCCATAGCTGCACGAGAGGTACGTTGAATCATCTTGCAACCGGTGGGATCAGCGGCTTAATTGATTGATCACTCACAGATGGCAATTCAGCTCAATGCCCTTCGCCTGCGGGTGTTGCTTGACCAGGCAAGGCAAAGGATTTTGGACCCTATTGATCGCCCATTGGCGACGTGGGCTGAAATTCGACAGCCTCATCCAAACAGAGACTCTCTCCTTGACTATATTCGCTCACAGCTTCCGGAGGACCAGTTTTTGTCCACACCATCCGGATTGTTGATGCTCTCTTTTCTGGACACCGACAACTCCATCCGTCGAGTTGGGAACTCAGCGACCCATACAGCATCTGCGGAGGAAATTCGGGTCGCCATTGACGCTCAGCCACTCGGGTCGACAGAGAGGGGCAATCTCAATGTGGTATTCGACTTTGTATTCTCATAATTGCTTCACCCAGTAACACCTAGATCATGTATCAATCTTGTTCGTCATTTATTTTAGGGCAGCAACATCAATATACCCCTTTTCAAGTTGAACTCGTCATAGCTCTCGTCAACTGGACAGTAAAGAGGAGAGCGCGGAATGTACAAGGCGTTCAGTGACATGTTGAGAGTGGTCGATGATGACTGACTGCACGACGAACATGGCGAGACAGGAAGGAAAGCAGACGAAAAATATCTTGACGTCGAGTAAGGGTCAACAAGTGAGATCATTGAGTCGAAGAAGGGGTAGGCTGTGAAGAGAGAGATCGGCTTTGACGTTGGTAGCGGAAAGGATGAAAATGTGGAAGAAGATTAATTAGGAATATGAACAAGGAATCAAGGATTGTGGATTGGGAAGAGCAGTCAACAGCTGGAGGCATCGGTAGTCTTCTTTGGGTCCGGAAAATACAGATAAGTATTGAGGTATATAATACCACCACAACACGAAAAGAGTCACGTATGTCGTCCTCTGTATCCACCACCGCTACCCGCGTCAGTAGGGGGTGCGGAGCTCGTACTCGGCAAACTTCTGGTGCCATGATTCCACATCGGTATAGGGGACGAGAAAGGCGCATACATCCCACTCGGTGACGAGTTGGACTGCACAGGCAACTCACAAGACGGGAAATAGCCGCCGAACGGCGAGCAGACTCCAGGAACTGGAATGTATGGATAAGGACCGGAATACGGCAGATGCCATCCAGGAGAAGGAGGGTAGGAGGCAGCTGACGTAGATGGAGTGAAGACACCATTGACACTACTTGAGAATTCCGGGCAGCTTGTAATACCCTTAAGGATGCTGTAGGATGGCCCAGCCTTGCCGCGTTTCGTCCTCGCTTTGTCGGGACCTCGAGACGTTGCTGTGTACTTGGAATCTACCTCGTTGACGTCTGTAGTCGCCTCTTGTGCAGACAAGGCAACGTCGTCTTCTTCGTCGTATAGTACACCGGAGGATTTCCTTCGATCCTTCAACTGAGCGATGGCCTTCGCTTGTTTATCCAATGGCCTCGACGAAATTTCTTGAAGATTCAAATGACACAACGCAATCTTCATACATACGTGCGTCAGAGCGGAAAGGATGGTCTTGAGAGAAAACGTACCTCGGCCAACGTGGACAGCAGCTCTCGACGACGGTCTTCCATCACGAGCCGGCGAGCATTCCCAAGGGGTAGTGAAGATAGCAAGCCGCTCTCCGCCTGATGTCGCATATGCCCAAGAATGCGGTGAAGGATCCTAGAGAAAGCAAAGAGCAGAAATGAGGGAACGGAAACGAAGAAAGGTGCAGATAGCTTACACAGCAACTTGCTCGACAAATTCAGATGTCACCTCTTCCCAGATACCAGGATCGGGCGCGTTCTGGTAGGAAGTCCACACAATAACGATACTCTGAACGGCCAGAGTGGCCACATTGCTGACGACTCCCGTTGACCATTGAGACAGAAGGAAGCGCGGAACAGAGTGAGAGGTGAGGAGATCCAGAATCTTGAGGGCCGCATCTGCAGCAATCTGCAAAAATGGCGGTCGAGCGAATTCTGCTGCATTATGCAACGATACTAAGTCTTCTCTCAAAAGTCCATCGGGGGTGGCGTGCAGACCATCGACGCTTGTCTCTCCTGTCGAGTTGGGCCGGGGCGTTGCACCAGATATCCGTTGACCTATATTAACAGGGAGAGGTCGACCTTCGTCGCGTATAATTGTATCGTCATTCAGTCCAGTACCGAAGATATCAGAGCGAGCATTAAGGGACGTCGCCTATTTCTGATCAGTTGGAGAAGACACATAGGAAACACAAACGACGAACCTGAACCCCTTCCAGATTGCTTTCCGTCATGTTTTAGAGCTCTGGGAAGGCTCGACAGCGACCAGGTGCACGGATGTGACGGCGCCGTGGCGGTGCATGTTATGCGTATATTCGATGAATATTTGGGAGTTGTATTATTACTGGAGCGTCCGAAGGGGGGTTCGAAGGTGACATGATGTCGGGCGGACAAGCCGAGGAGAGCCTTCTTCATGGCCGGGTGGCAGTGTGGTTGAGCATGTTGGGCCTCTCGGGACGAGCAGGGGGCCTTCGCGGGGCGAAGAGAGCCCACTGGAAGTATGTCGACCACCTGCGATGTGGTGCGACAACTCGCCCGAACAATGTCGACGGCGGTCGCCATGCTGGTCTAGTGCACCCACGACCCGCAGAGCTGCTGCCGAATGGGATATCGCTGCTCGTTGCGCCTCCTCAACTTCATCGCACATGTGGGGTCACGGATTGTAAGCAATAGACGAAAGGCGAGGGGACTGAGCAAAGTAAGGCCATGGAGGTGAGCGAACAATTTGCCTGAAGCTGGATCGACGGGATTGAAATCGTGGGCGGAGGCAAGATGCTCCAAGTCAGATGCTCGTGTCACAGGAACAGCAAACAGCAAGTCACCGCGAACGTTCAAGGGACCCCGGCTACCTTGTGAAACCGTTTCTCGGAAGACAAGGCAGACAACCCTCTGGCAACAAACCTCGCAATCTGTCGGGCGTATCGCTGTGGATCAGGCCTCCAAGTACGTCGACACATTGCTAGCCACAAGGTTACTCCTCCTGGACCTCGTCCAGTGCGTCCGCGCTCAGTAGGCCAGAAATCAGAAGCGGCTCATGACCACTGATTATAATATATATAGACGATATCGAGATTTCAGATCCAAAGCCAATGCACCTGCTAGGAACAAGGATACTTAATTGCCCCCACGTCGTCGTCTCTGAGCGTGTGCAAGGCGGAGGACCTTTCACGATCTTCATGTTCATGTAGGTTCATGTTCCCAAGCCACCTTTTGCCAATCGGGATCACGGTCGGAGTAATCTCTCTTTCTCTTGCGATGATTTTCGCGCAGAGCTGGATACCTGATGTGCACTGGGAAATTTGTTGAAAGCGTATAGGATATGTCGGGCACCACTTTACTGTCGAACAGCAGCCATAGAGCGCGATTAAAATGTACTAACAGAATCCAACGTCCAGCCAATCAGAGCGTCCATTCCAGCTCGGCCGGCACGATCAGTTGCTTATTTTAGACAACATCCCTACATAAATATGTAGAGATACAGACTCCTAACCAGCCGTCGTTGGGAGTTCTACCCTTCAGAAGAAGCAAAAGAAAAAAATTCAGCGTCAAAGCTCAGAATATGTTCTACGAAGGAGACTGGGAGTGATGGGAAGGGCGTGGCGATGTATTAGATGTCGCCCCGATCCTCCAGGCATTTGGCGTCTTGCCGACCGTCAACGTAAAGCGGATCAAATAACTTGTGATGCTCATTGCCGACACCGCAGAGACACTGGTAGCGAGTCTAGAATAGCCCTTACAGTGGATGACTTCCCGTAAGGATCTGAAGCAGTTTTGATCTCTAGAATTGCTTCAGATTGCCATCAGCCGAGATGCCGGCCATGTTCCGCGTGGTCCATCAGTGCGACTTGTTGCTTCAGACCTGAGAATCTGAAAAGGGGTCGGGACCCCTTGCCAGATGCTTTCCAACGTCTTGACTCTTCAGACCTTAGCCGAGCCTCCCATCATGATGGGACACATCTTCCGGGGTAAACTCCCTCCAGATAAGGCATTCGCGACGTCATAAGAAGCCTCAGACGTTCGCATCTGAATTCCTCGACAACAGAACTGCACTGGGCTTACGGTTTAGTTGAGTCGTCTCCAGAGCGGAGCTTGGAAACACTCGGCTAATCTAGAGACTCTAGAATTGCTTCAGATTCTTACGGGAAGTCACCCAGTAGTCATTGCGTACAGGTCAGACAGACTGTATATAATTTCGTGTGGGGGAGAAAGTAATTTGATGGCACACGAATAAGGAAGTTCAGGATCCGGAAACCTGGCCTGCCTCCATCAATCCCGCACACTTACAGACACTTACACATTCCTTATTCAATATTTGGGGAATCGGGCAATACGGATCTTTGAGCAAGCGCCCGTACATACTGGAATGGAATACTTGTAGAACATACCAGATGCATAGTACGTACAGTAAGGCGCTCTATAGGAGTCCTAATTATCAATCTTCCACCCAACAGTTATCCTTTATTCAGAGGCTCAGAAATGGTGCATAGGACGCGATAGTATCCAAATAACTGCAAACTGGGGCTCAATCTGAGATCATGCTGTGAACACCTGGGATCTTGATGGTTTCAAGTTTCGCAAGGGCTTTGGGCGTTTTAGGCAATTTCTGATGCGCCATCCTGTGAGCGCATCTTAAGTAAATCTATGTATGCCCGTGGCTGCTGAAATGGTGGTGAAATAATGCTCTACGTTGACTATCAGTCACATATGCTGTCAGCAAAACCCCAGTGTATAATAAATGTTATAATCAATCAATGCTGGGAAAAAGCCAGAGCTTCAAAAGGTAGTTTAGAAAGAAGCCTGGAGCCAGGAGAATTGGGAGTGCCACCGATCAGGAAAGGCCACGTCTTCTAGAGTACATTTGCACGGGTCGGCCATTCCTCTGAATTGGGACTTCGCCTCAGAAACGCACCACGGGTATTAATATTGAGTATTGAATATTGAATATCGAGCGCTGAGCACTTGAGCGCCCGGTGGTTCGCTACTGCTTGGGAGAGGAGATGATTTGCCTTAGTTTTTTAATGTCGGGGCTGGGTCTGTGTCCTGGTAGCCGGGGTCCTCCAATGTTTGTTTGCGTCGTACGAACTTGGGGTTGTGTTTCCTGTTTGGACCGGCTATGATGTACCTTCTCCCCACTCCGTCGATCCCTCCAGGACTTTCCTCTCACCTCTGTGGCCGTTTTCTATATCTCAATCTCCCTAATCATTCGACCACCGGTGACAATACTAGGACAGGGTGACTCTACGCTTTGCCGATGTTGGGGGAACGGAAAGGAGTCGCGATATTCCTACCCGACAGGCGTTCCAGCTAGTCGTATGGCGAGGTCCGTCGACGTCCTTCCGACGAGTTCTCGCATCGCGTCCATGGCTGCTCGAGGTTCTTCGAGGGAGCTCTCTCTCGCGACGCTCGGAAGCCCTTCTCTGTTGCACCCTGCGGAGTGACTAGGGCTTCAACGTACTCAGCCACACCGCCCCCCCGGCTTGTCCGCCCGACATCACAATCCTGCCGTAACCTTCGACCCCCCTCCGGTTGTGCAATACGACTTCCAGATGCCTATTGAATATAATCGGACATGCACTGCAATAGCACCGTCACGTTCATGCGCCCTGGGTCACAGTCAAGTCCCTCTCAGAGCTCTAAATCATGAAGGAAAGTAACCTCGAACAAGCGAAGATGGCCACTTTCGAGTGCATCGAGGTGTCCAACCCGACCTTGCTTGCTCTGGTGAAACAGGCAGCTGAGTCGACTCACACGCCCACACCACCCTTGGTACAACTCGCGCGCAAGACGCTCAGCATCCTCGAAGACACCCATGCCCAGGTATGTCAGTCCTCTCGACGTGTTTCTGCCTTTCCTCAACTCCTGCAGCATCCCGACCTCCAGGATCTTGCCCACCATGCTGTCAAAATCGTCGGTCTATTGTGCCGGGTTGGTTCAGAGAAGGAAGAGGGAGCCTATTTCCGTCGGCTAGTCGAGGATCTCACCCCGTTCGTCATCTGTTTCGTTCCTTGCTTCCCCTTCCCTCATCGTCCTTCAGGCTTCTCCTCAACATCGCCAATCATATTAACACCACTGAATTTGCGGATGAAACTGTGACCAGAGCATCCTGCGAGCAATTACAATGTTTGTTCATGGAGGTAGGTCTTGATACCGCGCTACGTGGTAAACCTTAGTCAATGTTCTATCACGCAGGTTCTTTTCCACATCGTCCGTCAAGATAGCCACAAAGAGATGCTGGTCGAATCAGGCCAGGAAGACGTAAATTCGCATCTTTCCTATGCACACTCAAACCCGTTACAAGAAGCCGCACGAGATCAGCCAACACCCGTTAATAATTCCTCAACACCAGGTACCCATGCATACCCCAATACAATTACGGTTCCTCCTACCTCTGTTCATCATCTCGGAAATTTCCCTATCAGCGGGTACCCCCCACCTTATCACATCGACCCTTTAACCCCGTTCGCTCCGGGATTCCCGGTATATTATCCACCCTCGTATCTAATCCCAGCATATCCCTGCCCCTTCCTTCCTCCACCAGGAATCTCGAACACCAACAACAGTGGCAATGTACAGAACATCGTCATCGCAAACAATCACCACTACTTCACACCACGTGCGTATATCCCTCCCATCACGTTTCCTCGCGTTCTTAGCATCGCTTTTATAGCCCGAAGGACCTCCCATCTCCAAAGGCGTAGACCCCGCGAGACATCGATACTTGACCAACTTCGGCTCGCTCAAGACGTGACGCAGGCCATCTCGCCCCCGTTTTGGTACAGTCCTCCGCATCCTGCAGCCACAGCCTTCGCCGGCCGATCCACTGACGGCGCTGGTCTACGTTTCTCTGCACCGCCGCCGACACCTTACTCGGCGTTTATTCCTACTGCGTCTTCCCCGACTCCTTACCTCCCACCCTCGCCTTCGAGTTTGGGCTCTGGGAATGTACAGAACGTCGGTACAGGCAGCTCCGCGTCGAAAGCTCGTCGTTGTGAGTAGTTTTCTGCAGCTAGATTTCTTTCGGCGATGTCGCGTATTTCTGACGGCATATATTATGCTCTAGATACCTGTACGAGATGATCGATACTTGATCTACTCGGTGTTGGTTTGGCGAAACAGTGGATCTTTTTCGCTTGTCACCGGTGGATCGTTGGATATTCAAGCTTGACCCACACCCAACACATTTATTTATTTTTCTGGCAGCTTCGCATATTATTACTCGCATATTTAGATACGATTAATGCTATTCAAAATAACGAAGCATGGAAGGCACAGCGACGAAAATATGGGAGAAGATCGATCAGAAATATAAATCAAGGCTCTTGGATTTGGAAGAGAGGTCAATAGCTGGAGGCACCGGTAGCTGTCTTTGAGGCTGGAAGATATAAGTTTTGGGGTAAGCGCAACGTGAACAACATGCCGCATACCTCGTTTTCTGTGTCAGCGACTTCCGGCATCGACAGGGGAGGCAGATAAGAGCCGGAGTATGGATGGACGTTTTCCAGGAGGAGGCTAGGAAGCAGGTATACGGGAACGGCGCTGTACGATAGCATTCCCTTTGTTACTCGGCGAGCTTTATGATCGAGAAAGTCGAGAATAATCGTCGAATCGGACAACTTCGAGTAGACGTTTTGTTTGAATAGATACAACTGAGATCGAGGAGGTAGACCGCGACATAATGGTGTAGAGTGCAAGCAAGTCGTAAGAATAATGTAACATCAAAGCTATAGTACAGCAACCAAAAGCACTTCCTTCTTGTTTTCACTCCATTGCGTTTCTAACTATTCGGCGAGTCTCCAGCATGCCTCGACTTGCTTCCAAACTTGCTGCTCTTCTTGGATCCTGCATATGTTAACTACCGAGTACCCGCAAGAGGTTGAACACTGTGATAGAGCCACTCACGTTTTCTAGCAGATCGCACGTTACCCCTGTCATCTACACTCCCGTAGCTCGTAGTCGCGATCGGACCACCTCCACTGCTCTGATCCACTGAAATCGGCACCGCGGCGGGATACATCCCGCCAGCCACCATCAGTGGCGAAAGCTGCATCGGTGGTGCGGTGAAAAACGAAGGCACAGAGACAGACGCAGATGCGGGTAAGGCAATGATAGACGTCGTCTGTAGATACCCGACGGGATAGATAAGGTGGACGACCGAGGAGGCAGGAGAAGGAGGAGGGAAATATGCACCGCCTGCAGGGCTCATGCCTGCTCTCCAGAGCTCTCTGTCTTCTGCATACTCAGGAGGGCCTTGTGAGCGACCAGCTCCGTGCGGTATCACATTCAGAGACCCGTCCGGACTGCCTTCGGATTCGCCCTTTGACCCGTCGTTCTCGTACCCTGATTGCCGCTCAAGAAGCTTGGGCTTGGGCTTGGGCTCTTCATTGTTGAGCACCTCTATGCGGGGCTGTCGTTGTTTGGTGAATGCTGTACGACTCGACGTCGGAATCGCCTTCACTTGGTCTTCTATACCTTCTCGCAGCCTTGAAGGTCCGGCGTATTGCCTCTCCGTTTCCTCTTCGTACGACTCGACTAGATTTGGCCCGATTTTGTCCTTTCTGAGCCGCCTCTCCTCCCTCAACCATAATGCCTCCTTCCGCCGCTTGATCCCGACCTCCTCGACCTCTTTTTCCGTCCATCGCTCCAGCTGTTCCGCCACTCTAGCTTGGGCACTGTCATCGGCGGATGGTGGGCGCATCTTGAACACCTGTCTGAATGTGTGCCCCGTTTTCACCTTAACCTTCTTCCTCACCACTGGAGCGGACATCGGAGAAGGCGCCGGCGAGGTAAAACAGCCTAGGACGTCCTGAATGGCCGGATGGGAGGCTACCTGGCCACACGTCGACATCAGTTCGGTGCACATTGTACTGAAGTTTAAGAAGTTAAAGACTCACCTTGAGCATACAAGATTGCAAACGATTGCGATATCGCTTTATCTGAGATGCGCTCTTGTGATTTTTGAAGATAGAAAAAATGATGTTCCCTTTCTTTGTTTCCTCAACGAGCTCCAGAATCCCACAAAGCGACCTGCGTTGTGAGCGGATAAGAAAGTCGCCCCGAGGTCAAGAGAACAATAAATAAACTCACGTTACAAGCTCCTGGATAAGCTGATGCGTCTGCTGGTGCCAGATATCTGAGCTTTCCGCAATCCGTGAGGACCGCCACAACAGAGCGACGATCGCGATGGCAGATTGTGCAAGAACACGCAGATTAGCTACGTTGTTTTTGGCATTCTGGGCATGACCGTCAGCAGCTACATACAAGGCAGGCAAGGCAAGCTGCGTACCTGTCCCTCGTTGACAATCTTGAGAGTCGTAGAGGCGGCAAGTGTTAAATAATTCGGTAGCGAGGAGAATTCCGCGGCCTCCTCGACAATATCAAGGAGGAAATATGTAGGAGAGTCCAGCCAACCGATCCGATTGTGCATCGAGTCCTTCAAACTATACAAGGATACTGGTGCCAGTTCTTCGTGCACGCCGGCAGCTGATGTGGCTATGACCTTCATCGAACGGTCGCTTCCCCACGGTGCTCATGCCATACACGGTATCCCTGAGGAAACCCACTGTTGATGGGGCTGAAGACGACGACATGGAATGAGCAAGCCTGGAGGACAAGGGTAAGTCGTCCTCATCATTGTCAGACAGCCAATGACGCAACTCACCCGTTTCGACCTTTCAGTGAATGAAGGCATGGGCTTCATGGTGTAATAGAGAGGGTCCGTTGACCCCGCAGCGGTCTTCCTTTACATCCTTAAGATCTCCCATCGGCGGGGCTCCAAGTCCAAGTTCTCGGGGTTACTGAAGAGACGAATCACACTTTGATGAACGACATCGTCCGATATACAGCCCACTAGGTTCACTGACGAAGAGCATGCCAGTGGTCATGTGCTGAGGCAGAGGGAGGATAACGAGTGACATCGTTCGGTTGGCCAGCTGGGTCGGTCAACCTGTGTTGAAGAAGTCGTGCGTGTCCAGCACTTCTTGGTTATTCCTCGCTCAGCCCCGGAATATCATCTCCTATCAACAGTGCCGGGGATGCAAAGACCTCTCGAGGCAGGCCGAACGTGATACAATTCGAGGAGGGCCTAACAATCCTATGAAATTTGCATCTTGTGAGTCTCTCAAGAGTGACGGCTACGCACATTCTAACCAACGATTTTGCTCTACGCAGGCTATATTAGACGGGCGATGCGTCTGGAATCTCCTCCACGGCTGCCTCCTTCGACTTCTCCCTCAATTCTCTGGGCTTGACGGACGGAGAGATCCATCTCGAAATTGAAGCGAGACCAGGCTAAGAAGTCGTGAAGACAATCTGGTGGTCCGCTTATAGGAGTGAAGCTGGAGGGCCAATAGGAATTGCGAATGCAGAGATTGCTTGACAGTGGGATTAGGTTGGTGCGCTTGGGCTACCTGGTGGTCGAAGGCAAGTATAAGCCCCACGCGCCTTCGGAGTGTGAGCATGGTCGTTTGAGACTCCGAAACTTTATTCTATTAGCAGGGGACGGCCTAAAATAGTAAGCCGACGTTTTTATCGCAGCCAAAAATCGGGCAGCTCGCTAGAGGTGGTGCTACGGGAAATTTGGGCTTGTAATATATCCAACATAGGCACAATTTGGTCTGTATTGGTCTTCCATATCTGTGCCTAATTTCTTTTCACTGACACCTTGGTAATCCGAATGGGAGGAATTCCGAATGGCGGGACAACAAGTATTTATAAAGTTATATAAACAAAGGCGCCTTGGACAAATTTGGGCATCCGCTATGATAAGGTTATTACGCGAGGAAATAAGGTTCAGAAACAGAGTCGCTGGCCCAGAACATACAAATGCTGGTTGCGTCGTAGTTTTGGACCCATGGCTAGGTGTTAAATACTCTGAACATGTATGAGGGGTTCTTGATATTTCAGAGGGATGACGCGCGGTCCGCGAACAGTGGAGGCGATATGCCAGTGAACGAAAATAAACCGACACTTGAGATGTTCGACTCGTATTGTAGAGTGCCAGTGAGGTTGTCCGAACTTTCATTACAGAACATTTCTAGCGTCTCTAACGTCTCTGAGCTCCTTTGACCCGCAGGTCATAAGGAATTCATTGTAAGTAGCTTGCGTCGTTCTTGCTGTCCTGATACCGTCACCCACTCCCATACTAGTAGTTCAATAGCCGAAGCAGCAGGTTTCGGAAGTAGGTGCCGAGGTCTTGTAAGCATTCTGATGGACCTGGGCGGAATAGTTGCAATAAATCGCCTGGAGGAAAAAGCATATTGAGGTGAACATAGACTCGGCCCGCGCCTAAACGCTGATGAAGAAAGATATATACTTAGGTATAAGTATAGTGTCGGCGTTTCTGCATCAAATATTGATATAGCAGCTAGCTTTCTTGTGTACATTTGATACAGGTACTTCGTAACACGCGTGTCATTGATCAGCCTGAGCCTTGAAAGTCGAGTGTAAGTAGTGATCTGAATTTAAGCGCCCGCTGAAATGGCGCTGGAATCTTCCCAAAGAGAAAAAAGAGCTTATATCGTACATTTATAGATAAACTATCAGGCGGAGGGGCCACGGCAGAAGCACACTTCGTCAGAGTTCTCTCCTCCTCATCCTCCGACTCCCTCAAGTCGCTGGTGAGCCTACAAGTGTGTCTCGACCAGTCCACTACATGGAGCACAATTAAATTGTTTCTTCGAGGCATTTTACCATAACTTTGGATGAACGTAAGTAGAGTGTTCTTATCTCCTCAGCCCACTACCATATCGCTCGCTCGGACACTGGGGCCTTGTAGATCACTACCTCGACGTGTATGTTCGTCTCCCTCCTCGATGTTTTCGGAAGCAGTCGCGGCATGCGTTCCTCCGCAATACGCTTAGCCTTAACAACCTGTCTTGGCGATCTACTATTGCTCCACATTCCACCGATCTCCCATCCGAATCGTCAGTTCTACAGTATTCAGTGTGGGATGGACGTCAGAATTGGCTAGCGCGTTGTCCAGCTCGGTCCAATAGAGCCACTCAGGGCTGAATCGCCCCCGCTCCATCCCTGTCATGCCATCCACCCAGTCGATCGTCATCTGCACCTGTTCGATGGTGGAAGGAAATGTAGGAGAACTCAGGAGTTGAGAAAATACGCTGGGGAAATTCGTGATGATGCCAGACGCCATCCTACATCCCAAGCGTGTAGTGCGCAAGGCGAGTAGACGTTCCAAGGTCGATTGGTCCGTGTAGCAGGGATGCGAGACCTGTTCCGATTGAGAGTCAGCATTGTTCATGACCAGATGGCCATATGTCGCCCACTGATTCTCGAGGGGGCCAAGGAAGGTAATTCGAGTGTTTTCAACGCCCTCAAGGCGGAGAGCATGATCGCCCACTCCGCGGCGATCTCTCTTTGGTCCCTGACAGTCATGCGGTGAGAGAACGAAGCCCCGAGGATACGTGAGGGCATGTCTCGAGGATTGTTTCGGTGAATGTTGAGGCCGTCTTAATGGAGAGGTGTTCGAGACTCACGCAAGCTTTGAGGTCGCGGTCGATATGAGAAGATGGTGCGACGTCAGGGATGAATTTGAGTTCCAAGGATTTTAGATGGTGAAACTTAATTGCGAAGGAGACTGGCAAAGTTCGAACTCCGTTGTGGGCTACTTCCTCCAGGGAATCCATGTTGTCGAGAGGATCCACTGACGGCGCCATTGAGTTCCAAGACAGAACCACACCTTCTGCTACCAGAGCAAACCGGCGTAGAGAAGGCAAATTGAGGATCACAGGGAGGCACAGGACGCCGAGTCGCTGCAATAGTCGATTTCAGCCTGGAACTTCCTCCATTTCAGAGTGAAAGTTCGAACTCGTGGTGCAAACGAGCTCCAGTGTTCCAAACATTCTAAAGGTGTTCGTATGTCCTGCTTGGGCTCGGGTGGCTGGCCAGCTGTCCCTTTGGTTATGCGAGCCGTGATTTCGGAAAATAGATGGACGTGCGCCCGCGCACAAAAAAGAATGGCAGGCATAGCAGCAGATTGCGAGGGTTGACCAGCTGGGGGGGATTTTGGTGAGACGTAGGGTGTGTTCTAGGATTTCTAATGACAATCTAGGAGATTTGACTGCCGTGGTTCATTGTCGATGGTGTTGTCGATCAGCGTTAGACCAAACTTTCCGAATGGACCTGAGGCCGGAATACCAAAATCTTGAGACTTTGACTATTAATCGATGAATTCAGAAGGTACAGGTTGAGCTGAGATCTGATCATGGTTCATATCGTGGGAATGGGGGCTATGTGTAACCCCGTTTCGTTCGGGATGTCATCTTAAACCCATACTACGACCACAACTTGAACGTTTGAACTTTCATCGACAGGCCAGTAAGTCCTCCTTTATCTGCTATTCGACTTGTACTGAAGATATTAAGGACAACTTATCATAACTCAGCACGAGTTGTTTATCGCACCTTGATCGCATCCTAACTCTATGGATTTGACGCTGTCTCAAGCGCTTAACTCACTAGATCCGGTAGCTCCCCAGGTTCCAGAGGGCGACCTTCCCACTCGCCTACATACAGTTTCTACTACGCAAGAACCGCTGGATATAGATGCTCTCGCGCGCACTCTCTGCGGTGTACTTCGTTCAGGTGACATGGAGCACTCCATGACGGAGGTAGGACAGAGAGATTCATATCGTCGAGGGAAACGACTGACCGTTGTCTTTGACCTCTTAGCTCGACCAACTGGATAGCCAGCTAATTGTCGCACTTGCAGATATAAGGTCGAAGAGGAACAAATTCGTCCCCGCCAATCTCTTACCACCTGAAGCTCTTTCGCGGGTCTTTGAATGCCTCCAAACGCCTATCCTCGACTCCCCGTACTCTTTACCCTGTTCAATTCACCAATGGATGGCCGTTGCGCGCGTCTGTCGATATTGGAGAAACACTGCTCTCTCTTATCCCCACTTGTGGAGCCACATCTACATTCGCCATCCCTTCGACGACATCGCACGCATGCACATCAAATATTCGGCACAAGCTCCTATCAAGGTATACCTCCCTTCAGCAAGTGCTTACTGTAGAAGCATAAATAGCGACTATGACGAAGAACCAGATGAATATCCAGTCGAAACCGACCTCATTTCCGCCATTGCCCTACATCCGGAGCGCGTACGCGAGCTCCACGTCGACTACCGATTCCTTGCTCAAGAATTCCCCTCCCCTTTGTTCCTTCTGCCTTTCCCCAACCTCGAGTCCCTGAGTATCTTCACGGAGTGGCAAGATATTCATGCGCCATATCTCCCTCCATTGTATGCATCGGATGTTTCTCCACGATTGACCAAAGTCCTTTTCGGCAACCCTCGCATGTGGTGCTTGGATTCTTTTGCCAACCTGACCCATATTTCCTGGTATAAGCAGTTGGTGGCCGAGCGACCACAACTCGCTCGTTTTCTGGACGCATTAGCAGCATCCCCAATGTTGGAAGAGTTGGTCTTGAACGACGCTGGTCCAGATATATTACCAGATCAAGTTGGGCCAGTCCCTGGTCTTCCTGTCGTCGATCTTCCTTGTCTACAACGATTGGAAGTTGGGGATTGGAATCGGATAGACAGGCCAGTTTCTGTCCTGCTATCGCATCTTAAAATTCCGAGGCATACGACTCGCTACTTCTGGGGAGACCACCTCCAGCCTCCAGCGCAACTATTGAAGAATTTTAACAGCGACGACTCGGAAACGATCCACGAAGACATCCGAAGAGTTTTCATTACGGGCACAGCAGGCCGTGCGGATCGCAACCAACTAATGGGGGTTGAAGGACAAGTCCTTCATCTTGTGGGGCATATAGAATACAGCGAATACCTGACGTTGTTCACAGATCATGCCTTCCCCAACGTGGTCGAATTTGTTCTGTGTCCTGGACCAGGCCGGGCGATGTTGCCAAACGACCTGCGCGAGATATTCAACAACCTCCCCCATCTCTCAACATTTACGTTCACAGATTCGCAACAAAACGTAGAAAGCATCGCGCTCGGGCTGGGGCTCTTGAATAACAGCACTTCAGAAGGATCTACTCGGACGCCAGTCCCCGCACCCCTTCTCACGAAAATAAATCTCTATCACGATCATGACATGTCGTACAACTACTACGCAAGCCCCCAGCCACGCAAAATTCTCCCCATTGTCCTTCTAGCACAACAGCGCGCGCAAATGGGCCATCCCATCAAAGAGTTCCGGATTGAAGACGCCCCGTCAGAGGAGGCAAGTCGAAAGGACCTGATTGAAATTCTTCGCCAACATGTGGAAAGGGTCGAGGAAATCACCCAAGTGGAGCGCTATAACGAAGCAGACCATCTCTGGATCCAGGTGTGGCAAGACATCCGGCTTGCGTGGCCGATTCTTCGCAGAACACTACCAGGTCGTGCCATATCCCCCTTCCCTCATAGTCCTATGTAGTCTGAAATATGTGCGTCCATGAATACACTGCAATTACATAGCGCTGAAAGTCGAGATGTATGAATGAGCGATGCGTGTGTGCGAATCTGCGATGCCTGGGTGGTTACACATTACGGGGGGTGAGATTATTCTACGAGATGAGCGGTCTGGCGTAAAAAAGGATGTAGTATTCGTCGCCTACAATAAGGGCCCACGTCGTGGGCAAATTTTCTGCAATAGACTCGTAGCGTCAGAGGTTGAATTGAGCTATGTGGCGCATAATAATGCACGAAGCAATAATTTCTATAAATGAGTTAGTGCCGCATCTCGTGGAAACCAAATAATACAAGTCACCAGAAACGATATGTGCCCACGGTTCATACACGATGAGGTTATTTCCCGAGACATCGTAGAATCGATGGTTGGGATTTTTGAGGTCGTAATGGGCAACCAGCGTATTGTCCATGGTCGTGCACTAGAAGTATCATACATGAAGTCATCCACTTCGTAGAACCTGTACTTGAAGCCACTTGCCGTCCACTCTTGCCCCGGGTTCGTCCTGTAGCCCCATTTATACTCCCTTCCATCAGAGGCCATGAACTTCCTTGACAGCGATCTGCATTCATAGCTTTTATTCCGAGTGGTGCACAGTCTTGGACGATAAAGGACGTACGTTCCAAAGAAAGCCGTCTTCCTTAGGTACCGCCCCATATGTATGCTCCCCTGGTAGGGTCCCTTGAGGAACGATATCGTACCAAGCGATTCGTTGGGTAAAAATTCGAGTTCGATAATAGGGTCGCGGTTCAGCGGGAGCGTGCTGCGGTAGCGAGACGCCCGAATGACCATGTCGTATATTCTTGTAATATTGGAGCCAGGTGACCGCATAACATGAAAGAACAGCCTGTCGTACAGCTCGTCGAAGTCGGTGTTGGTTAATTGGGCCGTTCGATCTTCGAATGTCAGTGGAAGAGGACGTCGCATCATCTTCGTTGGGGGCCGGGCAGGTTGCGACGACGATGGCAAAGCGCAGTGTGGAGAGCAGAGTCTGCGTAAGGGTGGCCGTGCAAAGTTATGCAGGGCACTATATAGGTGTGCAGGAACCTAGATGACTCGGGCCCAGTGCGGGCGCATCTAGTCCCAAGTGTTCGATTAAGTCTTCCTGGTGTGGAGAGAAGACTCACATGTATCAAATCAATGAGTGTTTGCGAAGGAAAACTGGGGAAATCTCACAGCAGCGCGGGGTGGACTAGATCGTAATAGGACCTGGCATGGACTTACGGCACTGCCTTTGGAGCGATCGAAATCTGAGGCCCTTCGGGTTGTCAAACCGAATGGCTAAGAATAAAATGAGACTTCCAAGCCATAATTCGCCATACAGCCGCCTCGGACCATCGTTCTTAACGCCATCGTTAGCAAGACTCGAAGATAAGTTAAGAGAGAACAAAGCAGTAAAAAGGCTAAAGGTTACAATTGGGCAAACCTTGTCAGCACTTCCGATCCAAGAGGATGGTAAGATACAGTCCAAGTTCTCCTTCTGGTAGTTCGAAACAGACAGTTCCCCACAGAATTAGAAGGGTAGGGTATCAGGCCGACTGTGGCAGATCAAGATCAGGGACGCACCGTGACGAATGTGGACAGACGCGACGTACCTGTACGCTTTATGAATGCTGTTATCGCGCGCGGTGGGCCTAAGCAAAACTTAATCATATCTTGCCACCAGTAGGGTGCACTTGAAGTAAGCAGTTTCCGCGAGAACAGTTCTTGTGAACGGGGACTCACTGTAGATAAGCTCCGCGACAGTCACCCCAAAACCGGAGATGGCGAGGAGCCGAAGATCGAACACATACACATATAAGTATTGTGCCGAGCGGCGAGCGCCCTCAGGCGCCTATAGGTCACACAGCACTCAAAGCAGCAGACGGAGGAATACACACCGCACGACGAGCTTGTCGGAATATGACACCACGAGACAGGCTGCATGGCCATGGTGTGATCATGAATCATGATCCAATAGAGAGCTTCCAGCCTAGGCCGGTATAAGCTTTTCGCTGAGGACTTTGGGGTGCACGTATAAGGCGAACGCCAGGTTTGCAAGAAAGATTGAGCGCCTTCGAATTCGTGGCGGGGGGCCACGAGGCCTTCTACGACAACTCGTGGTGGCGACGGCGTCCCAGGCGTTGGCGTGCGCCCTGAGATTTAGAATTACGGACTGAGGGCGGGGGTAATAGAGGGCGATTCGAGTGAGAAGGTTTTGCGGTTCGCGGGAAGGCCATCATTAGGCCATCATCTCAACTATGATAATGCAATAAAATAAGCGGTGCTGACTGTGTTCTTGGGAAAAGTCAAAGCAGCGTACCCGGATATGTCGTGGTGTTCTTGACAGTGCACACACCACAGAACGCCTTGTGACCCCCAGCCAGCTGGTCCGCCGACTACATCGCTCCCATGGGTCATGTCGTGTTTGCCCCGATCTATCCTCATTCACCTGATTCTTGAGAAGAGGGACTGAATACTTGAAGGTCTTGTGGCAATCCTGGATGTGAGGTAGATCGACAACCACACCACAGATTAGAATTCGAGAAGAAACGCGAAATGAGTACTTGTGCAGGTGGCGGGCATGGCGGGGCATCAGTTCCAGAATACCAAGCCTACTGTCCAACGCCCCGGGAGGGACTAAATTGCTATCATCGAAAAAAACTTGGGGGCTTGATGTCATAACTGGCCGACAAGGGCCTTTTGGATTAGCAGCGATCCTACAACATGGGGATGACCTAGACGGGAGCAAATTGGCAGGACGTCCAAGAAAAAGGAAAGTAGGCACACACTCAAAAATACAAATCTAGATAGTGCAGTCAGGTCATGTGCTGCCGCTCCCAATCATCGAAGCCGATGTTTTAGCGTCTAGGAACAGCTCATCCATCTCGCTCACATCCTCCACTTCGATCTGCGTACGACCAGCCAGCCTTGCGAGAATCGACGCAGGCGTGAGCAGCTGCAGGGCGTATCTGATCCGACGAGTCCACATGAACGACGGCGGCCAGAAGCACATAAGTAGGAACATACCGTAACGAGCTCTTCTCGCCTTCTCCTGCGAGTCTGTCCACGACTTCTGGGCCAAGTTTAAGCCCCTCAATGTTGGCCCGCATTTGCACTACTTTGCCAATCTGTTCCCGCGTGTACGCATCCGTCTTCACTATCATGCATCTGGTGGGACACGATGCTAATGTTAACCTTCGACTGGTTGAACAGAATGCAGAAGCCTTACCGATCGAGAAGGTCGACAGGAATACCATGCGGCGAGACGATATCAGTGGTTCCACGGACGAGCGCATTCCCTCGGTTGGTGGCGAGGATAACAGTCGGTGCCATTGGTGTCTCGAGGAGCGCGTTTAGATAGGTGAAGCATTCAATGTCAAGCATATGCACCTTGACACACGATTAATGCAATTCATATACGGTAGCAGATGACAAGATGAAGTACTCACTTCATCGATAAAAACAACACCTGGGACAACTTCCGCGACGCCTTGATCAACATATCCTTTTACGATCTTGTTGACTTCCTGACGCAGTTTTTCTGTGACTTCCGTACGCCCACTCTTTACGAGACTTCCCATGACGCTCATAATATCCTGGCCACCTTGTGGTCTAGCATTCGCGGCGTCCAAGTCCCCTAACGTTACATCCTGGACGAGTTCTTTCCGTTTGTGTACTTCTCCTTTGGGTAGAGGGACGTATGTTTCTGATTCTAGATCATAGGAAGCAGCATATGCGTCTGACCGCCCAACACGCTGCTTCATTGTCAGCCCGAATCACTTGATACGAAAGAAACAAGATACTTGCCTTCACGGCGCCGGTGTTGTGTTCAATATACACCACATCACCAACGACAATTTTTTCCTTGAGAATAGCCTCGTAGATAGTAGGGTCTAGACGCAGCTGTTTTGTTCCCCTTGCCGTCTTCAGGCCTACGATAACGTGTGATACGGTTTTCCCGTAGCCGCTGAGTGGGTTCTCTGCCTCCGTTGGTGTGAGCTCTGTCACTTCTCCTTCGTAAACCTGTTTTGTTTCCTTTATCCGGAGACCTTGGTCCATCGTCAGACATTGTTTACAAGGACGGAAAAAGACAATGTAGTGGCGTTGCAAGATGAAGCATCCTAATGAAACTTCCATGATGTTTAGAAGCCCTACTGCGTCGCACGTTTGCAGCGTGCGGCGCAGTTGAGCAAGGAATATTGCGGACATATGAGCGGATGGGTCATGGGTCCAAAACCCAAGCCCACGATGGTGAAAGAATTCATAGAACTCAAGACTCACCGATGGCTCTCCGAAACGCCTCTGCCAAAACTTCTGTCTTCTTGACCTCCGTGCTATACACCTCAGATCCAACCATGGGACAAAATGGCACCTTCGCGCCGAGTTCGTGTGAGACGGCCAAGGCAAGAGCTGTCTTGCCCGTTCCAGGAGCACCGACCAGGAGCAGTGCTCTCCCTGAAAATTTGCGAGACTTGATGAGATCGACAACGACACCACACGCCTACGTTGTCCAATTTAGCTTCTAGAGGTTCGAAAGGGTGGAAAAAAGAACGCGCACCTCGCGCGCAGTTGTCTGTCCAATGAACCCTGCAGTGTCGTTGGTTGCGAAGCCCTCTGGCGTCAAACCGAGACCCTTGATGTGTGAGTGAGGGGCGATACGCGACGAACGCCCTGCTGAAGATGCCGTCGGCGGAAGGGGTGCATTATGGGCCGGCGCTGCACTAGACGTCGAGGTCGAGGCCTTCATCGTTGTGGACGACGTACGCGTCGTTCACAAATTCGGTTGTCCTCCAGTACTTCCCACGGACAGCAAACACTGGGCAAACAGGACCGCCGATTTGGTTTAGGCCGAAACTGGCCTTTCCACCGTCCACGATGTCTTCGCAACCCTTCGTACAGCCTGGAGAGCCCTTGAACGACTTTTTGAAGTCGTTTTGGGAGCGCCAGATCCACGCTGCGGAGACAGAGACCCCCGATTATCGGCACCCACCTCTGCCCCTTGCCAGAATTAAGAAAGTCATGAAGAGCGACCCGGACGTGAAGGTGAGATCTCGGTTAACGGTCGGAAACCCAGAGCTTATTCGTCTCCGCAGATGATTGCTGCAGACGGTGCGTCCCTCAAATCCTAAATGACGTATCACAGTCGCTAAGCGAGCCAACCACCAGCCCCCATCCTGTTCTGCAAAGCCTGTGAAAGTGAGCATATACGGGTTCTATTCCATGCACTCTTGTTGACAAAGTCGTATTGTCCAGTATTCATCGCCGAGATCACAGCTAGGGCATTCATTGTTGCCGATTCGAACAAACGCCGCACACTCTCGCGCGCGGACATCGCAAAGGCACTCAGCAAGTCCGACCAGTTCGACTTCCTCATCGACATCGTGCCTCGCGAGGAGGCAAACTTTGGCGGATCCTCAACAAACCCCAACGGAGCTGGCTCTTCGAAAAAGATTGGGAAGCAGGACCAGGTAATACCTCTCGCGTACGGAATTTTCGTTGCTGAAATACTGGCGTGCTCAGGGAACACCGGGCGTAGGCGATGCCCCTGCTGAACTCGAGGGGGGAGAAGGAGCGGTGCGCGGTGGGAGCGAGGTGCTGGAACAGGTGAGTTCTGTCGTGGCTCTGATTCGCCGTCTCAACTTTCGTGAAAGCTCGAGACTCTCCTCGGAAACTCAAATCCAACGCATCGCGGTTCCATGACTTAAACCTCCCTCTGTTTCCCCTTATTACCCTCCGTCTTCCTTGCTTCACTCAGGACTGAAATGACCGCCAAACTGTTACTTCGCTTTCGACGCTCATGATGACATTAGACCTCGAAAAACAAAGGGTACACCAGTTTGACCCGAGATGTACAAGATAATCGAATCACTGGATGGGTTCGCTTTTACCAGTGACTACTACGAATTGCCGACTGGGTGAACCGACGACTGGGATCTGTACTGTTGAACGTTATGTTCGATTTGCCCACCGAACCCCTTCTTTTCAGTCGGGAATTACGGCTCATTCTTCAGAAAATGACAAGTTTGAAGGAGACCTGATCAAGTGACAGAACCTGTGAATTCGACGAACACGTTGTCGATGTATGATGCTTCCAACGAGTCATCATCTCCAGAACCAGTGCCCTCAATTCAAGTCATGTTATAATAGCCTTCTGACTTGCTCAGAGGTCCCCCGATGTTATCCCTCCGACCCGTTGATCGGATTTATATTTCTTAAAAGGGAAATGGGCGGGGGGCGGGTTTGGACAAACGGGCCAACATGATCGCCGACTCCGACCTGGGACGAGTTGAAGGAGCGCTTACATGACCGTGTCTGCGTAACCTCCTGTAAGTAATATCTTTTGAAAACGCACTCTTCAGTTGTAGAATGTTAGCTCGTGTTATACAAGATACTTATGTGATTTATGAAGTTGCAAGTATCCGGGGCATAGCTTGAGCATTTCCCGGGCCGTGACATACTTACCGTGGAAGCCGGCGTTTTCGAATGGGTTGTGCCAACTTCACTACATATCCCGGGCCCAACACTTGTATGCATCGGCTTCCACGAATCCTCTGGACAACCTTGAGCTAGACTGAAGAATGCATTTTCAGAAGAGATCACACAAGGTTATATACACGCCCGCCAGCAGTGTAGTCTACTAACACCCCACCTTAGGTTGGCACCATTTTCAAAGGAGTCAGAGCTCTTCCTTTCAAGCAGCGACCTAAAATGATATCGTCGTCGTCTAATGTGCTGTCTAGCCCAGCAGTCACCCCAGCGTCAGGGGAGAAGACCTCTTTGCCTGGTTTTGGACTACCGTTGAATTATGGTTTCCCCAGTGAGGGGAAGGACAGTCGATTTCCCAGCGCACTTCTCCCTGAAGATATTAAGGAGGGTCGGACAACGTAAGCTGTGTGCATCCAGGTTGCGATAAGACCTTACATCTTCGTAGGCTCGCGCTAACGACGCTGCGCGAATTCAAGATGCTGCAGATCATGAACCAGATCACAGACAAGCCAGATTGGCACACCAAGGCGCGTCTCAGCGCAGTTCTGAGGAAATTGGGGTGCTAATTGTACTCTACTCTACAGGTGTTCGACGAAACGATCGCCGCGAAATGGAAATCCGAGGCTATCGCCCAAGACGCGAGAGGCGTTAGCAAGGCAATGATGAACTGGGTCATCGATGAGCTCCGCTACAAGGCCAAGATATTCGAGCAAACGGGCGCCATCTCTGTCTTCACAGGCGACGTTGTCAAATCCGATTCTGCTCTTCCCGAATCGTTCAAGCTCGAACTCCAGGCTGCTGTCAAACCATTGGAAGACATCCCAGCGAAGGACAAGGACTGGCACCCGGGATCGAAGAAGATGGTGCTGGACCTCGTCCACCCGTCTCTGTTTCCGCTCGTATATGGCCGCTCGAAGGTCCTCGAGAGCGGACGCACGACTCTAGAGGACTGTATCGCTCAGTGCGGGGAAGGGGTTGTGATACCAGTGCCGTCAGAGAGGAGAGCACAGTTGAAGTGCCTCGTTACAATTACAGCATGGTCAAGCAACCATACAGTCGTAAATTTCAATGGCTTCCGTGCGAAGTTGATATCTCTTCGGAGAAGGCGAAGTAAGCTTCAGATTTGCACATACTTTTAGGGCTGATGAAACTGATGCAAACGAACTACAGAATTACGAGCTACATCAACAACCTCCATCCAGAAAAACATAAGACACTCTATGCGCTCATCGAACAGGTCGTAGACGCCGCCATTCCACTCTGGAACATGAGTCTTGCACCGACGATTGATTGTGCCTGGGGGACGCGTATCGATTACTGTGGCTCTTATTCGGAGGTCGTTCAGCCAGAGCCAGCGCCATTCAGCCCCCCAATAGACCCACCTCATCTAAATATTCGGGAAAAGTTCAAGAAGAAAGGGCTGCAGGTCATCGTTAAGCTTGCGAACATTGAGTTGGGCCCGGAGAAGAAGACGTACATGGGAGGGACCTGGCACGTAGAGGGACAGCTGGTGAGTTTTCTTTTTTTTCCCCTAGACGAACAAATTTTATCGTCGTCTAACGATTGTCCTCAGAATGAGCATATCTGCGCCACTGCGCTCTACTATTATTCCAACGTCAACATCACCGATAGCACGCTCGCCTTCCGGCAACAATCCAATGCGGAGGACGCGACCGAGATGCCATATGAGCAAGATGAACACGCTTTCCTGACCGACATCTTCGGGTGCCGGAACTACGAACCGGGCGTGCAGAACGTGGGCGGCGTGCACACGCGCGAGGGGCGCCTCCTCACATTCCCCAACATCCTCCAGCATCAGGTGCAGCCGTTTGGGCTGAAGGACAGCACGAAGCCTGGACACAGGAAGATCCTCGCGCTGTTCCTGGTCGACCCCCATATGCGCGTGCTAAGCACAGCGAACGTGCCGCCCCAGCAGAAGGAGTGGTGGGTTGAGCGACTGGATGAGGTGAGGACGGGGTTGGATAAGCTGCCTAGGGAGTTGAAGGATGAGGTGTTCAATGAGGTGAAGGATGGGTTTCCGATTAGCTTGAAGGAGGCGAAGGAGCTTCGAGAGGAGCTGATGGAGGAACGGAAGGCATTTGAGATCAAGCATGACTCGGCGTTCAAGGCCATCGAGTTTTCGCTTTGCGAACATTGAGCGAGAAGTGGATAGTAAAGTGTGACCCAAGCCTTCAAACATGTTTCATTTTCTGTAGGTAGCGACAGTTCAAGTCTACTGAATATAATGCGATATTGCAAACTACTCGGTGGGACTAAGTGAAGAATCATAATAGCCCCCGCAGGATAGTGCGAAACATCAGAACAGAATATTTTGCATGATTTGGATCTACGTAGCAGAATATGGAAAACGCGCCTCCCACATCACCTCTGCCAGTAGCCGCGTTACAAAGCTCTACGCTGCCGCCCGGTGGAATAAAGTCTAAGGAACCCTGATATCTCTGATATGATACCACCTGTATATCAACCTTCGCACCCATTCTCGCTGCTGTCCTTCGGAGCAACCTTCTCGAGCAGGCAATTACATCCCTATCTTCCACCATCTCCTTAGACACCTCCACGTCGTGGTCGGTTCTACCAATCGTTTGCATGGTCTCATTAATTTTTGTGGAATTGGGTGCTAAGAGTCCGTGAACGTGAAGGGGAACTCAGCGACAGTGAAAATGTCTTCAATACATTCTCCACATTCCAAGGGCTTAGATCAAGCACATTTAGAATGGACGAACTATTTTTTCATTGAAAAGAGCCCACCGACTATGGTGCAACCTGCGTCAAGTTGCAATACGAATTCAGCGACCACACGCGAGGGTGGCAGAGAACTACTTTGCTCAATTTGGGAGTTACTTCTCATGAGAGGAGTGGGGGAAGGTAAGGACAGTGGTACTGCTCGGAGTCCCAAACAGTTAGGAGACAAAAAACCTCAAGACTGGGAGCAAGATAAAGGAGAACGGCTGCGTCTGCGAGAGGAAGAGAAAATCGACGTGAAGCTCACACACATGCTCTACGTTGTGGGCAATGAGAGAGTCGATGCCGGTGTCACTTGTGGGCAGATCGATCTTTTGTCCACGACGAGATGGGGTGCAGTGTATGTTGACCATGGCTTGAGCCGAATATTTGAAGTGCATCACGGAAATGTCATCCGAGTGGCTTCGAATATGAATGTGAGTCCACAATAACGCTGTGGAAATTGCTATGTTTCGCCAGTGTTGACAAATACAAGTGACGACGAGCCATTTGTCCATAGACCATGGCAAAGAACGAGGGACATCACAGAGAGGTTCTTGAACGTGAGAGAAGATGCGCGAAAGAGTTTCGGGAGGCAGGATATTGATGGAGGCGAGATTATTCTTTCTTGACCTAACTTTTGAAAGTGCGCTTATGAGTTGGGGTTCGAGATCATCCAGCTCTCGCGTATAAGATAAGCTCGGAGCCACGAGAACCAAGAACACGAAACAGTGACCCAGCAAGACCGCTGAGGTCAAGCGGAATATGGTTATTGGAGAGAGAATCTTCGACGTTCGCGGTATTATTTGTCGTATCTGGTTGCTGGTTCTCATCCTGCGATACATCATAAGCCTGCGACGATTCTTCAAGTTGACTTGAATCCGACATCAGAGATCTTCTAAGAAGCAAGGCACAGGCATATAGCTGATGAGTTGGCGAGGAGGATAGCTATTTAGTTCAGCCTAACGTCGCGAACTGAGAAAATACTTACCGGCGCGTCGATGAACGCTGATCAAAGTGCGTCACGGTCCAAACCTTCGTGAGCGACTTTGTCAGTCCATTTTATTCCCACGAAAATAATTACTTATGTGGCGGCCCGGTCGCACTTCCAATTCAAGACCAGTTTGACTCAAACTTTGACTGCTTCCACATCTTCGTCGGCTGTCTTGACCACACTATTGGCCATCAAGCCGGACAATCGGGACATCGGGGACATGTTTGGGCACAGAAGCAGCGAGTCACTGAAATCGACTTGCTTGAACCTCTTGACTCCGTTAACGACTCGGACCATGTCTTCACCGCAGAATCGTCAGATGGAATTTGGTCTCCAAATTCGCTAGAGGGCACTTCCGACCATTTTTTCGCAATTGGAGTACTTTTCGCCGGCCATCGGAACACACTATTACAGGTTCCGACACCATGCAATCTTCTTGGACCCATTTCCCAAATGGGAATATGGAACAAGGTATCAAGCCACCGCCAAGACAATGAGTCTTGTCCAAAACGTCGACGCTCGGCCATTTGAAAAAGAGCAGCGGCAGAAAATTGGTCCTCGACCGATGCTACTCGTTACGGAAGTATTGAAAATCCACGCACCCGGCGTGTTGTCACCGAATCATGACACTGGAGCAGCAGGGGTCACGACTCGGATTTGACCAATATCTATTCCACCCCTAGATCACTTTCAAGTTTAAGCGCCCGTGCTTGGCGGGCTATTTTGACCTGTAGCGTCGTTCTAGTGAGTGAATTCCTCGCCTGCGACTGAGCTCATACACCAGGCACCTACGGAAACAAATTGATGGCAGCACGCACACAGGTTAAATATACCTTGACACACCGGTGGGGACGCTCTTTACCTAACCCTATGCCTTCATGTTTACCAATCTGTACAAGCTCTATATTTACTCTACTTCTTCTCGAAGCCGTCGACTCGTGTCACCTCGGCCAGCAGGACGTTGGAGCGTAATGCATTCCTCCGCAGGTATCATTTCCTGTTGGTTCGGGGCAGGCTTCAGCCATGACGCGTACGGTTTTCCCGATAAGAGGTTCTAGTATAAAGAGGCAGATAGTTGGGATAGGCGCATACCCATTCTCTGATAAATTGTCTGCATATTCGTTCCAGGGAAAACGAGATACACCATGGGCGTCGCGCACTCGATATACACGCAGTCCTTCCCTCCGAAGACGAAGTTCAAGGTGGAAGATATTCCTGATCTTACTGGGAAGGTTGTCATCGTCACTGGGGCGAACACGGGTGAGCATATGTTCTACGTTTCCCTCTTTTTAGAAATTCTGCTAATGCCGGTTGTTTCTCGCTCTCAGGAGTCGGGAAAGAAACCGCGAAGGTAGGCACGGGATCTAGATATTAGAATGAGATAATGGAGGCCTCCCTTCCAACAGGCGCTCCTTGCCCACAATGCGACAGTATACGTGGCGGCGCGAAGTAAGGAGAAGGCGGACCAGGCCATTCAGGACCTGAAGAAACAGACTGGCAAGGAGGGGATTTTCTTGAAGCTCGATCTTGGGGATTTGAAGTCGATCAAGGCGGCGGCCGAGGAGTTCTTAAGGTACGAGTACCTTTTTCTAGTTCAAATTTAAAGCTCGAAAATTATATGCGTTGCTTTGACTTCAGCAAGGAAAAAGAACTACATATTCTTTTCAACAATGCGTATGTTGGCCGTACTCGTTAATCAAAACTCCTTTGAATATCCCTCCCTTCAACAGCGGAGTGATGATGCCCCCTCTCGAGCAAACAACTGCTCAAGGTTACGACCTGCAATTCGGCACCAACGTCCTGGGACACTTTTATCTCACCCAACTTCTCCTGCCCGCGCTCCTCGCAGCGGCGAAGACAAGTCCGGACGGCACGGCACGTGTGGTCAATACATCCGCCGCGGCTGTGTATTTCACGAGCAAGGTTGATTTCAACACGCTGAAAGATACCCGGGTGAGGAGGAAGAAGGGCGTGTCGAACCTTTATGCGCAGAGCAAACTCGTGAGTCGACTTCCAGGTATTAGGATCGATCAAAGGTTAATATTTTTGAAGGGAAATATACTTGTGGCCAACGAGCTTACGAGGAGGTACGGTGATCAAGGGATTGTCGCGAGTTCTGTGAACCCAGGGAATCTTCGCTCGGACCTACAACGTCATCTGCCTCGTGCCGTGCAAAAGATAATGGTGTGTCTGCAGCATACCCAGAGGATTTATGAACAATTCTAACTGACCTGGACTTGTAGTATTCATTCTTGCATCCACTGCCCATGGGCGCTTTGACGCAACTGTATGCCGGAACTACGTCTCAAGGCGCGGAGCTGGGGGGCAAGGTCAATTTTATTGCATTTTCGGTTCCATTATCGATACTGACTACTCGTCCCCAAGTTTCTTATTCCTTGGGCACGCGTCGGAAAGGTACCAAAAGGAGCGGACGATCCCAAGTTGGCCGGGGAACTTTGGAAATGGATGGAAGAGCAAGTGGCCAATGTTTAATTTCCTTACGCCTTTCTTTTTGTCCCCTCTCTCGGCATGTCTTCTGTGATTTGCCTCATGGTATTCGCTCTCTGCCTCTCATGACCCCTCATGAACTTCTCTCCTTTCGTGATACCTACTGTATCGATAGATATAGACATTTCTTTTATGAACTCCATAGTGATTGTTTAAGAGGAATTAATTCACTTCCATCCTTCTCTCTGATCGGACCCTCGAGTCCAATCCCAAGTACCTATCGAGCCTAGGTCCCCGAAGAGGCAATATTATCCCGACATGGCATGCCTCACGAACCTCGCTTAAGCGGCTCCGGGGCTTCTTTCGCATTTCTATTCCTCACCATCACCCTGTCAACGAGTTTTTCACATAAAGTCTTGACCCGCGACATATCCAGAAAAGAGTGCGTCCATCGGCATCCGTATTACCGAACCATTTAAACTTCTTCCTCGTGACTTGCAAGTACTCCAAAAGGAGTGGTTTGAGGTGGACGTCCATATCGGAGAGTATGAACAGAAAACACTGAAAAACGCCCATATATTCCCGATTTTAATGGGGATTATGATGTTTGCACTGAGTATAATCAGCATTTTTTTTGACCTACCAGAGTCTGATACTGTCCCGGCTTGTCAGTTGCACCTTCGGGATGTAGGAAGCCTCTAGAATCCTCTACTGTAAGGTGCTGACAATTTGTTTTTTGCTCAAGTTATAAGGTATCTTCTCTCTATTGCCGTACCACTAGTACTTACCCTCCAGGTCACTGGGGTTTTGGGATCGAGTCTAAGATGTCCCATAAAATTCGAGGTACGAGAGTCACTTATACCTTTTTCTATTACGGTCCTATTCAGGTGTATTTTGAACTTTCCCTTTAAGTACACCGTTGCCTGCGTTTGAGGAGCAAAGGTTGCTTGAATTAGGGGCTTTCTTCCATAATTGGGAGATGTTTGGAGGACGCGTTGTCCGGCAACAGGTGATTGGCACGAGAAAGCTTCATCGCCCTTGTCACCACCACCAGCGCCCTTCAATTCCACTTCTGCGCTCGTAAAGACGACCGGAGAAGTGATGACCCTATGCTCAGAGCCATAGGAAGTACCAACCGACACTTGGTTGCATCCTTCCGTTCCCAAGCCGTGATTCAAAATGGCCTCCGAAATCTTCATATCGAACTAGTGAAGGCCCAACATGCACCTCCACCTATTCCAAATCGTCAAAAACATCCCGTTCGTACCTCAAATGTGGCCAGTCCTCGACCTGTACCGCACAAGCCAACACCGTCGAAGAGCCCTTACAATCACCACAGACGACACGAAGATGCCTCGACTGCCGTCATTCACACCCTCATGCAGTACATGAAGACTCCGGCGGCCTGGAAACGGCTCGAAACATTTGTTCACATCCAGCTCAAGCAGTGCATTCCCTTTACACCGACTCCTCACCAGCTCCTCGAAGATGTGACCCTCTTCCTGATCAGGAGGGTGGAGCCGCAGGTCGCAGCAACCGTGTACGAACGGATCGTCAGGAAGGGGTATATCCCATCGAAGCTGGTTGAGTCACAGATGGCCGCAGTTCTGCTGGCGCTTCTGCCTGAAGACAATCCGCCATTGTTCGAGATGCTCGCTAGCATGGTCGCCGACTCTGAGTTCAGCGAGGACAACTTCGTCGCGCTCCTGAAGACCATGTACAAGTATAACGTACACCAGGATATCGTAGCCCTCCTCTCCGACCATTTCATGACAAGTCGAGGTCCAAGCTACCAGCCGGATCCCAAGGTTTGGGTCGCCGTTGTTGCAGCGTCTGTACGGGTTGGCGAGGTCGAGACGATATCCAGTGCGTCTGGTGCCAGAGGGAGGGCAAGGCGGGGCAGAATACGGACATGGTCTGAAGGGAGTGTCGTAATTTCAATGGGCGACGAGGAAACCAGCACGCTGGTGATGCAATTACAGGATGTTGTTTCGCACCCCTCCTATACCGACCACGACCTCTTCCAGCTGTTGGACACCATGTCAGCTTTCGACGTCGACGACAACGTCGCTTCGATCATGCTGGAGACCTTCCTTTCCACCCGTCCTGCAGGCTACCTTCCCAAGCCCGAGCTGCTCAAACTGGCTGTGCAAATCTCTGCTCTCTCGGGCAACCTCGAACGCGCCTTCCAGATGGTGGAACAGGACGCGAAGGGACGGCGAGGCCGGTGGCAGGACACCTACAGCGCCCAATTTTCCTTGCTGACTGTCTTGCGTGATTTGTACCCTACAGACACAGACAGCTTCAACCGCCTGCTCTCGATCATGAACGCCAGCGGGACACCAGCCAACATTGCCATGTTCAACGTCATCCTCTCGCGCACGGTCCGCATCGGCAAGGTCCGCATGGCTTCAAGGATGTACAAGTCCCTCAAGGGTATGAGCGAGGAGATGCAGCCCGATGCATTCACTTTCTCCACTATATTCGCAGCGTACCGGAGCAGACGGGTCATTTCCTTCCGTCGCAAACTCTCAAGGCTGCCCATCCGACCCAGCTCTCCAACTGACCCTAAGCAGGTAGATGCGGTCGTCCCCCCTCGCCGACTCTTCAAAGACCTCTCCGAGAGCACTCGCCGCGGAACACGGCGTGTGCGGCCACAAACGGGGCTACTGAACACCGCTCTACGTGTGTACCTCCGGCACCGCGACTATCCCGCCGCTGTCGCCGTCCTGCGCGCCTTCAACCGATGGGGCGTCTCGCTCGATCACCGAACGTACTACTCGCTCGTCAAACTCCTCATTCGGAGGATCTGGCACGAGACTCTTGGTAAACGGCCCAAGGGCACGTTGACATGGGCAGATCGCTTTTTGGGTGTGGACCACCCGTGGAAAGTAGAGCTGGGCGAGAAACTCGTGGAGGGGATGTTCGAGCGGGTATGTCAGAGGGACTTTGATGTCTTGAGCCCGATGTATATTCCGAGGCAGGAGAAAAAGGCGCGGAAGGAGCTATTGGATGTGGAGGAAGCGGCCTATCGGTTTCCGACGATGCAGATGATGGAGTCTGTGAACGCGCCCGAACTGGTTGATTTCGTATATGAGGCTATTCCGCTGGAGAGGTTGATGAAGAAGGCGATATGGGCGGGCTTGGATCCAAACAGGAGCCCAGTGGAAAGAAGGAAGATGATGGAAGAGCAGATCGCAGAGGCAGAGGCGGAGATGCTGTAGTACCACCCACCCCTTATCAAATATTTAAGTAATATTTGCCACCATGTGCTCTTGGACGGTAGAGTAGATGAACCAGCCACACTGAAGGGTGAAGGAGGGTGGGTCGAGACACGAGGAAACCTCGACAACAACCAGGATGAGCGAAAGGAGGACGAGGGACGACCCTTGCATCGAATTTGCCCATGTCTGGCAAGTGTGCATCGGCCAAATTGAACGATCTGGTGGCACACTTGCTTTATCTTATCCTCTGAAAGGCTAGGGGCTTGCCGAGAAATTTAAATTTGAAGTAGTATAGACAACAAGAACACCTAGGGCATATGTAAAATCATAAGGGCATGAAGGGGCATGTAGCGATGCGCGTAGTAATACAGATGGTACAATTGCCTTGGGATGTGTGCAGACGAGGGAAATGAGATAAGAACGATACAAAATGCGCAGAACATGGAGGGCGATTAGGGTATATAGAGATGTGAATGGGGAGGGATGAAAAAATCTACAGACGGAAGATGCAAAAAAAAAAAAACAACGAAGGATTAAAAAAAGAGCAAGAGAGGATAATCTCGAGGTTGAGGTCTGGTTGAGGTGTGTCGCAGACACAGGCATCGGTCTGAGGTTTAATTTGAGAGGCTGAGACGCTTTCGTAGTTCGAAGATCTCGGCCGGGTGAAGACGCGCAACATCCGCGCAGGCGTCAGGATGCTCCTTGACACAGTGGTCGCGTAGCTCGTCCCATGACGCGGACATAGGGAAAGATTTGGGCTCTGGGGCGTTTCCAGAAGCTGTCGGCTTGCTCGTGTTCAAACTATAGATAAAATACATCAGCAAAGGGTGAATGAAGTGGCGATGACGTGCATATGCACATAATACTCACAGACAGGCCCGACACGTCAGTGCACCCTTGGCCTGCAGATACATGAGGTCGACATGGCAGAACTCTCCTGGCGCGATGACCGACGAAGATTTCATAGCCATCACAGGCGGCCTCGGCGTTCTTGTATGCTGTTTACCGCCGTTGACGTTCTGAAGAGGCCAGTTCTCTGTCTCTACAGCCGTGGAACTGGAGGAGGGGTGCGAGATGGCTGTGTCGCAGGACTTGCGCCGCTTGAGGGGAGGTTCAGCGATGTCATAAGCATGTGGTTGGTCTACGGGGAAGGTGGTTATGGTTGCAGGCGCAGAAGAGGTCGATTTGACAGAGAGATCTGGAGGTGGGATGTTCTTGGGATTGCCAGGTTTAGGTGGCAAGGAACACGAACGGCTCGTTGGAGAGGGCGGAAGATGGGTTGTGTAAACAGGGTAGGAAGGGCTTCCTGGAGGAGACACCGTTGGCGAAGGACCGCGCAACGAACGAACAGGACGCTGGGCCTTGTCCGATCCTGCATCGCTCTTGTTCTCTTGACTACCCGCCTCGACATCACCCTCCTCTCTCCCTCGCTTCGGGCCCCCGTTCGCCCCAGGTACACGCTCGATCATCATCTCGTTCGTCGGGATCCCGATATCTTCTCGCTCCTGCACGAGCTCATCCACGCGCTGTCGAGCCATATCGCGTTCCTTCATGATCTTCATGCATAAAGAGTACCACTTCTCCTTCTCGTGCTGCTCGTGAACGACGAGGCCGATGCATAGCCCACGAAAATCGCGCAGATCGGACTCGAGGCCCTCTGCGAATACTTTGAACCCCCTTTCAATAGAGAGAGCCGCAGTCTTGTTCTCAGCGAGGGAAACGGCAACTGCTGGATGTACATCGGACGAGGGGATGCGTGCGGCTGGGCGTACGGCATGTGGGTGGTGGTAGACCAAGGAACGAGGTGGAGTATTGTGTGGTGTCGAGGGGAGCGGAGGACCGTAGCGTGCTCGGATGGGGATTTGCGAACGAAACACAGGACGTTGGATGGGCGAACCTCTCGATGCAGCAGCTGCTGAAGGTCTTGGAGCATGGTGGTGGTGGTTGTTCGTGTTCGCTACTGGTCTGTGCGTTGTGCTGATACCCTTTTCAGAACACGGAAGCAAATTAGCCTCCGTCGCCCAGCGGACATAAGGAAGCGAGCAATATACCTGCGCCATAGTGCTACTACTCGACGATTGGCTCATGGAATAAAATAAGAATAGTACGTTGGGACCGTTCAACGAATTGTGAAGGGCGAAATCGCTGACGGCGTTGAGTATCGCCAACCAGAGCCAGCCAGAGGTGATAATTCGAACTGTGAGGCCTGAAGGGACCAAGCGTTTGTGGGCGTCATCGCAAAGTACGTCCGCCTTTAGTATCGAGGGCAGACAATCGCATTGCAGAAGCGTTCCGGGCTGTCAAGAAGCCATAGGGGCCGGAATACGAAGACAAAAGAGACAATGGAGGTGGGCTGATGCGGTCGCTATCCCCGTGGCGAGAACACAAAAAGAATTATTGGCGTGAGGGGATACGTCGCTCCTGTGTGTTATATGTTGACTCGCAGCTTGTAATTCCTGGTAATTGAGCTGCATTGCTGTCCTGGCGGGGTAAGAGCTGATAAAAGGGCGATGCAACATTAGTATCCCACAGTCACTTCAACAATTGAAGCTCTCTCACGCAATTATCCTTCAATGCCGTAAGGGAGTCATTCACGATGCAGAGCAGCAGATGGCTTAAAAGGATATTTGGTGGGAGGTGCGTTGCAAGTTGAGAATGCATATCGTATTCTCTATACTTTACAGCTCGAGGTGATTATTGTGACAAGGTGGATCTAGACGAGAACGTAAGCTGATACTTCAGACAAAACGATAGTGAGCACACGATAGCGAACTATCATACAAGGAGACAACAGCAACCAGGAAATCCTAGGGACCCCAACAAACAGATAGCAGACACAAGCAGCGACAGCGGGAAAAAACGCGGACGAAAACCAAGGAAACGCCATAAATTGTAATACGCAAATACGCACTCGAAGAAGCTGAGAAACTTCAAGCACGGCCAGCCTTCATTCGCTGCTTCATCTCCGCGATCTGTCCTGGAGCGAGTCTCTCAAGATCTTGGCATGCCTTCGGGTGCTCGGTCTGACAATGAGTGATAAGCTCGCTCCATGACGCGGTAGTTGGGAAGATCTTCAAGCCCATCTTTCCTGGGCTAGTTCGGCGTTCAGACGAGGATGCAACTTCTCGTCTTCGGGTGCTAAAAAGAGAAGGAAAGGAAAAACACGACGTAAGGCTCTTGAAGGGAATCAACGCAGAGAGAGAAAATATACTCACATGCACATCCGACAAGTCATCGACTTGTTATCTGTCCTATACAGCAGATCGATATGGCTGATGCCCAGCTTCATCGCTCGGGGCGCTGGCGGTTGGTGCGAAGGAGGCGGTTGTGGAGGCTGTTGCTGTTGCGGCGGCGGCGATTGGGATTTGTCTACTTTGTCTGGCTTCGGGGACAGGCGTTCCTGGTAGTGTGGTCTCCGTACCTCCTCTATCGCTGGCTGCACGGCGTTAGCGGTAGAGTGAACAGGGGCCTTGACCGTCTCGGGCTGAGTCTCGGGTCCAAGTTCGTGTTCGGGCTCGACGTCTTCATCGACGACTTCGCCTTCCTCATATTCTTGCTTTTCATCGGCTGGTTCGGACTTCACCAGGACTTCGCCCACCTCCTTCTCCGTGCTCGTCCTCGGCGGAGAAGCCGAGCTTACTGTCACGCTTTCCCTTTCGCTTGAACCACCAACACGTACTGTCGACGACGACGACGAGGCTGAAGAAGCAAAGACCTCAGGAAGTCTCTCAGACTTGATCTTGACTGCAGGAGGTGCCTCTCTCGCCATGCACTCCTGCTGATCTGTTGGTTCGTCTTCTTCCTCGTACTGCGCTCTTGAACGCTTCTTAGCAGTAGATACCCGGATAGGCGAAGAAGAAGGGGGCACTGGAGAGGAGAGTGGGAGCTTCTCGTCTGTGGGTGATGAAACGAAGGCGTCCGTTGGTGGATGGTTTGTGTCATCATCCGTATTCATTGGCTCCGGGCTCGTGAGGTCAACAACGTCGTCCGAATCTGGAGCAGGTTGATGTTTCGGGACCGTTGGAGAGCGGATCGAGTCGACGTGGGTAACTGACGAACATGAAGACGACGACAGTCGTTTGAGAGAAGGAGCACCAGAGAGGATGTGTGGTGATGATAAAGAGGGCATGTGTTGAGACCGTCGATCTTGCACGGGGCTGAAAGCGAACCTGGGGGGCTCTTGAACAGGAGTGCTCATCCGGGACGTGCTATGAGATTCAGGGATTGAGATGGATTCCGGTCGACTTATGACTGACAATGGGCGCTCTGGAAGTCCTCCGGCCTAGATGACGGTCAGTAAAAAGGGCAGAAGAGAAGCAAACATAATAACATACTTGTTCGAGTTGCCTGAACGCCTCTGCAACCTTCTGTTCCGCCTGAAGTCTAAGAGTCTGCTGCTCCTGGACCTCATTGAGGACCGCCGTCATCTTCTCCTCCATCTGACGAGCGACCTGCTCGCTGACGGCACTAACGACCGAATTCATGTAATTCATGGCATCCGTCCTTTCTTGACCATCCCTGGGTCCCATCATCGGCATTGCCTTCTCCTTCTGCAGCCCAGCCAACACCCTGTACTCCACCTCCAACTTCTCCTTCTCCGCCCTGAGACGCGCCAGTTCTTCCTTGTACCCGCCCATGATACTTTTCGCCCTGTTCAAATTCTGCACAAACTCCTGCTTCTCCTGCCTCAGGGTCTTGTTCTCCTCGAGTGCCGCAGTGAGCTTAGCCTCAGTCTCCGCGAGCGCATGCATGAGGTGCGTATTCTTCGTGCGCTCGGCAGTCGTGAGCTTGACATAGTCCTGGTTCATTTTGTTCATCGCGTCGCGGACATTCTTGACGGTGAGGTTCCAGACGGACTCGATGCCCGCGCGTACAGGGTTCAGTGCGGCTTCACAAGAGGTGGCTACGAACGGATCGGAGGGGTATAGGAGGGGATCGCTGGGTTTCGGCGGGTTTGAGGGGTTTGGAGGAGGGACAGAAGATGACGGATGAGAGTGTGCAGTGGGAGGGGCCCCTTCTCGGGGCGGTGGTGGCGGAACTGGGTTGGAAGGGGGTCGATGGGTAGGTGCTGTAAGGCTAACAGGTAGAGGATGGGATGGCGGGTGGGCACGATGAGGAGTTGTTCCAGATGAAACATCCGTCTCAGAATGTCGACGATAGCTTGGACTCTCTGCTCCCGTTGTAAATTGTGGGTAAGGGTTACTTGAATGGCGTACAGCCTGTGTGTTTACGGCGAGCCTAGGGTGCGAAGAGGTCGAAGCTACTGCAGCAGATCGGTTGCTCATGTATTGGAAGTGCAGTGGGTCAGGAAGAGTCGACGAGCGCGCTGGCTACAACAGCGTCAAAATGGGCGGTAATGGTGCGAGAACAGAAATACACACTGGTTGGTTTTGACCGCCAACATGGTAGTTCGGTGCCGGTGGGGGACGTACAACGGCCTGATAGTGCTGATTTTCCCGAATTCCAGCAGCCTCGACCGACGACGGTATTCGGTTCTGCCACGATTCGGTCGATCAGGTATAAATAACTAGATGAAAGGAAGAGCATACCTGTTTCTGAGCTTCCAATGTCCCATTGCCGGCAGGCAACGTGGGGTAGCCGTGAAAGGTTTGATGCTGGGGGTAATGCCCGCCTTGCCCCAAGTTTGATAGATTTGACGGCCCATGTCTTTCAGGTCGTGGGCCCTGAAAGCCGCTGTGACCGCCTTGGTATGACAGAGGGCCTGGAGGAGATGGGTGCATGTTCACGTTCATACTGCGATGTTCCCTTTCAACTTTTCTGTCTGTGGGACATCCGGACTCGGACTAGGCGCCCTTCTTCAAGTCCTCGACTACTTTCTCTTTTCGGCGAGTCTGTATTGGGTTTTCCTGCTTGGAAGATCTCCTAGATGACAATGGGGGGTACAGCGGTCGTAGGGGTTTGTGTGCAGCAAGTGTACAACGAGGCAAAGTGGTGGTAAAAGAAATGCGGACTCGGATTGCCCTTCTTGGCAGGACAGGGGCACGCGACCGCGGATC